GCCTCCTTCAAGACCAATCTCTCAAGACCCTCCTCTTCAACCGTGCCTACTGCCTTCCACTTTCCCCGATCCCCAGCTCACATCTGAAACACTGATTGTCCAGTGCCTTAGAATGCCCTCCCAACATGTAAGAGCCATACAAATGTAATGTTGTTGTTGCTGGGGGAATGCAGCATTGTAAAAGGCACCTCCTTCATTTAAGACACTGAACTGGGGTTCTATCTGACTCTTCAGATGGGTGATAAAAAGATTTCATGGTATTTAATCTCCAGATTTAAATAAAAACTTTTTAATCTCTATTGCAAGGCTGTTTGTGGGACTTTGCTGTGCACATATCAGCAGTCGTGATTGCCTTCAAATGTACACTTTACAGAAACCTCTGAAGCACTTTATGATGTTGACATAATAAAGTGCAATATCAAATGCATAGAATATTATTGTCTTCCCAACCAGTAAAAAGTCAAGCGGAATCATTAGGATAAAAAATTACTGCTCCTTTTCGGTCTTGATATTGCGCTACAGCAAACAATACAATAAAATAACAGACGAATACAAGGACAGAGTGGACTGCTTTTCCAAAATTACTAATCCAACTCATGGGTCATAGGAGAGGAAAAGGAAGCAAAAAGAAACTTTACGCTTAACAATCTTATGATTCCCTGTGCCAAATCGCCCACCCCAGCATTTTGCAGTCCAAGATAAATTAACATCCATTCATCACATTCCATCAGCTATGATCAAATAGAACGGCGGAACAGACACAAGGGGCTGAATGGCCTACCACTGTTCCTATGTACCCTGGTGAAAGTACGAGTATGGGACATGAAGGCAGTGGGAAAGAGCTAACTATACAAATAGAAAAGTGGTTATATAAAGAGAGAGTAACTGATTTTGTAGAAGAGTGCAGTATTGAAATGAAAGCAAAGGTCAATGACCAGCTCAGTGTCCCTGATAAGATCACAACATAAACCCATTCCAATAATGTGCACACAACCCGCAAGTGTGATTGTTTGGGAGTGCGGTTACGAAGACATTGTAATTCTCCAGTAATGCTGTTATGAACACACTATTTCAGATCTAAAAATGTTATGGATACCACATTTTAAAAGGTCCATGATAAACGAATGGTCCTGCTTCCGGCTTATCAGATGGCCGTTGATATCCTTCCAACTCGGATGGCCTGGCTTCCTAGGTAAAAAGCCAGACAATGAGCCACAACTGCTCGTGATCACTTATATTTCCAGGAACTGCGTGTCAAGAGGAGACTCACACTCTAAGACAACATGTGCTCTATCTAGGAAGGTGCTTAATAAAGTCATTCTGCATAATAACCCATCAACTGTTGTGATGCAATCCCAAATGAAGAAAGGAGTAATTAGCCTCGTTAAATAATCCAACTCTCTCATTGATAAATCACATTGTAAAAAAATCTAGTCCTGATGCTGTTGTTATACAATATAGTTATTTTCAACATTATTGTTGCAAATAACTATATAGCAACTCACATTTAATAAATTATGTTTCATACTATTTCATATTTTGTGCATGTATACCATATATACCACCAACTAACACATTTTAAAATACTGCAATTCCATTACCTTTGACCTATTTTGCAATTTGATGTTCAGTCGTATGATGGACAATTGTGACGCAAGATTATTTAAAAAAAAGGTTATTCAACTTTTAGAACACAATACCTAACCTTCAAAATGTCACAATATTGTACTTCTGACAACATGTTATTTTGTACAAGGAGCTGCAATAAAAACAGAACCATTTGTGTTATTAATGATCTGAAATGTTCCACTTAATAATAATCCTTGCATTTGATGTAGCGCTTTTCACGTCTTCAAGACGTCTCAGATGTAGGCATATTAAAATTGCATACTTAATATGCAACGGACTCGTATGGTTTCTACTCTATTTTCCAGGGCTCTCTTACTTGCTCAGTGGAAGCAAGTTGTGACACCGAGACAGACCAGGAAGGTTCCATGTTTGATCTTTACTGCAGATTTAAGATGCTCAGCCAGGCACTAGAATTGGCCTCAGTGATTCCATCCCAGGAAGAGAAAACAATTTCTCACATTTCTCTCTTGATCGCTATCAAGCCACTACTGCTCCGCCTTATGTGCGATTAAGGTGAGATTCGGAACAGCTCCAATGTCCACTGGCTGGTAGGTTTAAGACTCATTTATCAGACAGGAGACACCGGGGGACTTCAGGCATCCATGGAATTTAAATCTAGGGATTATTCCATGCAATCAAATAAGCAGGCAAGAAAGAGAATACAACTGGAAACAAAGAGCTCAACACAGAAATGTCATTACAAAATGTAATTTCAAAGTTAGCGAAAGCCTCAATCTATGTTGGTAGAGGCAGAGATAGTAAAGTATTTGGCAGACATTTTAATGAAAACTCATCACCTAGTTCTGTGTGCATTTAAGAGAGAAATAAAACTCGGGTAGTATTCTTTGGTTCCCTTCTCATTGAAAAAGTGTAGTTAAAGCTACAACTTCTTAGTGTGCAATCAGCCCGTAAAGAAAGGCTCCAAGAGCATATCTACCAACGTTTCTCCCTTTTAAAGAAATGGTTTACCAACGACTCATGGATTTGGAACTGTGCCCACCAAAACTCGTCTTTAAATACCTACTCTAAGAAAAAAAATCAACCCAAATACAAATGATATACCACAAGAAGCCCTTTACGTAGCATTTGTGTTCACTCCCAACACATCCCCAGTGTTAAATTGATAAGAGAAAGGAGTTCAGAAGATTTTCCTTTATATAAATGATGGGTGGGGGAGGGGATGAAAATGACCTCCTCACACAAATCTAAAGTGCTAGCTAAAGAGCACTGCAGACAGGAGTCAGATCCCAGAGGTCTCCCACTCTGGGAAGCGGTATCAGTGTGTAAAAAAGAAAGCCCATCTTTTTTTTGAAAAAAAGCAATTCTGTGCACTGCCACCAACATTATCGGTGAGTAATTGTGAATAATTCAACAGAAAATGCCTTGGATGGATTTTTTTTTGGGTGGGGGCATTTTTAAAAAAAAAACTTGGGTCTCAGAGCGTTGATATACCATGTTACAAAGTCCGGATCTGTGCTATTTTTTTTTCTTTTTTTCTTAAAAAAAATAACACCCGGTGGCTGGACTGAACCAGGCTTTCTCGAGCTCTGTGTGTGTGTGTGTGAATGTGTGTGAGTGAGTGTGTGAGTGAGTGTGTCTCAGGTGTGTGTGTGTGTGTAAGTGAGTGTGTCTCAGGTGTGTGTGTGAGTGGTGTGTGTGAGTGAGTGTGTCTCAGGTGTGTGTGTGTGAGTGGTGTGTGTGAGTGAGTGAGTCTCAGGTGTGTGAGTGTGTGTGTCTCAGGTGTGTGTGTGAGTGGTGTGTGAGTGAGTGTGTCTCAGGTGTGTGTGTGGGTGATGTGTGAGTGAGTGTGTCTCAGGTGTGTGTGAGTGAGTGAGTGAGTCTCAGGTGTGTGAGTGTGTGAGTGGTGTGTGTGAGTGTGTCTCAGGTGTGTAAGTGCGTGTGTGAGTGTCTCAGGTGTGTGAGTGTGTGTGTGTGTGAGTGAGTGTGTCTCAGGTGTGTGAGTGTGTGTCTCAGGTGTGTGTCTCAGGTGTGTGAGGGTGTGTGTGTCTCAGGTGTGTGTGTGTGAGGGTGTGTGTGTGTGTGAGTGAGTGTGTCTCAGGTGTGTGTGAGTGTGTCTCAGGTGTGTGTGTGAGTGTGTGTGAGTGTATGTGTCTCAGGTGTGTGTATGAGGGTGTGTGTGTGTGTCTCGGGTGTGTGTGTGAGTGTGTGTGAGTGTGTCTCAGGTGTGTGTGTGTGAGTGTCTCAGGTGTGTGTGTGTGAGTGTGAGTGTGTCTCAGGTGTGTATGTGTGTGTGTGAGTGTGTGTGTCTCTGGTTGAGTGTGTGTGTGTCTCTGGTGTGAGTGTGTGTGTGTCTCTGGTGTGTGTGTGAGTGAGTGTGTGTTTCTGGTGTGAGTGTGTGTGTGTCTCAGGTGTGTGTGTGAGTGTGTGTGTGTGTCTCAGGTGAGTGTATGTGTCTCAGGTGTGAGTGTGTGTGTGTCTCAGGTGTGTGAGTGTGTCTCAGGTGTGTGTGTGAGTGTGTCTCAGGTGTGTGTGTGAGTGTGTCTCAGGTGTGTGTGTGTGAGTGTGTCTCAGGTGTGTGAGTGTGTCTCAGGTGTGTGAGTGTGTCTCAGGTGTGTGTGTGAGTGTGTCTCAGGTGTGTGTGTGAGTGTGTCTCAGGTGTGTGTGTGAGTGTGTGTGTCTCAGGTGTGTGTGTGTGAGTGTGTGTGTGTCTCAGGTGTGTGTGTGTGTCTCAGGTGTGTGTGTGTGAGTGTGTCTCAGGTGTGTGAGTGTGTCTCAGGTGAGTGTGTGTGAGTGAGTGTGTCAGTCTCCGGGAGCTTTTATTTTGCTGCAGAGCCTGAAATCCAACTCCCTGTAAGTGCACGCAGTGGTCACGTGACCGTATGCTAATGATGTCAACAAATGTACTCGGCGCGGGCACGTGACCAGGGCCCCATCTTAAAACAAGTGTCACCGGTCCTGGGAACTCGCCTGAGGATCCACCCGGACCACATCCCCCCCCCCCCCCGGACAGGCCGGGACACTGAGATCTCAATACAAAACGTGGGTGTGGGGGGGTGTGGGGTGTGGGGGGTGTGGTGGGGTATGTGTGGGGGTGTGTGTGTGTGGGGGTGTGTGGGGGTGGGGGTGTGTGGGGGTGGGGTGTGTGGGGTGTGTGTGGGGGTGGGGGTGTGTGTGGGTGTGTGTATCCGAGGCGTATTCGAGGCGTATTCGGATGCAATGGTACAAAATGAACAATACCGTTGTTTTGATGTTGTGCCCTTATAAAGAGTACGGTTTGACGCTCCGGGGATTTGAATCCTGCTCCTCAACTCTTTAAATCGACCCCCCCACCACCACCACCACCACCAACCCACCCACCCACACACACACACACGAAAAAAAAAGTGATAGCCCGATTGCGACTCACTCACCGGGCAGCCGGTTCATGTTGACACCTTGGGCAGACAGTCCGATCCCCATGTACCTGCGAATAATGGGAAGCCGTGATTATTAGGGAATTGTCCACCGCTTCGAAGAGTCACGTAATGCCACAGGCAAAAGCCTACCGACTTGGCAGCAGCGGACTTACCCATCTCTGCCTTTGCTGACAATCTTCACCTCGAAGTAATAAATGCCACAGGCTGCGGGGATCGGGTGCGTTGCACGAACCGATGCAGCATCTTTGTGATTTTTTCCGTGACCTGGTTTAACAATAACAGATAACAATAATACTCGGAAGTACACGGCGCGTTCTGTTGCGGTCTATTCATCATCGCTGGCTACCGAATTGCGCCAGTGTCGGGAGTCGAATGAGATCAGTGGGAGCCAAATAAATTAATATGTTTTTCGGAAGAGGGTGATTTATCTCAGCAAAACGCCTGTCAACACATTTATGTAATACATATGGAAGTGTCTGCATCGTGAATCGAATGACAATCAATGATACATTTTCTGACGGACAAAGCTCAGCCTGTTAACACAATTTTTTTNAAAAAAATGTAAGTTCCTACACAATATGGTAATGCCCTGCCACATCGAGACGATCTACATACATACATACATACACCTTGTTGCTCAGGATCGTTAGGTAATCGTTTCCAACAACCAGACCACAGCGCTAAACCTCTCGGGAAACGAAATTATTTGGAAAGAGGGCAATTTAGATGTTTAAAAATGATGGGGGTGGGGGTGGGGGTTGGGGGGGGTCGGAAAGAGAAATCGAAGAAAACTTAATTCAAACTGCCACATCCAGAAGGGATCAATTGGTGACGTCGATCAGTATTAAGATCATTACGTGTCACGGTGCCAATCACCGGGTCTATATAAACGGACAGAAAAACATCAAATAATCGCCTATTCACAACACAGGCGGACGTCAGCCTTTTTACCAGATTAAGCGCGATGATTCCACACATATTTACCTTTATAATGGACGCGGAGGTTGTTCTGTGACAGCCCGATATAGTTGTACTTGTCCTTCGGGCTCCACGATCTAGGCAGAGGCGTCTCATCTTCGTTCACGGCCGGGTAGAGCCGCTTTAATCGTTCGTTTAACTCTTTTTCTTGGTAATTCAGCGCGGAGTCCCCATGGTTTGAAGCTCCCAGTTCCGCCATCTTGGATCCTATTGTGTATATATCCCGGATAACGAACGTATTATACTGACAGGTCATTGGCTGGGGGCACGGGCTGCGCGCAAGGCCCGGCGGGGGATGTAGTCCAGCCGCGCGGCCCGAGCCCGGCTTTGATGGCAAAGCGCGACTACAATTCCCACAATGCGTCGCGCGCCCTCCGCCTCTCCTCCCCAGCGCAGGCGCCCAGGGGCCTTGAGCCGCCGGAGAAAAGCCGAGCGCGGGGGAGGGCGGGAGGGGGCAGCCTGGGAGTTGTAGTCCGTCGCAACTGTCAAATTCAAAGACGGTTAAAAACCGTACAGCGGGTAAAGCCCCGCCCGCGCTCACGTATTGCGCACGCGGTTTACCCACTCGGTAAAATGTTCAGGAGGCGAGGGGCGAGGCAGGCAGGCAGCTCCCTTCCTCCGGGAGAGTAAAAAAAAAGCGCGTCTCTTTCTCTCCGGCCCCTCCCCCCCCCGAATGGAAATGGCGAACTACAATTCCCACACTGCGCCGTGTGGTTCCCTGGTTCCCCCCCCACCACACACACACACACACACACGTCTCTCACCTCTCAAAAACACAACACGCTGCACAAACAGAACGTGGGTCTCTGTCGAGCTATCATTCGCGCACCGATGTGGTCGTCAAAATGTCCACGCCGGGACCGACCGAAACATCCGCGTCTCCGCCGCCTCTCCCCCGGGGGCCCCCGGGACTCACTCACCCTTTCCCGGTTACATAACTTGTCAGTCACCGCGCGTGCGGGTCACGCACGGCCGCCTGTTCACGGCGGTTGGACCTGCGACTAATTCGGGATCGAAATCCACCTTCCGAAACAACTGCTGTGAATTGGAAATGATGATTATGATTTGTTTCGTTTTTTGGAAAAAAAAATAAAGAACCGATGGGGTGTGAGGCTGCGTTCACTCGTTAATTCAAACGAGCGGTGAGCGCAGGCATTGCAGCGGCCGCCAAAGAGACTGGAGGGTCCTGACCAGAGTGCGGGCGGAGGGGGAGGTGGGGGGGGCCTTCAACCGTCACCATAGTAACGGTCAGTACACAACAACGCTTCAGAGAGTCAGAGAGAGAGAGAGAGAGAGAAATCCCCAGAGAGAAGAGAGATGGCCACATAGAGAGAGGTCCCCACACAGATAGACAGACAGAGAGAGAGAGAGAGAGAGAACGATCCGCAGAGAAAGATAGAAGGACACCCCCTCCCACACACACACACACACACGCGCGCGCGCGCGGACAGGGAAAGGCAGAGACACCAAATAGCTTTGGTCCAAGATCTGAGAGGGAGCAAATTTGGGGCATTAAAACCGGAGCCGAGGCCTTGGTAACTGCTCCAACATGTCGACGCCTAAAACCGGCTGCCTTGTTCTGGAAGGGTAAGGTTGTGACCCCATTTGTGACCAGGCTCGGGTGTCTGTCTCCCTGCTGTTTGCGCTGCTGGTGTGAAGTTCAGTTGTGGAGCCTAAATACCTTCAGGATCTGGACTGGGATCATTGACAAATTACATCTAAATTGTTATTTGCCATTGGTTCTGATCCTTACCATTTGTCGGTGCGAAACACGAGGTGATCAATCATTTGAAATGTACAGAACGAAGCACTACATTGCAAATATAGACACTACATTGTCTATTCTGTGAAGCGCTTTGGGACGTCCTCCCGACGTGAAAAGCGCTATATCAAATGCAAGGATTATTATTATTATTATTATAAATATGATTTTCCTTCTCTCGCCAACTTTCTTCCCTGTCCTCCCGAGAGGAGGGAAAAAAAAAGGATCAGAGAGGTACCTTTTACTGGTCTTTGGAATTACAACTCAGTGAGCGTTTGCTGTTCTCTGGGTACTTCCCACTGGCGGCTGTTCTTCATATATACGAATCTTAAATATGTCTGAAGGACTGTGACACTGCCAGTATTAACCCAACATGGGGGGGAGAAATGACTCCAGGGGTTTGGCGATTGGTAAGGGTTAGTTTTGAACGAGTAAAAAGCATGGAAGTAGAAATATGTTTAATCTATTGAGGCTGCTGGTTTGACACACTACGTGGGTGCACCCTGTCATGGAATCCACCACACCCATTTGTTCTCCTGTGGAAAAGTAATACATTGGCTTCCCCAAGTAATTAAACAAAAAAAATCCAGATTATATCTCCTGATTGATACTAATCCTTACATGTTGCTCTCAATGGAGGATATCCCCAGCCTTTTATCTCTGTAGAACACAGATTTGATTATCTCAGGCCAAACTGCATTTCCAAATGATGTTCATCCAGTTATTTTTGAAGGAGCTCTAAAGTTTTCCAAGAACTCACAACTGCTCTATGAATGTAACAACTTTCTTCTAATTCTTGATTGTTGTTAAATGTAACCCATCTTATAGTTTTGTACTCACATTCCCAGATGGTTAAATTCATTGATCACTCAATCCATGACTGTTTGTGGGATACTTCTGTGCGAAATTGGCTGCCGCATTTCGCCCATAAAATATACAGTCAATTCACCTTACAGTATATTCTATGAAGCGCTTTGAGATGTCTCGAAGACGTGATCTATATATCAAATGCAATGATTATTATTATTTATTCCTCTGAATATCTGGAGTTTCCAGTCCATATCCATTTTCCATCTCAGATGAAAAATATTTTAAATTTGTCTTGCCTCTCCATCGATTAATACCCCAATTTCTGAAATCATCCTTGTTCCCATTTCTCTATCCTCTCCAACATGTTACCATTTACGCTTATCGTAGTAACTTTTTGTTTACTAGAAAATGTATTTTTTTAGTTAATCAGAAATCTTCCATTTCAAATCCAATAATGTTGCTTTCTCTTCATATAAGTCTCATGTTTGCTTTTTATAAATAAAAAGGACCGTATGTATTGGGCTCTGACCCTTTTGTTAACCTACATCTAACATTGATAGTTTGATTGTAAAGATTGGGCCTTAAAGCTCATTATCGTCGACTAAGTAGGTCAGTACCATTGTGCATGAAGGCAAGTATTAAGCAGGGCAAAAGTTAACCAAAGCAACCACAAGTAATTTCATTGGTTCAAGAGTGGTGGCCACAAGAGACTTTATCTAATTCTATTAATAAAAGTTCTGTAATAAGTAGGGAGTTGTTCTATTAAGGAAGCATGCTTATAGACTGTACTATTTAGGGTCAAACATAAGGTGGCAAAATTCATTACCTGGACCAGATTAATCCCATGATAACTTATTATAAGCATCTGCAAACTGCACTCTAAGTAGAGTACCTTAAACAGAAATTTTCATTGGAAAATTTAATTGAAGGTAAAAGGAAATTGTTAAGAAGGGAAATAGAGGTCCTCTATACTTAATTCCCAGGCACATTTGTTACTTTGCTTTATGGCTAGAAGCTGTCAAGTTACAGGCAACTTCCTCTCTGATGTGACGTTGCAAACTAGTCTATTCCATAGAGAATGTAGGAGACCTATACATGAGTTTGAGGCTTTAGTATAACTTACAGTCTCAAAGAGATTTTTTAAAACATGCTTTAATTTCACTGTTGTAGTTCATGATGATAACAATCTGTAAGGATATAATCTGCAAACTTCCTAAATCAGATCACAGCCTCATAATTTTTTTCCATCAATTTTTATAATCTGTTTTGTGCTTTATATTGGTAGATAATATGTCTTAAATAGAAATATCACATTTGATCTCTGCACATAGACTTGACATCATACTACGTCAGCGCTACTTACCAATTTGTTGCTGAGGGCTGCACTTCCAATCAAAGTGTTGCTTTTGAAGGTGACTCTCAAGAATGAGAGTGATAGGAAGCTCGGATGAGAATCCCCACATAATGAGCTTCTGATTTCAGTGAGCCAATCAGTCAGAGGAGGGTGAAAAACTGAAGGTTTATGAAACAAAAAAAGACAGATGGAAACGTTGGATAGGAGTTAAAGTTTACAACTGTAGAGTTGTGTAATGTACCTTTTTAACATTATTGTCTCACTCACTTATTCACCTCAAATCACTTATTCACCTCAAACCACATCTTGCTGAGGTTGTTTTTTTGGTCAGCTGGGTGTCTGAGACATGCGGAAACCCATCAACATGCTTAAGATTATCCAAACCAAGATGAGATTTTCATGCATCCCAACCTACACATGGAAATCCCAGAGATAGATTGTTTGAGTCAAACCAGTTAAACCCGCATAGCTTGCATTGATATCGCTGTCTGGCAAGCTTTCCTGCTGCTTGTCCAGCTACGCCGACCCGACCAGTTAGGGCTTTGGCTCGCAGGGTTAATAGGAGCTGAGAGGGATGATTCCCTGCCCCAGTGACTGGTCTGCCCTTCCAAGTCCTGCCAATGAGCCTGGCTGGCTGGGCTGTCATCAGCAGTGCCCTGGAATACTGCTGAGGTGCGTAGATGCAGTATTGGTTTTACATACGCTTGCTTGCCATTGCTGTTAGTTAGAGGATAGTGTTCAGGGAAACTCTCTCCACTGTAAGATCACCTCACCAACAAAATACAGCAGTTTGGATTGTAGAGAGTATGTTTACTTAGAAAAATAGAATTATAGATCACATGAAATGACTAGGTTTAGTTTTGAAAGGATAGCTACGCAATGGCAGTTTTCGTAATTCGAGCTGAACCCCAAATCGAGCACAGTTGAGCTACCTTCAGTCCCAAAAATTCTTCAAATGTGAACAGATAGACTTTCACAACAAGAGCGCAAACTTGATGTTTACCTTTGTTCGCCATAATAACACAGCCATTGTCTTCTGTTTATAGGGACAGCCTAACCAAGTCGAGTGAAGTCGACAATCCCTTTACTTGCCCGATTTCCAATGATGAAAGTGGTGGTGTGGACTGTACAGACGCATTCTATAAATGTGCGCCTAAACTAACCTGTCCAAATTACCATCTGCAAGATTGTAAAGTGAAATACTATCTCCCAGAGAAAGACGTCATGGTAAGGTTTCCAAATCTTGAAACTTCAGTAATAAGTAAATCTTAAAAGGTAGTGAAGAATCATCAATGAGCTCTGGAGTAGAACAAATATTTTATGACCTGTGTGCTTCATGAGTTTCAGAACAAATAATTTAACAGCAAAGGCTTCAGATGTATTTTAATATTAGTTGTGAGCATCTTGGTTATCAGTGTAAATCTATTAAACACCATACAGTAAGCTGTTTCCCTTTTTCCAATGACAGACTTTTTCCAAATTATTATTTTGCATTATTTACATAGTATATTAGTGATGTTGAATTTTAACTAAGCATTTATTTTCTGGGTTTCTCCCCTTTTCTTCCCCTTCTGCAATCTTGTCTCAATCTACTCCTGTATTCTTTCCATCAAAATCACTCGGCAGGGGATTAGGAGTTGGAGCCCTGGCTGTTTTTATACTCTTCCTCTTTTCTTACTATTTTCCCTTCATTCTGTATTCTCTCTTTATCCTCCTTGTGTGCATATTCCATTCAAGACATAGAAATTTCCATTCGTAGATGGGTTGCATCTGTGGAACTGTCTGTCTAGTGTTGAGTATGTTTATGAGTTCCAACGTCAGTCAGATACTCAGCTGAACAAAAATAATTTGTACCACAGTTGCCCTAAGCAGAATTGTAGTGTTCCTAGTACCACTCTGGCTGAGATCAATTAATTCAGCACAGGTAGACTACTGATTTATCTGACCCAGTTTTACACTGCATGTCAAGCCTTTTTAAAAACATAGAATTTTTTTCTCAATAGATATAATTCAGTGATTGTCATTTTCCTTTTTAATAAATGCTCATCTATGCAGCCAAGTGGGGACTATTGTTCAGCGTACCTGTCTGCCTGGCCTGCACATATGACTGGAAAGATTGTTCGCAGTATTCGTAAACCTAAATCATCAGGTATCCCCAAACACCATGGGTAAGTCAATTACATTCTTTAAGATTGTTACAAGTTAGAGTGGAGACTGTTAGCATTCTGTTAAAACAATTTTAGTCATGAGGATTTTGATTGACAATAGTCTATATGAGATGGGTGCACAGCTTTAACACATAAACTGAGAAACCAGTGAAGGCTTCACTTCAGAATTAACTTCTTTATAATATAAACTTCTCATGAACCCTAGTAAGATTAAATGAATTATGCGCAGATGGGTAAGTCATACTAGCTCTGACTGGGAACTTTTTGTGATTATCATGTTGCTATTATTATTGTGCAATGAGATCTTGGAATTGTGCTAAACATTGATTTACAAGTGACCAAAGAGAGTAAAGTTTTCTGGGCTCATCAGAATAAGACAGTAAAAATATTAGATGCTATACGCAGTCTTAACATGTCAGTTCTTATGCAACTCTATTGATAGAAACTGTAAAATGACATAGAATGATCATCAACATTTGCCAGCATAGCCATGTATTTTTGTCCCCATGTCCATTCCACCCAATATCACACATTTCCCCCACAAAATACACAGTCAATCCACTTTAGTGTATATCCCGTGAAGCACTTTGAGATGTCTCGACAACGCAATAAGGCGCCAAATCAAATGCAAGGATTATTATATTATTATTACTGGCAAATATCCAAAGTGGACCTAAAATCCAGCAGCATGAAATATCTAGTATGTCAAACCTATGACGTAATCTCCCACTTAAGTAACAGGAAGCATTGATGCACTTTTAATCACAGAAAAAAAATGCTCTATTTTCTTCAAAGATTCATTGCGAGAAAAGTCAGTTGAGTTCGATGCTTTCCAGTCAATAAATCAGTGCCTGATTATGTTTCTTTCCCTGCTGATGAGCAATTTTGCTGGCCACAATGTTGATATTTCCCATGTGTAAAAATCAAAAATATAATAAATTACAAGTAGCACACAGAATTGAAGGATTCATTGATGGATAAACTGTCGCTTGAATAAACAATCTTGACTTTGCTGACCTACAAAATGAATAATTTTTGCAATCTAAAGAGCTGTTTATCCTTATTGTCATTCTCATGTTGGTTGATGTTTTTATCATTGAGTAGATTTCTAGCCATCGTTTCACAAATTTTGCAAGTTTTACAGCTGCTTTCAAATACAGTATTAGTAAACCTACTCCAAAAAGCTCTCCCCAACACTTGTGCTCCTCGTTAATGCTCTCTTATGTTTAACCACTCTCCTCTCCTAAAGGTAATGGACTCCTTTTCCCTCTCCTGAAGTATGGTTCCACTGGCATCATTACCTGCTGTCTCACTATTATTCACCAGTAGGTTTTGAGTAGTATGTTGATGAGCTATTAACAATGGGAGGTATCATAACCAAGCCCAACTCTGTCCACACATGCAAAACCCCAACAGGATCTCAAGAAAACTATCATGAGCCCAGGCTGATGTTTCCCTCCCTAACCCAGATGTGCAGAGGTCAAGTTAGTTCCTCTTCTAACTTCCAAAAAAAATTATAAAATTCTTGCCTATAGCCTTGTTCATAGGCAATTACTAGCAAGTGTAATGACTGTATTTGGAGGCCAATTGGTGACAGCAAGGTCCTACAGATGTGAAGTGACTACCCAATTTATCTGGAGGATTGTTGGCCAGGAACTGGAATAAACTCCCTAATTCCCTGCAAATTTCTACAAAAGAGATGCGATAGGCAGAATGGGGGCCATTTCCCAATTTGTAATAGCTTAGATAAATGAGAAAAGTTAATAATGTTAGTTTCATATCTTTTACTCATTTGATCCCAGAGAACGCAGAGAACCTATTGGATGAGAAGTTTGTGGAATCAGCAATTTAATTTGAACTTTATAAAAAAAAATCTGGGCATTTCTTTCATTTTCACCCTACAGGTATGACGATGAGTTTGCAAGCAATGCTGCAAAACCCCAATTCCTGGAACAATTGGAAGCACACCTGAGGAAAGAACTGCAGACCCTGGATATGAGTAAGCCCAAAATACAAGAGGTCAAGCTACAGGTGTGTTTAGAGCAACTGCAGTTTGTACCAAGCCAGGTTTGCTGAGCAAACACGTTAAGCACAATCGCACACATATGTGTCACCACAAGATAATAATAATAATAATAATCCTTGCATTTGATATAGCGCTTTTCACGGCGGGAGGACGTCCCAAAGCGCTTCACAGAACACACTGTAAAGTGAATTGACTGTATATTTGTGGGCGAACGCGGCAGCCAATTGCGCACAGCAATGTCCCACAAACAGTCGTAGATTGAAAAAGACCAATTTTTATTATTGTTTTTTGTTTTGGAGGGATTATTATTAGGCTCTGTGTGGAGTAAGGAAACTTGCCCAAGGTTTCGCCCTGACCTGCCTGGAATTGAACTCAGGTCTCTCACTTGCAAAGCGAGTGCTCTAACCACTCAGCTACAGGACTCCACGATGTGACACTGAATTATAAAGAACGGGAAAGGTCCCAATTCAATTGCCCATATCTACTGTCGGTTATTAACATTTATTAATGTTCCAGTTGGTTTCACAAGTGAGCAAGTAAACTCGAATCTGAAAGTAAAGTAGAATCAACTGGGATTCCTACTGTCCTTTGCTATCCAAATACCTGATTGGAAAAATGTAGGATTGAGTTTTGCTTTGGTGCCTTTCTTGATTCCCGCATCCCAAATACTTTCATCACACCTTTCCAATGTCCACAGAGCCTGCTACTGATAGATGAGGAATGACTACTTGATTGAGGTATTGGTGGGCTTCTGACACGCATTGATTGAACCATTCCTTAGCATTAGCCAGCTCTTTAAATAGGGGTTGGGAGAAAATGGGATAAGAAAAAATTTATAGTGCAAGTCACTTCAAGTTATCATGGCTGAACCCCCTGTCTCTGTGTGGTAGTGTCCACCCTCTGCTGTACATCGCTCTCAGATGCCAGGCACAGGGTGGGGATCTTCAGCATTATTTATGTGTGAGTAATAATAATAATCCTTGCATTTGATGTAGCACCTTATCATGCCTTTGAGACGTCTCAAAGTGCTTCACAGAATATAGCAAGGTGAATATACTGTATATTTTGTGGGCAAAATGCAATTAACTGCAATTCCTTGTATTTTTTCATGCACCTACATTTTAATTGCGTCCAATTTTTTTTTGCACTAACCCTCCTCCTTCCATGTAGCTTTGATAGATTGCTGACCAAGGTTAATTTGGGAGACGGGACCAGAATATCTAATTTGCACGACAATCACGTTTAAAAAAATCATCCTACTGTCTGGCCTGCTTCATTTCTTTTTAGTAAGGGATCCAGCCATTATGACTGCTGGGACAATTACAATTAGATGCTTCTGTGAGACTGAAGAAACAGTGTGCAGCTTTTGAATGGCTATGTGAGATTCAGTGAGCCAAGTGATCAGTGTGAAAAGAATCAAGGAGAACAGACCTATCTGGGGCCTGTAGTGCAACTATCTTAACCCTTTAAATTCAGCTATACGATTCCTCACCAAAATAAAACGAAACCATACATTTTTAATAATAAACAAGCCACATTATTTTGTTTTGAGGGAAGTTCCAATCGTTTTATCTTTTGCTGTAATTCTAGTTTATTATTTTTTAAAAAATTGTTGAAAGATCTGGCACATAAAAGGCATGAAGGAAGCGCTGCATGTCATAGTTTATTTTAAAAAGTTAATTTATCATCTTCCTCCATGCAGAAATTTTCAGATGCATTCTGGAATTTTATTTCCCATCAAAACTATAATAATAATAATCCCTGCGTTTGATATAGTACTTTATCATGTCATTGAGACATCTCAAAGCACTTCACAGAATATATTGTAAAGTGGATTGACTGTGTATTTTGTGGGAGAAACACGGCGCACAACAGTGTCCACAAACAAAAACTAGTAGTAAATATCGCAGTTGTTCATCTTAGATTTTATTTTCACCTTGTATCAGCACCGGGAGGTCTTAAAAAAGTAAAACCTTCCCGATAGCCAAGTGGGAAAGCTCCACTACTAGTGCACTCCTAAATTATACTGTTTCCTGAATTCAGCTTCAACACTAGGCCTAGGTTAGCAAGCAAAGGAAATAGCCTGGTGTTTGCATTAGTCATTTCTATACAGTTCCTCTATTTAGCAATATGTGGTTATTGTGGATCATTAGGGATAGGGTTATGTGTAAGCCATTACTGCTTTCATTGAAATAAATGGTTAACAATATGTAATTTAGAAATGTGGATCTGCCCCGTGTAAATAAATGCGCTTACTTGCTAATTAAGATTATATTTTCACAAGCTATTCTTCTGAATTCAGTGAGATGTTGCCTCAGACACCTGCTGGGGGATTGATTTTTGTTTTTCATCTCTCTACCAAGGCCTACCGTGAGGTTTTTGAATATTTCATTGAGGATTTGAAAACGTACAAACCACTGCTAGCAGCCATAAAGAATGAATATGAATTGACCCTCGGTATGTAATTTCCTGTCACTCACTCTGGAAGCTGCTATGGTACTGACTGACTTTGGGCAAATTAGTGAGGAAGGAAATTGCTAGTCATCAGACTGTCATTCTTTTGTAAATTAATCTCTTGTGACTAAACATCATGGACTTCTAAGTTATCACCAGGTCACATTAGTTTGGAAGTGCCTATTAATTTTATGATATGTCTTTCAACTTTCAAAATAGCAACTTCAGGCAGATTAACAGCCTGCTTCAGAGAGATTGCTGCAGAGTGTAGCTAGGATAGGGAAAGGGCAGGTGAACGGGATTGCTCTTAAAAGAGCCAGCACAGACACCAAGTGCCGAATGGCCTTCTTCTGTGCTGTACATTTCTGTGGTTCTCAATGGGAAATTGAGTACTTCTTCCACGTTTGCTCAATAACTTCACCTGTGCAGGCCAGCGCACATTCACACTTGTGCACTTTCCTCCTCCACTTTCTTGTGCTACCATTCTGAACGGTTTACCACTGCTCATATTTAATGACTGAATGCCATCTACCATCTTGTCAGCAAGCTTCTATTACAAAAGGCATTGGTGGTGAGCAATGTCCATAATCACATTTGTGTGCCATGAGTGGAGTGGAATCTTCCCCAATTTGATAATGGAGGACAGACTCTGTATTAGAAGGTTATAGGTGCAAGTTTCATATCTCTCAGTCTAGCACTGGGAGAGAACTTGATTGTCACAGGTGCTGTCCTTTGGATGAGCTGTTAAACTGATGTCCCATCTGTCTGTTCAGGTGGACATTAAAGAATCCATGGCACTATTTGAAAAGAGAAATTTGAGGAGTTTCTCCTGGTGTCCTGACTAACAACTTTTCAGATAAAATTGATTATTCACTTCATGGCTGTTTGTGGGATGTTGTTGTACATGTATTGATTGCCATGATCACCTACAAAATACATAGTCATTACACTGTACAATATATCATGTAAAGCTGTTTGAAACAATCTAGGTAAAACCTTGTTTTGCACAGGCATATTCATGGAACGATTTATTTTCTATGTCCTAGCTTACATGGAAGACCAAATTCGTGAGCTTCAGCCTCTGAAAGCCATGATGTTTACGACAGTAGAACAATGTAACCAAAAGATCATGGCTATCTATGAACAGGAAAGCCTGGAGTTGAAAACACTGAAGGATGAAAAATTAGACCTTCTGAAACAAATTGATAAATCAATGGAAACGAAGAACACTTTGAGGGAGCAGGTCAGTTAATTCATGGGGACAGTTTATTTTCTTAGTGGGAAAAAGGTTAAGCTCCAGGCCTGGCAGGTTACAATGTCTTACTTATTGAATGGTGGTGCCAGGAAATGTTTTACAGTGCTCAAAGATGAATGCACTTTAACACACCAACAAACTTCTTTGTAACAATTGATAAACAGTGCAATAGTACCTTTATATTAACATCAAATGTTTGATTACTGACCTGCTGTGTGTTCCCAGCGACTTCTGATTTAACAATTAATAATAATTTGGTCACTCAATCCACGACTGGTTGTGGAACGCTGCTGTGCGCAATTGGCTGCCGTGTTTCACCCACAAAATATACAGTCAATTCACTTTACAATATATTCTGTGGAGCGCTTTGAGATGTCTCGAAGATGTGATAAGGCGCTATATCAAATGCAAGGATTATTATTATTTTTCTCTTACACCCATTAATTAAGCAGCGTTAGTGCCAGTCATTCAAATGTCATCCTCTGTAGTACTTTAATGTGCATCAGCTGTTCTGAGGTTCCTTAGAAAATGCCATGTAGCGTTATTCGAAGCACTTGAAATTAAATAAAACTTTAAAAAGCTACTGGAGTAGCAGTAGTACCCTCTGTGCCTGCTGAAACTTTCTCCAGTTATGCATTTAATAATAATAATAATAATAATAATCCTTGCATTTGATATAGCGCTTTTCACGTCGGGAGGACGTCCCAAAGCGCTTCACAGAACACACTGTAAAGTGAATTGACTGTATATTTGTGGGCTGTTTGTATTTGACTCAGAATATTGCGAACCTGACTCCTGTTCTAGCTGCATGCTTTGCGAAATGAAGACTAGATACTGTCCTGGAAAGCAAACCAAGAAATTGCTGGTGTAATAGACTGCCGAATTGTAAATGCGTTTCAGTCACTTAGAAAATTGATTGATAGACCTGAAGCAGCAACTAAGACGAGTCATATGCAGAACCAATGCTCTGTATGAGTCAGTGTCTTCAGGAAACGATTTATGGAAGGAGAAAACTGGCAATGAGGGAAACGGAAAAATTTATGTGATGTGAACAGAAAGGGGAGTTAAATCACCTACTTTATTTACATGTGTAAAATGGAATCCAGTAGTGATTAACTATCTCATCTCGGGCTTGAGCTCAGCTCCAGTATGGCTAGTGTGAAGATGGCACGAATACTTTTGGTACAGTTTATAAACTATTATGTTAAGCCAGGCAAGTATCAGGAAATGTGTTAAGTGATTTTTTAAAAATAATATGGCACATTGTGACTAAACTCTAAAGGGAGTACATTACTTAAAAATTAGGGTCTTCAATGTCAGTTATTTTTATGACTGTTCTTGTTTCCTGTCCAGTATGCCTAAAACAATGACGTTGTTTCCATACTTTGCATTTTCCACTTGTGTGTATACAGTATTCAACAATTGCTATTTATAACTTACAGCTACTGCCCCATGTTACTTTACTACTGTTTTTCTTTTTTTTAAAGCTCTGTTACCCTGTTTTTTTCTGTTCAGTTTTTTTTCTCATTCGGTTCATCATTTGCTATTTTATTTCTCTTTCTTCCAGTCTTTGCTTTTCTTTGCCCCGTTCCCTCCTCCTATCCCCCTTGCCCAGATTTCAGGTTAAGCAATGCCTTTGGTCAGAACAGACAGATTAGTTTGGAGAAAATCCAGCATCCCACACATTTTTGTGGTATATCTGTAATCATCTGCATGGTTCCTGTAGCCGATGGACATTTGAGATTTCTCCTACTTTGGAAATTCCTTCCTACTTTTTCCTCTGAGATCTCCAGAAATATGCAAATCCCGTAAAGATGGGAACAGTTGCATAGCATTCTAATAATAATCCCAGGATTTAACATAGCACATTATCACGTTGAAACATGTCAAAGGGCCTCACCGAATGAGTTGCTTTTGAATAGGCAAACCTGGCAACTAATCATTGCCAACAATGTGCCACAAATGGCAACAAAATGATCAAAGGTCATGTTTTTTTATTTTTATGTATTTAAATTAGTGAATATTCGTCAAGATCCCAGGAGAACTCAAAATTGTTTAATGGGATGTTTATCCCATAGGTCCCAAAGATTGGAGCCCCAGATTGACAGATGGGACCTTGGTTTTAACAGCTGATTAGAATGTGCAGGAGCGATGTTTACTAACTCCATGCAATGTGTGAGGACTGCTATCCTTAAGTATTCGTTCGTACCTTTTTACATGTGTGGAATTGATGTGCATGTCTCCACTCCATGTTCCTGATCTTGGTGTTTTCTGTGGCTCCTCAGGTTGCAAAACTGCAAACAGAATTGCAAATTCAATACAAGAAATACCGAGATGAATATGATGCTCGTAGACTTCTCCTTTCAGATATAAATAACCTGCGAGCTCAGCAAGAAGAATCAAAGCCTTCTGAGTTACAAGGTACTGCTTCTATCTGGAAGAAAACGCCAGGATGTCTGGGAAATATTGAACTTAGATACGGTTTTTTATTTATATTCACATTTCTATATTTTTTTAAAAATTAGCATTTTAGGCACCAGAAGCAATCAATTTTACATTTATCACACGATTTGCTTGTTTTCAAAATTACAAATGCTGTTTAGTATTCTAAGGGTTAAATGAATCTCACTTGCGAACAACAAATAGCACAATGATTTTGTAATGGTGATGCTTCACTCTTGAGTACACTTTGTATGCTTGAGAGCCACCATTGCCGTCACCATTATAAAATGTTAAGATTAGAATAGTTGTATGAAAAAGGAGGCCAGCTTAATCCTTCAGCGTCTATGACCAAAATGAATTTAATTCAACGTAAGGTGATTTGAAAAGCATCTTTTTGATTTGAGTGCAGAATAGCTGCTCCTGATAAAGCCCATCACCTTCACTACATTTTTATGACTGCCTACAAAAATCTGATTTATCTTCATCCAGCCTGAGCCACTACCAGCCAGTGGCTAAGAGCTGAGGTAAAGCAGACATATTGGGCTTCTGCACCTAGCCATGGTAACCAGCACAGATTTCAGCCACCCCATGGTGAATTTAAAGAGTAAGGAAATCATTGCTTATAGGGGTGTATCTTATCACTCAGATACTCAAGGAATAGATTTATTTCAGGTTGTATCCTAGAATGTGACCAGAAATAGGGTTTTAGGCTTGTAATTAACAAAAGTGCAAAAATAACACAATAAGCTGGAGAATTTACCTGAAGGCTTGTTGGGAACATTCCTCACATAACACTTAATTTAATAACACTAATCCGTGTTATTATTATTATCATTATTATTATTATTGAATTTGAGTTTGAGTTCCTGAATGGAGTCTGAAAAACAGCATTACTACAACAAAAGCAGAAAGAAACCAGGAAGAAAGTCACTTTTTAAAAAAAAATGAAAGTTGCTGACTAGTTTTTGTAACATCATTGATTAAGAAAAAGGTTTAATGATCCATAAATTTTAAAATGTATTCATATTTCCCCTCCCCCAATCTAACAGCTCTAACATACCTTGTGTTGTGGGTTTTATGTTATTGATCTAATGGAAACTCTTAAAAGATTTGATGTACATTTTAGATCTTGAATAGAATTTAATAAGTATGGTAAACGTCTGATAAAGACACCAACCTAACTTGTTACTACCCCATTTAAATCACCATGCTGTCAATATCCCGGCTGTGTTTATTTATGTATTTATACATAAGAATAACTGCCACTCTGGATAACTCGTCATTGAGCCCTCTTCCCTTTGAGTGATGAATTGTCAGAGTTAACCCTAACCCTAAGTTTACTGTATAAGTCACATTCCCTGTTGAAAGGAAACATTGTGTTTTTTTCTGGAAACATTACTGTTTCATTCAAAGAAAGGCAAACTTGCTGTGAATCTATCAGGAATTAATTGCATTACTTAAAAGTCTTTGATGAATTGGGATCAGAACTCAGAAGGATGGATCTCTATAATCATTTAAACGTGTGTGATTTTTAATAATCATAGGTGGTGATCAATTTGTGCTTAGGACATGCCTTTGTAAAGAAATCCTATTTTTTTCCTTTCTAAAAGCGGATATTGTTGAGGACACTGTAAAGTTGAACCTGGCACTGAAGGTCACACGTCAGGACCTTACAATGCTACAGGTGGAGTTAAATACGATGAAGGCAGAATACGGGGATGTGATTCCCAGAAGAGAGTTTGAGATTTTGGAAAAGAACTACAACGAGCTCCATGAAAAGGTGCGTGTATATGTGTTTCAAATCTGTTTGGCTAGGTTCTCAATCTAAATCACTCTCTGATTCCAAATGTCTTGTTTTTTCCAATGTCCAACACACACACACACACACACAAGCAATGCTTTCAGCATGGGCCATTGGCAGTGTCCAAAATCTATGTCATGTTTCCTCCCCACTCCCCTAAAATTTTAGTGTCCCACCACCACTGTAGCTAAGAGCAGCTAACTCAGCTAAACGTGGACAAAGAGGGGAATAAAACCTGGGTAACCAAAAAAAAGATTCTTTCTGATGTAGAAATAGCAACCTGAATCACCAATCAGACCAAGTTAAATTAATAACACATTAAATGGGATGATAATTTTCCAAAAATAATAGAAGTATTTAATATAGAATGTTCTGAAGGCAAACCAATGAGTAAGAGGATTGTCAAAGAAAGCAAGGGTGAAAGTGAGACTAAGAGTGCCAAAGGTGACTTCAATAATAATAATAATAATCCTTGCATTTGATATAGCGCTTTTCACGTCGGGAGGACGTCCCAAAGCGCTTCACAGAATATACTGTAAAGTGAATTGACTGTATATTTGTGGGCGAACGCGGCAGCCAATTGCGCACAGCAATGTCCCACAAACAGTCGTAGATTGAAAATGACCAATTTATTATTGTTTGTTTTTGGAGGATTATTATTAGGCTCTGTGTGGAGTAAGGAAACTTGCCCAAGGTTTCGCCCTGCCTGGAATTGAACCCAGGTGTCTTGCTTGCAAAGCAAGTGCTCTAACCACTGAGCTACAGGACTCCACAATCTTCTCAATCTTCTATCCAGTCAATTTGATTCAGAGAATTGAACGGTGATGGTCTATATTGATTGTATATCTTTTATTCATACAGCATGAACATATCCAGAAAGACCATAATCAGATTAAAGTGGAATACAGCACCCTACTGGAAGTACATAAGTACATTACTATTCAGCGGGACAAGTTGCTCTTAGAAATCGAGCAGTTCAAAACCAGTGCTTCAGGTAAATAGCAACTAAGTTTGCATTTCCCTCAATAGGACAGACCAAAGACCAAAGTGCTGATCAGTGACCATGTGCATTTTTCTTTCGTTCCAGTGTTCGTACCGAGCAGAAAGGGACAGTAAATTGTGCTTCCTTCTTTCCCTTCTCCAGTACCTCACCCAAGTTGTTGTCATTAACGTGTGAACCTACAGTGAGTGTCCATGGGCTGTTTGATCCTGTCTGCACTTGCGCAAGAGTTGTCAGTTCTGAAGAATTCAATATTTTTGACATCCAGGGTATTGTAGCAAGTCATCGCATATACTGCAATACACAGGTTATCTGTAGAGTAAAGCTCTGCCCATCAGTGAGCTTCAATATCAGAACTGAGTGAATTAGTGCAAGAGTTCTGAGACGCTACCCTGAGTGGAGAGCACTATATATGTGCAAGTTGTTGTTGTGACATTTTCATTTTTCACAACTTAAGGGCTTTTTGAGTTGGACACAAACTCATGCCAAATTGAGGGCAATCTTATGCTATTACCTCATGGAATAAATGGCTCAGATTGCTCAAGCTTATTTTCCTTAAGGGTGTTTAAAGGCCAAGAGGAGACTATCATCTTGTCAATCTATCTTGGATACAAACAGAGATATGAAAAATTGGGGACACTCCACGGACACTCACTGTAGGCTCACAGGTCAATGACAACAACTTGGGTGAGGTACTGGAGACAGGAAAGAAATAACCAACATGTTTCTCCTGGGGCCGAGAGATTGATGCTTAGCCAATAAGAATAATAATCCTTAATAATACTTGCATTTGTTATAGCATCTTATCACGATGCTAAGATGTCACAAAGCACTTCACAGGATTTACTAGAAAGTGGATTGTGTATTTTGTGGGCGAAATGCAGCAGCCAGTTGCGCACAGCAATGGCCCACAAACAGCCATGGAGTGAGTGACCATTATTTTTAATTTGGGGGATTGTTGACCAGGACACCAGGAGAATTTCCCTTCTCTTTTCGAATTGGATTTTTAACGTCCACCCGAGAAGGCACGTAAGCCTTCAGTTTAATGTCTCATCTCTGACAATGCAGCACATCCCCAGCACCGCTTTGGAGAGTCAGCTTAAACTATGCGATTCCAAGTCCTGACGTGGGTCTTGAAGCCACAACACAACATGCAATAAAAAAACATTTTTGCAACTTGCTTTTCGTGTGAGGACTCTGAGGCCCTTATAGTGAATGTAGCAGTCCATCAGTAATAAGAATTCTTTAGGGGAGTTGAATAAGTTTGATTTTGCTTCTAGTTTCAGGGGCAATCGTGCCAGCTGAAAGCCAAGAGCCAAGTCAGATAATGCACGAGATTGAAAAGAAAGAAACTGAAGATTTGGAAGAGTTTGAGGGCCTGGTAAGGAATATTCACGTAATGGTACTGGAAAGGTGGTTGTTCACAGGATGCCAGCTTGCATTTTCAACTGCATTATTTGTTACCAGACATATTTCAGCTAAAACCAAATTCAATCAATTTAAAGCCAACTCTGGAAAGGTAATTTAAAAACCTAATGGGAAACAAAACAATATTTTAAATTTGTTAAAACATTTTTAAAAAGTTTGTTTCCCCAAAGGTTTAATAAGCACCGGGTGTAACAATGGGTCATACAGACCAGAGGATGTAGTTCGATCTCCCAGGCTGATTTCAGCCACAGTAGCAAAAGCGCTTTGAGATGTCTCGAAGACGTGATGAGGCGCTATATCAAATGCAAGGATTATTATTATTATTATTATTTTTGGTGCTACAAATAGCCTCTGTGCCTGTGTATCAGGAATGGGAATATTCACCATTGTTTCTGCTACAAAGTGCCATCCAGAGACCACTGCTGTATAATGTGCTATTGCAGAAATGAGGTAAAGACAGGATCAGGCTTGATTGTGATGCCCCCTGCCCCCATGGTTTAATAGTCTACACATCTCAACTTGCACATGAATACCAGTCACTTGGGCAAGGTTGCCAGACCAAGGCTACAAAAAACGGAATGAGTGACAGGTCAAGCTGTTATCTTGTGATTCTACGTTTTGAACCACAGGACTGCTTAAATCTAGAATGAGGGGAATAATCAATTCGTAATGGTATGAGGTGCCCCAATTGTAGAGTAAGTACTCAGCAATGTCTTGGGCACAGCTTTGAAGAAAAGGGCACCAAGAAATGCCCTTCACTCCAAAACCCCAGCAGTTTGCAGTGGGTAGCTTTGGTAATGTTCTCACCTCTTTCTGTTGCAGGGCACTGGAGAAGATGTCCTGTTGTTTTTGAGACATGATGGTCTGGTGAAAAACACCCAAATGAGCAGGAAGGATATAGTCAGTGTGGTGATGGAAATCTGGAAGGAAAAAATTCAAGCAGACGAAGAGGTATTTGCATTGCACACACAGTTCTGGAACAATGAGTTTCTGAGCTTGAAGTATCACAACAGGAATGCTCTTCTGCATTACCACAGTGTCTCTGCTATCCTTGGAAGATGTTTTTCAGAGCCACAATCCATCCCAAAGTGATTTAATACAATACAAAATTACATTTGTGCAACGCCTTTCAGGTTGGGAGGACATCCCAAGGAGCTGGGCGTCCACCCAACCGTTCCTTGAAGGAATTTCCAATGTACAGTGTTAACTGATCTTTAGACAGTATACTACACAGATTTGAACTGACTGGAAACAAGCCCAAAAGATCTATGATCCCAGGTTCTCTTGCAAAATGCCATCACAAAGCAGCTAACAACAAACTGCTCTTCTGCTAGTTTTCATAATATCATGATGTAGTCCTGAGCTCAGTGGTTAGAGCACGTGCCTCACAAGTGAAAGACTTAGATTTGATTCCTGGCAGAGCAAAACCTTGGGCAAGTTTCCTTACTCCACACGCCTGATAATAATCCCTCAAGAGAAAAAACAATAATAATTTGGTCAATTCAATTCACGACTGTTTGTGGGACACTTCTGTGTGCAATTGGCTGTCGCGTTTCGCTCACAAAAATGCAGGCAGTTCACTTTTACAGTATATTCTGACGCCTTGGGACGTCCTCCCAACATGAAAGGCATGATACAAATATAATCCTGTTGTTGTTAATGTAATTTATGAATGCAGTTTAGTCATATTTGGAATATTCTGCAGGGTTAGAAAATATTGCCTGTATCCTATAATATTTTAACACTTGACCTTCACTGATGCTTCTATTAGACTTTCATTTTTGTGCATAAGTTCCTAATTGAAATCATAATGATGCAGTTATTAAATCCTAGATGGCTATAACTGTGCAGCATTGGGTATTACCGGCCCAGTAACACTGGGAATTTTCTCTGCATTATCCAGGGTAACGCAATGCTAAACCAAACAATTGGTTAGAGGATTGCCAATTAGTCTGTGGAGCCTCTGCCAATATAACTGAGGTAACACTGCCCCTGCACGCGAATTAAACACTTTGCTTCTATACAGATGTTTGCAATCTTTTAAAAACATTCAAAGTCTTGTTTTCTTCCGATCTATAGAGCGGAATAAGGTCCAACTTTGCCGAGTTTTTTAATAGCTTCCTCCAGAAGAAATATGGAGACCTTACTGTCCAGTGGGCCTATAACATCTATTACGGATGCAGGCACTGTCAAGATGATGATTATATCAATATATTTTTCAGAATCCTGAATGGAACTGTGAGTCTGTGTTTCCGTGTTCCTTGATTCTATAGTACTGGCAATTTAAAAGGTTAACTGGATTTTTATTTCCTATGTCATTCTGGCTCATCAAGAGTTGTTAAGGTGTGACCTAATATGGCAGCACAACGCTGCCATGGGTTGGAGCTCCAATGTAGGGTCCTGCGGCAGTTTGATTGCATGCCACTCAGTTTGGATTCCAATCTGTGCTGGTCTGGAGATACTGAAACAGAAGTCAAACGCAGAGCTAAAATTGCACTTGAGGTATTCAACTTACCTGGACGAGAGACAACTTTCTTCAGCTCAACGTGCGAAAAACCGAGGCACTCCTGATTGGCTCACGTCAGCGCCTCCGCACCTCAGGCGCTGACACCATCAGCATCCAAGGCTGCACTCTCCACCTCTCAAAGCCAGTCAGGAACCTCGGCGTTTTGTTCGACCCTGAGCTGTCCTTTCTCCCTCACATCCGCACCACAACTGGCACCGCCTTCCATCACCTCCGGAACATCGCCAGATTACGGCACTACCTCACCCCTCACGCTGCTGAAACCCTGGTTCACGCCTTTGTCACCTCAAGGCTGGACTATGGGAACTCTCTCCTCGCCGGCCTTCCCGCCACCTCCCTCCACAAGCTACAGGTCATTCAGAACCTGCAGCTCGTGTACTGTCCCGCACCAGGCTTCGGGACCACATCACTCCCACCCTCGCTCGCCTCCACTGGCTCCCCATCCCCCAGAGGATTGATTTCAAGATCCTCATCCTCACCTACAAGGCCATTCACGGCCTTGCTCCCTCCTACCTCTCCAACCTACTTTCCCCCTACCTACCTGCCCGTACTCTCCGTTCCTCTGGCTCCGGTCTGCTCCACGTCCCCCGCCCCAACCGTCCTACCATCGGTGGTCGGGCCTTCAGCCTCTCAGCCCCCAGGCTCTGGAACTCCATCCCCCAGTGCCTTCGCCGCTTCCTCCCTTTCCTCCTTCAAGGCCGGTCTCAAAACCTTTCTCTTTGACCGTGCCTTCAGTTCCCCTCTCAACTCTCTTCCCCCTCCTCGCTCCCTCCCTTCCCTCCCCTCACCCTGACCATTTCCCCCCTCCTTGCTCCCTCCCTGCTCGGGTCATGACCCAACTGTGCAGCGCCTTGGGACGTCCTCCTGACGTGAAAGGCGCTTTATAAATGGAATCTTGTTGTTGTTGTTGTACCTGCCGTGGTTATAAGCAGGAGATAGTGGAAATAATGATATAGTGTTAAGGATTGATCTTCTGCCTTTTTAAAGTGGACTGTGTTTTTTAAATCCTTTTAAGGTTGATGAAAGTATGTACCATGGACAAGTCCAGTTGATTTCAAATCTGGCAAAGCAAATGACCTGGCATGACAACACTAACGAAGGCTTTCTTAGCAAAATTAACTTCAGGTCAGAATTACTCATACCTCTCAGTATCAAATGGATTTCAAAAGAGTAGCAATAAAGGCAACATACAGGAATAGGACTGAATAGAATAGAACTGAATGGTTTGCTTTTTCAAATGGCATAGACATGATGGGCCAAATAGCTTTCTTCTGTGCTGTAAAGTTCAGAGGTTCTAAAGCGATGGTGAGTTGCTACAATTGTCTTCATTCTCTAGTTAAATTGGTGATTCATCTCTGGGCTGGATCACTGCTCTGCGCCATTCGTCACAAATACATCGTCACACCATTTAGCAGTAAGGGCTGTTGACTGCTTTGAGACGTTTCAATATGATTAAGATCTTATAATAATAATAATAATAATAATCCTTGCATTTGATATAGCGCTTTTCACGTCGGGAGGACGTCCCAAAGCGCTTCACAGAACACACTGTAAAGTGAATTGACTGTATATTTGTGGGCGAACGCGGCATCCAATTGCGCACAGCAATGTCCCACAAACAGTCGTAGATTGAAAAAGACCAATTTTTATTATTGTTTTTTGTTTTGGAGGGATTATTATTAGGCTCTGAGTGGAGTAAGGAAACTTGCCCAAGGTTTCGCCCTCTGCCTGGAATTGAACTCAGGTCTCTCGCTTGCAAAGCGAGTGCTCTAACCACTGAGCTACAGGACTCCACAAATATATCTCTGCTCTGCTCTTATATCAAATGCAAGGATTATTATTTTGAGTTAAGGAAGTTGGGGATTAGCCGGGGTTCCCCACTCCTAATCATTATCCAGTGACCCCCCCCCCACCCCCTGCAGTAGATAGTGTACCTGCAGATATCAGCTGAGGATGGGATCTGGTGGACCTGTGATGCCCCATTGCCTATAAATGTATATGGTGAGGTAGGTATATGAAAGCTCAGATGTCTCATTGTCTATAGGAGAATAGAGCGGAAAATATTGGGGAAAGGCTGAACCTATTTGAGCTGTAATAAATGTACAAATTTGCATCCTATTTAATAATGTTAAAACATTCATGTTTAGGTCTTTCCTATCAATTTGGGGCAGATAAATATAGAATGATAATAATGTGGCCATTCAATCCATGACTGTTTGTGGGACACTGCTGTGTGTGATTGGCAGTTGCACTTTGCTCACGAAATATACAATCAATTCACTTTACAATATATCCTGTGAAGCGCTTTGAGACGTCTCAATGACTTGATAAGGCGTTATATCTGTGAAGCTCTTTGAGACGTCGAGAAGATGTGAAAGACTATATCAAATGCAAGGATTATTATTATTATTATTATATGAAATGAAAAAATGCAAAGATTAATGCTTCAATGGTGCAGCAAGACTCAACAAAACTAAGGTCTTCTCTCTCAGATGATCGAATGAATATATGGGATTGTAGACATTTAGGGATAATGTGAATCCAAATGTCTAATCCAGAGCACGATGAACCCATTTCCTTGCTGGGTTTACAGTATTACTGAATCGAGGGGGTGGGGGGAATCAAACCAGCTCCAGCTCTTCAGTCCTAAGTGTAAATGGAATCCCATTACTCTGCAGTTTATTATTTTTATTGTTGTGATTGGGCACGTGGAAGGGATGAATTTTGAAATTAAAACTCCTAAATTTATTTCTTGCAGTCATTTGTTAAAGAATACTTTCCCCAACAAAACAGTCGAGTACCTCGATGAGCTGCTGCAAGCTGCAGAATTCCAGCTCGGAGCTGACGAAAATCTGAACTACAAAGCCTTATTTGGTGAGGTAATGTACATCATCATCATCCATGTCTTCAAAACAAATCCCAAGATGTATTAAAGCTGTATTGAGGAACACAAATATTTAAACTCGTAAATTAACAATTCAGCGATGCATTGCCATACAAACGTGCTGTATTACATGGTGTGATATAGGTTCAGCACAGATTGTTACACTGTTGTGAAACTACAGTACAGTGCACCGCTTTGGATAAAACAGCAGCAATGAAAGTTTTACCACTACAACAACTTGCATTTATACAGCTCCTTTCACGTCGGGAGGATGTCCCAAGGCGCTGGACAGTGAAGGGTTTACACCCGAGCAACAAGTGTTTCCCATTGCAAGGATCTCAGGAATCTCTTTGAAGTTGGACTGGTAGAATGTTAGGCACCTTTCGAACCAGTGGGTTGGAGCATATGACCTACTGAATAAGTAAATAGTGTGAAGCTATCGCTACAGATCCAAGATCAAGGGAATTCGCTCCGCGTCACTTCTCCTCCAACATCCACCCACCCCCCACCCCCTCACTCCCACACTCCGACTGCTACCCATCCTCCCCTACTCACTTTTGTACCCGTTTCCCCACCCTCTGTCACCAAACTCATCCTATCCCTGAAACCAACCACCTGCTCCCTTGACCCCATCCCCACTCCACTCCTTATATCCCAGCTCCACTTTCTTGCCCCACATATCACCGACATCGTCAACCTGTCCCTCTCCTCTGGCTCTGTCCCCATTCCCTTAAAAACTGCCACCATCACACCCACCTTGAAAAAACCCTCCCTTGATGTGTCGCAGCTATCAAGCTACCGGCCCATCTCCAACCTCCCCTTTCTCTCCAAGGTCCTGGAAAGAGTTGTCGCCTCCCAACTGCGCTCTTTCCTTTCCACCCATTCACTTTTCGAACCCCTTCAGTCAGGTTTCCGTGCTGCCCATAGCACAGAAACTGCCCTGGTCAAGGTCACCAATGATATCCTGACCATCTGTGACCAGGGCTCCCTCTGCCTCCTCGTCCTCCTCGACCTATCGGCAGCATTCGATACGGTCGACCACGCTATCCTACTCCACCGCTTGTCCTCCCACCTCAACCTTCAAGGCACTGTCCTTGAGTGGTTTAGGTCGTACCTTTCTCACCGTCTTCACTTTGTCTCAACAAATGGCTTCTCCTCCACCCCCCGCACTGTCTCGTGCGGTGTCCCTCAGGGCTCTGTCCTCGGTCCCCTCCTCTTCACCCTCTACATGCTCCCCCTTGGTGACATCATCCGCAGACATGGAGTTAACTTCCACATGTATGCGGATGACACCCAACTCTACCTTTCCTCCTCTACCCTCAACTCCATGACCACCGATGTCCTGACAGCTGCCTGTCTGACATCGAGTCTTGGACGAGAGACAACTTTCTTCAGCTCAACGTGCGAAAAACCGAGGCCCTCCTGATTGGCTCACGTCAGCGCCTCCGCACCTCAACAACAACAACAAGATTCCATTTATAAAGCGCCTTTCACGTCAGGAGGACGTCCCAAGGCGCTGCACAGTTGGGTCATGACCCGAGCAGGGGGGAAATGGTGAGGGGAGGGAAGGGAGGGAGCGAGGAGGGGGGAAATGGTCAGGGTAAGGGGAGGGAAGGGAGGGAGCGAGGAGGGGGAAGAGAGTCGAGAGGGGAGCTGAAGGCTCGGTCAAAGAGAACCATCAGCATCCAAGGCTGCACTCTCCACCTCTCAAAGCCAGTCAGGAACCTCTGCGTTTTGTTCGACCCTGAGCTGTCCTTTCTCCCTCACATCCGCACCACAACTGGCACCGCCTTCCATCACCTCCGGAACATCGCCAGACTACGGCATTACCTCACCCCTCACGCTGCTGAAACACTGGTCCACGCCTTCGTCACCTCAAGGCTGGACTATGGGAACTCTCTCCTCGCCGGCCTTCCCGCCACCTCCCTCCACAAGCTACAGGTCATTCAGAACCCTGCAGCTCGTGTACTGTCCCGCACCAGGTTTCGGGACCACATCACTCCCACCCTCGCTCGCCTCCACTGGCTCCCCATCCCCCAGAGGATCGAATTCAAGATCCTCATCCTCCCCTACAAGGCCATCCACGGCCTCGCTCCCTCCTACCTCTCCAACCTACTATCCCCCTACCTACCTGCCCGTACCCTCCGTTCCTCCGGCTCCGGTCTGCTCCACGTCCCCCGCCCCAATCGCCCTACCATCGGTGGTCGGGCCTTCAGCCTCTCAGCCCCCAGGCTCTGGAACTCCATCCCCCAGTGCCTTCGCCGCTTCCTCCCTCTCCTCCTTCAAGGCCGGTCTCAAAACCTTTCTCTTTGACCGAGCCTTCAGCTCCCCTCTCGACTCTCTACCCCCTCCTCGCTCCCTCCCTTCCCTCCACTCACCCTCACCATTTCACCCCTCCTCGCTCCCTCCCTTCCCTCCCCTCACCCTGACCATTTCCCCCTGCTCGGGTCCTGACCCAACTGTGCAGCGCCTTGGGACGTCCTCCTGACGTGAAAGGCGCTTTATAAATGGAATCTTGTTGTTGTACAGTGCTCAGTAGCAGTGAGTAAGGCAAACCAGATGCTGGGTTGTATAAAAGGGCAATATTAAGCTGATATTGGAATACTGTGTGCAGCTCTGGTCACCGCAATACAAAAAGGATATTGCAGTGACTGAGAGAATAGAGAGGAGGGCAATCAAAATAATTGAGGGGATGGAGGGACTGGACTGGTCTCTCCATCTGGGGACTGGAGCAATTAGGTAAACTGGGCATGTACATGCTGGAGAGGAGAAGATTGATATGATTACAGTCTTTAAGATTCTAAAGGGCCTAGATAATGTAGACTGTAATAAGCTGTTTTATTTTGTACTGAACAAAAGGACACAGCCTGCGATTGAAGGTTGGGGATAAATTCAGAACAAATCTGTGGAAACACTACTTCAGGGAGCGAATAGTAAACGTATGGAACAGGCTCACTAGGAAGAGGGTGGAAGCAGAAAATGTTGATTCATTCAAGGATAACTTTGATAGATTTCTGTTAGGAACTAATATCTTGGGATACGGTATATAGTTTGGGACTCAACATGTCATGCGACTGACAGGATGGTGGAAGGTGAACTAGATGGACCTTGGTCTTTCGCTAAGCAAATTCTTATGTTCTTATGTTGTTATGTGTGTCAGAGAATTGGGAGGAGAAGTCACTATTGTACAAGTGATGCAACTGGAATGATGGACACAAATGAGCTCAATAAATTATTAATGAAAAAAATATAAAAAGAAAAAACATCTATTTAGCTGATATTAAGAAATATGTAAAAGAGAAGTCTGCAGAGGTACATAATAATTTGAGGGAAAACTGTGTACCAGTCCAGAGAGCTCAGTGAAAAGAAGAATTTCAAACCTTCCAAAAAGGAAATGAGAAAACATTTAATTGGAAAACAGAATATGGTCTTTTTAGGACTTACTTTCAACACGGATATTCAGCCATTCTTAGCACCATCATCTGTTATGTATTGGGAGTACTTAGTAACCTTGTGTTCTGATAACTAAATTCCATAAATTTAATCATATGAAAGGGAGGTATGGGAGTAAGGTAGGACTGTGAGACTGAAGGTATCTACGTGCTCTGTGAGCCTATGCAGACTTCTGCGCTGTGTCTTTGTTGCTGTAATTTGTTATGCATTTCTGATGGTCTTTACTGATGTCTTGATATTTCTATTTCAAGTAGGTGGAGTGAAAATCGTTTAATTACTAAAGGTGCATATTTTATAGGTAGACCAATAAAAATATAGCTCTCAAATCCTAGATAACATCAATGTATTATCTGGTTTGGTAAACCAGTTGGCCAAATGCATTGTTTTTACTTTGGTATACTTTTGCTTAGATTTTAGACCTAGGAATGAAGTTACTGAGTTGTATTTTCCACTTAGTTAGCACCACAAAAGTTGAGCAATTTTTTTGGGGGGAGGATGTTGGTAGTAAGTTGCTTCATCTTGTACATCACAAGCTAAATATAGATTAATATTGGCTCCTTCAGATCCATTTAACTGGTTCACCTGATCTCTTGGCTGCAAGATGAGAGACCTAGATGAGGAGAGGAATGTTATTCACAGTCCAAGCTTCTTCTATTCATTGCACGAGTGCTACTGAATGTAATTCTGCACTGCATTCCAATCCCCTCCTGTGATTTTTAAACCACAGTAAGCTTTCTATCAGAGAAACTGCAGTTTCTTAATATATGTGGTTTGGCTTCTTGCATTCATATTTCATTGCTTCTGTCACTGTTTTACAGAATGAAGAGGAAAAACCAGGTCCTTTCATCATGTTATTAAAAAACCAGCAAGAATCTGAGAAAATCCAGTACGTGGACGAACTGAAAAGTAAACTGGAAGAGGCAGTGTAAGAGTCCAGTTTCCAGGAGAAAATATTAAAACTTCCCATTGTATAAGGATAGTACAACACTTAGGAAGTACTTTTCAAATAGGATAATGTCTCGATAGTCTATCCCACGGGTATTAGGAAGAAGTGGGTATTTGAAGGAGTTGACCAATGGTGTGATGAGAGATAGGGTTTTAAGAGGCTTTTAAGGCAGGGGTACCAGAGTGTAAGGCATAGTGGCTGATATCTTAACCACCAATGATGGGACACAAAATTACAATGTTATGACACAGTTCACATCTCTGATGAGCACGAGTCTTCTCAGGCGCCACTGCTGTCAGCTCCCGAGCAGTTCAACTCTGTTGTGGTAGATCTTTTGCCTGAGTAGCATCAACAGCAGTTTTCGGATCTTTAATCCCTCTCTTCAACCCATGGGATCACTCTTTCATATTGAACACATTCCACAATGGCTATTATATACATGCTATTCCATCAGAAAGATTGTATTTTTCACTGGTGTTTATATTCACCACCTTAATCATGAACTAAGGAGACAGTAAAAAGCACTAACTTCAAGTCTAATCTGGAATTAAATGCCTTTGAATGTTATCTATAGAATGTATTTCATCCTTAATGCAGTTCACTAAGCTAAAGTGACTATTTTGTATTTGTTTTACTGCTGTGTTGAAGGATAGGAACTTTCACAGAGTACAGACACTATCTTTAGTGCAAATTCCTGGCATTCCACTCATTTAATAACATCTACAAATATGCTAAAATTAGCACAAAGGAATATTTACATAGATTCACATGGAATTTACGGCAAGTGAACAGGCCATTCGGCCCAACTAGTCCGTGCCAGCTTTTGTACTTAACATGAGTTTTCATCCACTCCTTACTCCTTCCCATATCCTTCTAATCCCTTCTCCCACATGTTGGGAGCCTAACAAATTCAAAGCAGTCCCCATAACTCTCAAATACTGTACAATAGTTATTTGCATTAGCTGCAAAGCAGATTATTGTAAACTGCACCCGATAAAATAAGGCTATGACTTTATTATATTTTAATTATTATGTGTAATCCTTTTATATAGAGACGTCACAGTAGCCGATCTAAAAAATGCTTTTCAAGACATTGACCCTTCTATCCTGCCACACATCTTGGACACGTACATAATGTATGCTTTTCAAACAACAAAGGAACAGATCGATCAGGCTGGTCCTCTGGATCTTGACGTGCTGCTCGAGCGACTGCAAGTATGTGATGTCAAGAGAATAGGACCACCATCTATTGAATAAAATTAGTCTTTCAGTTTTAAAGTTTTTAAAACATGTTATACTAATCTAACAGTATATAGTTTATTTTAGAATGAATATACTATAAACAGCAATAAAATTAGTTGTTTCTTAACTACTTGAAACCATAGTCTTTATTTTTTTTAAGCAAAATGGGTCCATAGGAGGTCAAGTTTCTGACTCATCTTTGCAAACCAGATGTGATGCTATAAGTAGAAAAAGCCCATATATAGCTGGAGAATAGCTATCTGTGTGTCAAGACTATTTGACAAAAGCGTTGAATTTTATCTTTCAGGTGCAAACATATTCTTTTTGCTAGGACTGCATTTAATAACAGGCCTCAACAAAATAAAGTTATAACAATAATAAGTTAGAAAAATGATGATCTATAGTAATCTATAATAATCTCCCTGGACAATAGAATAGGGTGGTGACTTGATTTGTAGTCAGCTGCTTTGTAATGGACTGCTCTAAAGTATGAGGAAGCATCCCAGGAGAGTCTTTGTAAATAGATTAATTTTATTAAGGGTTCATATTGTATTAATTACAGCAATTGAGCTTGAGGCATGATAATACACCAAAGCACGCAATGTAATTTCAGATAGGAATAAAAGTGAAAAATACTTTCCCCAGATGGCACGTTATAATGTACTTTCAGCAGATTTTTTAGAGCTACAATAATGTTAAATATACCTTAGTGCAGTCTAAGGTATTCAATCAATTATTAATCGACTTCATTCAGTCGACGCATCCAAATGGGGAAAATGTACTGTGACTATGTCAACTCCCTGTTTGTCAGCTTTCCCAACTCTTGTCTCCACAAGCTACTGATCATCCAGAACTCTGTAGCTCGTGTCCTCTCCCGCACTCCCACTCCCACCCAGCTCCACTGGCTCCCCACCCCCCAGAGTTCAAAATCCACGTCATTGCCTTCCAGGAATTCCACGGCCTGCTCCCTCCTACCTCTGTGACCTGCTAACCCCATATCGATGTGTCTGCTCCCTCAGCTCAGCAGGGTCTGGCTTGCTCCACACTTCCCGCCATCGGCGCTCAGGCCTCTCTAACCCCACTCTTTGTAACTTCATCCCAGTCCCTTCACCTTACTCCTGACCTTGCCTTCTTCAAGGCACGTCTCAAGACCCTCCTCCTTGACTGCCTTCACTCTTCTACCTCTACCCTCCCTGTCCTCCACCCTCCCCAATCCCCAGCTCGGGTCCAAATCCCTGACTGTCCAGTGCCTTAGGACGTTCTCCTGACGTGAAAGCTGCTGTTTATGTGTGTGACATTGGATAATGAGAGTTAGTGACTCCAGTATTTCAATGCAGCGCATCAAATACAAGCTGAACACGCACAAGAGCAATTAATTTCCAGCATCAGAAATGTAGGCGAAGAGTGTATTAAACCTTGCAGGAATTGACATGGCTCTTATAATGAACAATGGTTTCAAGATGTATGCCTGCCAAAAATGGAAATGAACTGTACAAGTAATTTATTGCTTTATTATGTCTTAGGTATTATTACATTGTACAATTAAATAAAGTCTGATTCAAACTCTACTATACAATGGTAAATCAAAAATGCATTTAAGATTTAAATAGAAATACAAGTTTATAAAAGAATAGTGGAATACAACATACATTTTCTGAGGCGAGCAAAACATTGGTCAAGTGAAATGGCCAGCTTCATTTCTGTGAAGCATTAGGTTAAGTGGCTCTCCTTAATTCTCTAGGAAATTTAAGAAATTTACATTAGATGGTGTATACACCAAAGTACTCACAAGCCACAAATATAGAAGACATTTTCAAATCAAAGAATGCAAAACGACTGGGAAAACTGTTTGGCTTTTAGAGAGGCTGTTAATAACCGCTTCATATCATTCTATCATCGCTACTTAAAAACATTCAGACATAACTGAAAAACAGAATTTGAGCCAATGATTTTTGGAATCTTGATGAAGCAAATTGCTTGTGTTCACTCAGACTCAGGACATTTATTTTATATTGATGCTGACACGTGGATATGCCACATTTAATTTCATTTAACCTCTGGGACTTGGATTTGAGGCTGGTTCAATCAAACTGCTGGGTGTGTAAGTCTTACAAGAAATTAGTTGAAAGTGAATCCATTTCTATCAGCATGGATCCATATAGCACTCGAGTTCCCATAATGTAGCACAAAATTAGCAATCTTACTCAGAGAGGTTAGAAGGATGGCGTGTTGTATGGGGGGGCATATCACTGTTCAGGCTTGTTTTGAGTGGAGAGTTTTACATACGTGGCTTTGTTGTATCTATTGGGAATTGTTTGATGTCGGCTCGTGCTCAGTATACACAAAATTGATAGCAAATAGTTTTGCAATCCACGATCTGACACCATCATCCAGATTTTTCTTTCAAGTCAAATCAAATCATTGAAATGACTCAAACGTGACTCAGAATCAGATAAATACCCTGATTTTATATTAATACAGTGACTTTTTGACAGGGAGGAAGGAAGTAAAGAAAGAAAATCAGCTTCTACAAGATACTGACATTTATAAGTGCAACAAAAGCACATCACTGCATACTGTACCAGGAAGAACCTTTTTTAAAATGGCTGTGGATTTATACATTTCTACATAATCAGGTCCTGGACTTTAGACCCACAACAGAAGTTAATTTGTGACTTTTTGACTTGTGAACTCAGAGCAGAACCGAAGAGACGCTGCAGTTATTTCTTAGGAATAAGATTATTCCCACTAACAGCCATTGGAATTAGTTTTTCTCTGTACTCCATAGGCAGATGTTGCTCAATGAGGACATTCAAGGGTGTCTTATCAGTCACAAATCCCTGTCTGATAAACAAGAGCAATAAATCAACAACAAACTCAACACATGAACTTCAATTTCTACTCAAACAGAACTAATACTCAATCAGTCTAAGTAAACTACAGTATATTATAGGGTTATCCATTCTGTACTTTGCAAAATCTTTATAAACCTATGGTGATAGTTTCTTATTCATGTTACATTGATAGGCACGTAGTTTACATCCCATGAAAAAAATAATTACCTCAGTCACACTGCAGAACCTCTTCAGTTTTCAATTGCTATAGCCCTTCATATTTCTACCCATTCTCATTCAGAACTCTGCATGATGGTGACTTTATAACCTGCTAACCAGCTAAAATTAAGTTAACAAGTTTACTGAATTTCTTCAGCATCTTCTAAAGACTAGATTCAACACTCACCTTTTCATTAGAAGTTCCAAGTCTTCTTTTTCAACAGTCTTTCTTTTAGCATGTTTACTGTAAACATCCATGTCATCGCAAAGCTGTTTGAAATACACGTCCATACTGTACAAAAAAATGCATTTAAAAATGGTGAGAAAAGACAGATTGTGACACAGTAAGAATAATGAACTGTGCCAATGCAGTAGCTCATGGCCCGTCTACTGCAGGATTTTTTCCTTTGCAAAACACTTACCATTGTTCAACAGCGTTATACGTTTCTTTCTTCACTTTCATTTTGGCATAGTGAGAAAAGGCATTCTTAATGAAGCTTCTTGGCAGGATAGGTTTTTCCTTCTTTTGTCTCGTCGTTTGCCTTTTCCCACTTTGTTTTCCCTTTGCAAGTGGTTTTTGTTCCCTGTTGAAAAGTAGTAGAAATAATAATAATCCTTGCATTTGATATAGCGTTTTTCACGTCTTCTCGACGTCTCAAAGCGCTTCACAGAATAGACTGTAAATAATAATAATAATAATCCTTGCATTTGATATAGCGCTTTTCACGTCGGGAGGACGTCCCAAAGCGCTGCACAGAACACACTGTAAAGTGAATTGACTGTATATTTGTGGGCGAAACGTGGCAGCCAATTGCGCACAGCAGTGTCCCACAAACATTTGTGGACTGAAGTGACCAACTTTTTTTTTTGAAGGATTATTATCAGGCGTATGGAGTAAGGAAACTTGCCCAAGGTTTCGCCCTGCCGGGAATCAAACCCAGGTCTCTCCCTTGCAAGGCGAGTACTCTAACCACCAAGTTAAGTTACAGGACTCTGATGCGAAATATTTCACATCGTCACGATCTCTTTTTATCTCTTCCCATATATTAATCAGAAATCAAAAGCAAAGAACACAATAATAAAGGAGATAATTTGTCAACAGAGGCAAAATAATGAAATGGAATAAGGGCTGTTATGTTTTAGACTCTTAAAAAATGTTAGGAAAATGTGATACGCATATTTTTGAGGTTTCATGGGCTGCAATGTTAGTTTGCTTATGAGATGTTAAACTGAGGACCCCATCAGGTGGATGTCAAAGATCCCATGGTACTATTTGCAAAGAGGAGGTGGTTTCTCCCAATGTCCTGGCCCACAAATCCCCCAAATAAATATTGGTTACTCACTCCATGACTGTTTGTAAGACATTGCCATAAGAGTGGCTGCCACGTTTCGCCCACAAAATATACAATCAAATTACTTTACAGTATATCCTGGAAACCACTTTGAGATGTCTCAACAACATAAGGCACTATATCGTTTGCAAGCATTAAATTAATAAGCATTGCTATTGGAACTGAACATAGAACAGAAAATTATTATTTATAGAACCCTAATTTATCAAACCTCTTCAAGTTAAAAAAACTAACCAGTGGAGATATTCTTCACAGTATAAAACATGTAACCCATCATTAAAACACTTCTGCATTTTTTCACTTGACAGGAGCTCTTTTCATGAAAAATCATTTCACTTTAACCAGGATTTCAGCGCAGTCTCAAACTATGAAAGAGCTATATAATCCTGTAGTCCTGTAGCTCAGTGGTTAGAGCACTTGCCTCACAAGTACTTTGATTCCCGTCAGGGCGAAATCTTGGGCAAGTTTCCTTACTCCACACGCCTGATAATAATCCCTCAAGAAAAAAAATATGAAATAATAACTTGGTCACTCAATTCCACAAATGTTTGTGGGACACTGCTGTGCGCAATTGGGTGACATGTTTCGCCCACAAATATACAGTCAATTCACTTTACAGTATATTCTGTGAAGCGCTTTGAGACGTCTCGAAGATGTGAAAAGCGCTATATCAAATGCAAGGATTATTATTATTATAATGACAAATAAAATACAAACAAATGTAGTGTAAAAAGATACTCATTGGTACATACACAAACATACATCCTTTGTCTAAAATGTTATTGTATTGTTTTCCCCATTGCTTACTTTGTTGCAAGTATCTTGAGAAAGTGGGGTGTGGTCAGCAAAGGAGACGGTTTGCTTTTCAAACGCTGGAAGACTGGTCTCACTTTTACACCGATGAAAGCAATCAGGTTGAGAAAGGAAGAGAAAAAGCATGGTTTAAAATTCATAAATGTTGCAAACACATCAAAATTGTGAAAATGAGTCAAATTTTCAAATTAAAAATGGGAAGGATTTAAAGTTTGCATTGGTTTCGTACAATTTGTTTTCTCAAATTCATCAAAAAAAAAATCCAGTGACGTTTGCGGCTTTACTGTTTACCTTCACTGGGATCTTGTTCGGATTCGCTGTCACCTCCTGTCAACTCTTCTTCCTCATCCACTTCATCACTTTCTGCTCTGTTAGAAGACTGTGCTGCACTAAACTCCCCTCCACTGTGAGGAGGTGAACTCTGTCTGGCTTCTTGGGATGGCTCCAATGCTGCAGGGGGAAAAAAAAATGGCTACCGTGGAATTAATTTGATTCAACCATTTCACTCGTCCAAAAATTTCAGGACACTTTATTGATGCACAAATAATATCAAAATCGCAATTCATGTGCTTATTATTTGCTTGATCCTTCCGTTGGATAATTCAATGATATTAAGGGCCATCCAACATGAAAACGGAAGACAAAACAACTTAAAACAAAAAACAAATTCACCAATAACTTATTTTGTCAGGGAGGGCGTAAAGAAAAAAAATCACTTTCAAGCACCTGGGAAATGTTGAGATATCCATTTTCTCAAGGATCCCATTACACCAGCCTCTAGCTCTGTAACTGGGACTAACATCACAAGCAAATAGGTGGTCTCTTGTTTAAATTCACGTGTGATTCCTCTGCGTAAACAAGCCCGAGGACTGTTGCAAGATAGCACTTCTCAACAAAATCGGTGCAACTTGTTTTTGCCCACATTGGTATTTGCTCAAATTCAACAAAGATTTTTAACAATTTTTTTGCTAAATGCTTGCTTGCATCTTAAATCTTCACTCTCACCGTCAAAGACAGTTGGATATTCACTGTCGTTCTCTGCCACTTTCTCTGCGTATGCCTCTGTTCTTTTTGAATGTTCTGCTGCAGCCAGTGACGTCTTTACCCCATGTTCAGACTGACACTCCCTGGCACCCTCTTGTGTTTGGATCTCTGAAGAATAAAACAACATCTACATGCTCACAGAACAGATTGAAAACTTAATTTGAATTTAATAATAATCCTTCAAATTGATATAGCACCTTAACACGTCATCGAGACGTCTCAAAGCGCTTCACAGAATATACTGTAAAGTGAATTGACTGTATAATTTTTGTCTGCGAAGCTTTAACTTAGATGAAAAACAGTTTAGTGTAAACACCCCCAGAAAGGAGTGGCTACTGAAGAAAGTTTTGACCATTATGATTTGTGTTTATGGGTCTGTGACAAAAGTGTTGGATTTTGGAATTGAAAGAATCTCAGCAGGTTATTTTCATAGTGGCTTAACAAATGAAATTTTATTTAGAAATATTTTATTCTCATTACTCTGAAAAGCCACACTATGGTATAAGCTAGTGAATAGCACAGGAAATAGTGATGACTCATGCTGAAATACTTTCATGAAATTGGCAGTCCTCCAATGCCTCGCTCCACTCTATATTCCTGGCGCTTTGGGACGTCCTCCTGATGTGAAAGGTGCTATACAAATATCATTTGTTGTAATTTGTTGTTGTTGTCTTCATCTGTAATCCCACATGAAGCTTCAGCAAGCTATTCACTTGCATGGGGAGCATCACAGTTTAGCCTAATTCTATTGCTATCACAGATGCAAGTGGTTTTCAACAGGGATCAGAACAGTAATCAGGAGAGGGAATCTGTTTTCTAAGTCCTGAAATCGACTGTAATTGCTCACTGGTATCCTGTCTAAAAACAGATAAATCAGCACTGATCAGGTATCAAACACGACTCAGCATCACTGGGGTGCAGTTTTTCCATCAAACCACCGAGAAAGCCTACATTCCATCTGGTTACACATCTAAAGCAACCTCACTCCATTTCAAATGTATTCAATTTCCAATTCAGATAGCACAGGTCTGAATGACTGATTGACTGCAGCCTAACCACTTACCTTGCTCATTGTAATCAGCTTGATTTTCATCCTGATCTGCTGCTTCTTCATTTTGCTTTGATGTTTCAGAATAAGCTACCGATTCCTGCACTTGTTTGAATTGGTGAGCTGGTTCCTCGATAACTAGAATAAAACATAGTAAATGTGTTTTTGTTAAAAACCACTATACATTTGCACAGCGCCTTTCACTTTGGGACATCCTTCTGACAAACAGATGTAATTTGTTGTAAATACTATAAAAGTATTCAGATACCTTCACACCCTAGCACCTCCCTATCTTTCTGATCTTCTATCCTACTCATCGGCTCGCCCTCTCCACTTAGGTATTTTTGGCTTGCTATACGTCCCCCGCCCTCGATGGCTGAGATCTCTATACCCCTAATCTCTGGGCCACCTTGGCTTTAACTTTATACCTTGGCTCTTTATCTATCCTTCACAGGTTATTTGACGAGAAACAAATTAAACAGAATAATCAGGATTAGTGTAAAACTGACCATTATGCACATTTTCATGAATCTAACTTTCTAATGAAATCCAACAGCCCAACCCTGCCCATTTGACTCAAAGCATTCATTCCCCCCATGATAAAACAGTTTGCAAGCTTCAAATACTAGTGTTACAACAATTATGAAACTCCATTTACTGGTCAAAAAGTTCTGCCTGCTTTGGAAAGACTGGAAGCAGTTTCAACAACAAATGAGGCAACAATTCAGCCTCCAGCAATTAATTAAGTAAATGGTGTGTTTTACCTGCCCGAAACAAACGACACATTAAATATACACTTCCTGCAAAAAGCATAAATTATAGAATGTATAGCACAAAAAATAGTCCCCTGCCCTTTCTACAGCCATTTTCTTTTTGTCTTTCGATATTTTAGTTAGCAGCAACAAGGTTCCTTAGATCCCCTGGTAGCAAATAGTTAACAGTTTTTCTAGAACCTCTAATAATTGCTGTTACGTAAGCAAAAATATTATAACTGTACTTAAACTCCTTTTACTGTGAAAATAGTTTTTAAAAACTTTCTGGAAAATTAACTTGCAGTATGTAAGAGTACAATAAAGAGACCATAAAATTAAACCTAGCCCAGGATTATTTAACAAATAACTTATAATTCACAGGAAAGTAGAGAAATAAATAGCATCAGATAATAAAGGCTCCTCTATGGAATTATGTGACTGCCATGGTGTAATTTACAAAGCCTCACTTCACCACAACTGATCATTTCTGTGCTGGTCAATGATGACAGATACGTTGGTCATGATAAATGTAGTCCATCCTCCCAGGTGTTCTGTGAATTATGATTCTTTTAGCTCGTAGCACTAAGATTTCAGAGTAAGCTCGTAGAATAAGTGAAGTAAATGCATTAACTGATTTCACGATAGAGGAACAATATATTACTCTGGAAATAGTTTCAAAATGTCACTTTGCTGGTGAAAATTTTTCTAGTACTGCATGGTGCGATTTTCCACATTAGGAACTTCTGAGCTCTTGGCAGGTTCTCAAAAGAGGTACAGAGTGAGCTGCCAATGTACTTGGCAGAAGTCTGGAGAAATAGGTTTGCTTAGCAGAGAATACAAAATGGATGGGGAAATCACAACCAGTGATGGGGTAAAAGAGACAAAAGAAAGATACAAAGAGAGAGAGAAAGATACATTTAGAGGAAAATATTCCAAAGGAAAGAATTGTCTCCACAATTTTTTCCCCCTAAAATAGATGTAACACTGTAATATTATTGAACACATCTTCATTATTCCTCTCATGATATCAACTGCTCTGTATTGTATTGTATCAGGATTAGACTGCAATACCATTGGCATCAGACTGATCTTCGATGCATAGATCTTCGTCATCTTTTTTTGTAGTATATACAGACTGCTGGACTTGCTCTGCAAAGTAATCCTCCTTTTCTTCAACGAAAGGAGAACTTGGTCTTCCTGCGTTGGCTGTCTTTACAGATTCTTCCTCAAAAGAGCCCGATAATTCAGTCTGTCTTTCCAGGTTTTGTTCTGTATTCAGAAGAGACTCGTTTCTCAATTCCTGTGACCCTGCTGTTGGCTTGCTTAAAGGATTTGCAGTTTCTGACTCAACAACCTCCATTCCATCACTGGTCTTTGTCTCGGGCAAATCAAATAGCTCAGTACTGCCCAAGAGTTCATCTTCTTTCGAAAATGTCCGTGTGTTTTCTGCAGATTTCTCTTTGCCAGCAGCATCGTCAACAGATTGGCGTTCTTCGTGGATTCTTTTCTCTAGATTACAAAAAGATTTTCATATTAGTTCATTGCTAGTGAAGGCATCAATCCACAAAAAGCTCAATTCATTTTATAGTTTACAGTGAATTTCAAACTAAGTACAGCCAAGAGGAATAATACATTCCATTATCAAAGATCATCACAAATGGAACTAATGAGTATGTGTACTGTGGCTGTATGGCTCAGTATGCTGATAATGCAGTTGGCGGGTTGTAGACGCATCCCTGAGATTTCCCCAAAGGGCACATTTCTCATCTTGACAATTCTGCCAGGCAGTTCTCCACAGCATCACAAACAATCCAGATATGTTGCTCACTGCCTTTTTGCAGATCATCTGCCAATCACCTTATTAATGTCATTAGTTGAGGCCTAGCATAAATTGCACCACAGGGATCCTGCTGTTCTGTAACATAATTAATTCACTGGTCCATTAGGCATGTGTTCCTTCAAAAATATACCTACATATGATGGGAGTGTTTGAGGAAGGACATATCTATAGAAATCACTGTTGGAAACATTACAACCAAACTGTATCCATACATTCAACAAACATCCGTCAAGTAAATGGATACAAAATGGGAAGTAAACAGAAAGACAAGCAAGTGAACAACGTCTCTTTGATGTCAGTGTATCCTTAAAGATGAAGTACTGCAGTACAATTTAATGAGAATAAAATTGGACATTGGAAGAGAATTTTGATGAATTAATGACATGCTGTACGGATTCTGCAGGATGTTGTCATTTCTTTTTGTGACATGGCTGTGATGATGATCAGTGTATATAATTAAACTCTTAAATATTTGATTAATTAATGTCACTTCTGCAGCCAGTCAGTCTGCTTGGCATGGCTGTGTAGAATTTGATGGTACATAAACACCCTTCCCTACTGATATTCAGTCATTGTAAAAAAAACACTGAAATGCTTTTTTAATAGGTACACACCATCATCAGATGAATTTGAATGAGCTGCTGTTACTGACCACAACATGAACATATTCTAATGCTATTCAGCAGAAATGGTTTGTAATCAGTCTTGGTGCTTTTCTCACAATAGCTCACAGCTGGCAAAAGACTGATCATGGTAAGTATGTATTTGTTCACCTAAACGCTCAACATACCAGCTGTAAAGGCAAAGCAGCTGCTTATTGCACTGCAGAATCATCAGTCTTACTCACAACATGCCCCAGAATGTAGAAAGTAGTCGTCTCCAAAATGTAACCAAAGCAGTGTTTCCATTCACCAGTTCTCTAAAATCTGTTTGTAATTAAATATAAACCAAACATGGTTTGGGCAAACTGAAAGCTGAGGGAAACAATTGATTTTTAAACTAAATATTTATCATACCCTTTTCTTCCTGTAAATAGAAAAGGACTTTTTCTTCAAAATAATCTTCACTGACGAGTCTGTGTTCTCCAGGTCTTCTACTCAAAACTGGCCTTGCTACAGACTTTTCAACATCAAATGAACTGTAATAGACAGAATAATATTAATGCATTCCCTGTAAAGCACCATCATTGGCATTTTATATTCAAATGACGGAAGATGAATTTCTGTGAGACCGTAAGGATCCAGCTTCGTATCTCACCAGAGATGAGGATTGTACAAGGATTTACCTGAAATTGGAATTTCAACAATTCCACCCACCCAAAAAGCAATAATTGGAATCCCTGATATAGTATTGACAGCTTGAGAAAAAAAATCTATATTCTTTCATAGTCATTCTTCAAAAGAAGAATGTTTATTTAACATTATCAACATCTGGACAATAAAAGTTCAAGTGTTAATATGTTACACTACAGAGTGAGCTTGGCTTCTATCAGTTAGTACCCAATTATTCCTGAAGCCTCAATCAGTCCTGTGGTGTTTTCAAATGGTTCCAATTGTTCATTTTCTTCAGGTTCTGAAAAAAAATCAAAGAAATGCTTTACCATATTTGTATGATTTTCATTGAACATTTATCACTTTTACATCCGTCATTTCTAGATATTCTGTGCCATAATATGCTGTTTGCTTTGTGTCAAATTATTTCCTTTCCCCATGTAAAATGTCCTCATTCCATACCTTTCGCTTGGAGATATTGGTTTAACCCTTTTTCAAAGTCCTCCTTGCTTATGAATTTGTGTCTTCTGTGGCTTCTGCTCAGAATTGGTTTTGTGGTGGATTCTACAAAGTCTGGATCAAGAAAACTGCAACAAAACAAATGATTGTTCTAAACATTCCCAGTTTTTAATCCCTGTCACCAAACTTGTACCTTGAGGCAGGAATCAGGTGCAATCTGAGACACAGTAAAACTCACCCAGTTAGGGAAAACTGATCTCAATCCTTCTTACTATTGGAGGTGAAATACAATCCCTGTAGATTTAATACTTTACTGCTCGAGGTACCAGCCCATTTACCCTTAAAGTATTGTTATCTCGTGACTGGTGCTGGAAAGCCAACATGTGGATATTGCGTGACAACAAAAAAATTACATTTGTATAGTGCCTTTCACGTCGGGAGGATGTCCCAAGGGGCTGGACGATCAGTATTTCGGATCTGAGCTGGGGGTCAGGATCGGGGAGGGTGGGGGGCGGGGGGAAGGAGGGTGATCGACTGCAATAGAATCGGGTTCAGATGTAACCACGACCAAGGTTACATTAGTATGATCACTCTTATCATTTAAGATCACATACAGAGAATGGTTGCGATACCAGAGAACTGGTGTCTACTAAACCATACTCCAGTATGAGTTGCCGCTTCAGGAGCGCGAGAGCATGCTGGAAAGTGACCCCATCTTGTCACAGCAAAATTGGCTAGGTTTATTCTTTTTGATAACTTTTAATAAATTGTTAAAATAAATGAAAAGAAAATGGAAATATGCAGCAAGATGGTTTAAAAAGGATGAATTCAACTGGCATAACTCATTTTTATTCAACTTGATTCAGGGTTAACAAAATCACTGCTTCCCGTGGATGTACCTTATCGTGTTAGCTAATCATTATGCAGTAAAGTGCAAACAGCAGAATCTCTTAAACAGTAATGTTCAGCATTACCAAATGATACCAGCATTCATTTGCAATATTCAAGTGATTACCCAGTTGTTGTTGACATGTCGGTCTTTTCACTTGGTTCCACCGGTTCATTTCCTTGAGCCTCTAAAGATGTGAGAAACACGTTACCACATAAAATGTATTTCAATCAACAGCATTACAACAACAACAACATTGCATTTATAGAACGCCTTTCACGTCGGGAGGACGTCCCAAGGCGCTGGACAGTTGTGTCGGGAGGTAAATGGTCAGGGTGAGGGGAGGGAAGGGAGGGAGCGAGGAGGGGATAGAGAGTCAAGAGGGAAGGTGAAGGCACAATTGAAGAGAAAGGTCTTGAGACCGGCCTTGAAGGAGGAAAGGGAGGAAGCAGCGAAGGCACTGGGGGATAGAGTTCCAGAGCCCAGGGGCTGAGAGGCTGAAAGCCCGGCCACCGATGGTAGGGCGGTTAGGGCGGGGCATGTGGAGCAGACCGGAGCCAGAGGAACGGAGGGTACAGGCAGGTAAGTACATTTCATCAAAATATCAATCAAGTATCACTGTGAAGAGAGATTATTAAATTTAGCAAATATTATTTAGCAGAAATCGCCAAAAATACATTGGCTTTAATAGCAAAATCAATTGATGATATAAGTTAAATCAACAATACAGTCAAACCTGAAAGGATTGCCATTGAAAAATGTGACATAGATCAGTGTTCATAGAGAAACAGATCTAGGATGTTCTTTATGGTAACAGTGCAACAATAATGGTGTAGGTCCATGAGGTTAGCATACCTGTTCTGTCGAGGAGGGTCTCTTTTTCAAACTGTGAAATACGTATTCTCTTGCGCTTCCCAACATTAAAGTTTATGGGAAAATTCTGCTCTGTTGTATCTTCTTCTGGCAAATTAAAACTGAAGCTGTCTGCACTGAAAAGGACAGGAATACTTTAATAAAATAGTATTCTGACCGTCTTCCTGTATTTAGGAACATTTGGCTACAAAATGATAGTTCAGAAACTTACCATCCATTTTAATGGTCAGTTGGAGCAATCTTAGAATAGAAAACCAACTATCTGTTTCACTTGTTATATGGCAAAGGCTTCCAAGCTTCTCAACACATTTCCTTACAATTTATTAATTAAAGTCTAAAAGTAAAAATCTCTAACAAATCATTTACTGTCCAAATCCGATGGTCCAGTGCTTTGGGACATCCTCCTGACGTGAAAGGCGACATGCAAACATAATTTTATATTGTACTATTAAAACCAACCACTGGTTGTACATCCCATACAGTGCAAAAACCTGAAGTTCAGTAATACTGAGTGCTATATACAAAGATTTCTATGACAATTGAAAAGTGGAGATTCCAACCATTGAATTTCAAAAGAGAAGGGAGTTTCTCCCGATTTCTTGGCCAACTACCCTCCAAATAAAATTAGTCACTCACTACGTGGCTGTTTGTGGGACAACGATGTGTGCAAATTGGTTGCCACATTCGTCCACCAAATACAGTGATACCACTTTACAGCATGTCCTGTGAAGTGCTTTGAGGCATCACATAGAGGCAATGTGATTAAGGAACTATATCGAATGCAAGGATTATAATTAAACAATTACTCCTAAAAAAAGTTGCTAATTTTAAACAAACCTGTCGTTTGGCAATTTCATCTCGGATATACGTTGCTTTGACCGAGATTCTCTTTTATTCTTCACCACCTTAACAATGGAAGATTCTTGTTCTGTTAAGAAAACAAAGTTTCAGTTAACGCAGTACTATAGTTGGCTTAAGAACTTGTAATTTAATCCTACTCAATTATGAAAAAAATCTGAGAGGCAAGTACTGTTTTGGTAGGATGAGTGAAACAATTCATCTTTTTACTGCAGTTTATTCTAGTTATTTTTAGATTTGCAGTTTAGTGCTTACGGGGTGAGGAACTTTACTGAGAACACTGTCCTCCTCCACAAACAGGCAGAATCCTTTATCGGATATGGCAGAGAAATAGAACAGACTTGTTTGTTTTTTGACCAGTTTGGAGTGAACATTTCTCAGCTTGACTAAATTGGCAGCACTCTTGAGTCAGAGTATTGCAGGTTAACATAAGAAATGTTGGACAAAAAAAGATCAAGGTCCATCTAGTTCACCCTCCCCTTCCTGGCGGTCGTATGCACTTATGTCACAAACTGCCTATGTACTATATCCCATAATGTTATTTCCTAAAAGAAAACTATCTAATCTGTGTTTGAAAGAATCATCGTTTCCTGCTTTAACCGTCTCCCCGGGGATCCTGTTCCACAGGTTCACTATTTGCTCACTGAAATAGTGTTTGCGTAGATTTGTTCTGAATTTACCCCCTTTTCAATCACAGATCTACTTTTAAGCCTAGACTGACTGCAAAGTTCTGAGAGTCCAATATAATGCTGCATCATCATTGCAACATCACCTGGCTCCGCCACCGTCTCTCTCCATAAGCTGCCAAAACCGTCATACACACTTTCATTACATCAAGGCTTGACTATGCAAACTTGCTTGACGGCCTCCCCAACTCCTCCTTCCACAGGCTGCAGATCATCCAGCAGCCTCTCCCGTACCAGGCTCCATGACCCTATCACCCCCATCCTCACACGACTCCACTGGCTTCCCATCACACAGAGGATACAGTTCAAGATCATGGTCCTCACCTTCAAAACCTTCCATGGTCTTGCTCCCCCTTATCTCTGCAACCTTCTTAACCCCTTACGATCCTGCTTGCTCCCTCCGCTCAGCATGCTTCGCATCCCCTGCCTCGCTCGTCCCACTATCAGCAAGCGGGCCTTCTGCCACTCTGCCCCCACCCTCTGGAACTCCACATCGCAGTCCCTTCGCCTCGCCCCCTCCCTTGCCTCCTTCAAGACCCATCTCAAAACCCTCATCTTCAACCGTGCTTTCAATCTCCCTGCTTCCCACCCGCCCGCCACCCTCCCTGACCCCCAGCTCGATTCTGAAATTCTTTCTGTCCAGCGCCTTGGGATGTCCTCTCAACATGAAAGGCGCTATACAAATGTAATTTTGTTATTGTTGTTGCATTGCTTGGAGGTGCCTTCCTTTGGATGAAAAGTTAACTGAGGTCTTGTCTGCCTGTCAGGTGGAGGTTAAAGATCTCATGGCACTATTCAAGAAAAGTTTGGAGTTTATCATAGTATTCTGGCCAACAATTTCCCAGTTAAAAACAATCATTCACTTTATAGCCATTTGTGGGACACTGTTGTGTGCAAATTGGCTGCCACAATTATCTACAAAATGCAGTCATTAAAATTTACAATAAATCATGTGAAGAACTTTGAAACATGAAAGGCACTATATCAAAGGCAAGAATTTATTTATTATAGCATCTTAAAAGTGTATCAGTTCCAAAACATATCAGTTAACCAACATTTTGCATCGGTTGTGGCCATTAGATATTTTCAGCCTTTTTTAAGTACTTGCTCCTTTATAATAATAATCCTTGCATTTGATATAGTGCACTATAACATCTTCGAGACGTCTCAAAGGGCTTCACAGAATATACTGTAAAGTCAATTGACTGTATATTTTGTGGGCAAAATGCAGCAGCGAGTTAAAGAGAGGCAAGTGGAGTTAGGAAACTTGCCCAACATTTCGCCCTGCTGGGAATCAAACCCAGGTCTCTCGCTTGCGAGGCAAGTGCTCTAACCACTGAGCTACAGGACCCCACTCTCACAACAATATCTGTAGCTTTACTACATGACAAACCTGAAATACTGGTTTGCTTCAAAGCTTTATTGTGTACTATATGTGAACACTAACATAAAACAGATTAAATGCATCAGGAAATTATTTTCTGCTTCAAATTATCCTCATTATTCGCTCACAAAAATACAGTCAATTCACTTTACAGTATATTCTGTGAAACACTTCAGCGCCTTGGGACGTCCTCCTGACGTGAAAGGCGCTCTATAAATGGAATCTTGTTGTTGTTGTTTAAGACATCTCAAAGATGTTATAAGGCACTATATCAAATGCAAGGATTATTATTACTATAAGCCTTTCAAATACAACTCTACCATAAGGACAGGTAACAATAGTATTGAAATTAGGAGTAATGCCACAAGTAAAGCTCAACAATAGTTCCAGTAAGTATTAATTAAAATATTGCACTATATACATTTATTAAAACATTAAATTGATCTTTACAGCAACAGTAACTTTTTCACAATTTCTGCTATACATTTAACATTATTATAACATTTTAAATACTCTTAATATCACCTACCGGTTTGTATGAAATTTTTCAATAGTCCTCTTGGTGTGAAGTCTTCTAGACCTTCTTGAAGGAAATAATTTGAAATAGGCATCTTGCGTGCTGCAGACTCCCCGCTGGTTGAAGGCTTCTGTGTCCAAGAGAGAGAGACGAAACTCATTAAATAGACAATATTATGGAATCAAACAAAGTAGATCCTGCAATTGTGTTTTCCAAAATTTTATTGCGTTCTTGGAAAATTACATTCCCCTTATTATTGTAATCAGATTCCAAAATTTGTAAAACACTATATTAGTAAAAGTCTGTATAAAGGAAATATCTAAATGCAAAAATAATAATTTAATATAATAATTCTTGCATTTGATGTAGCGCCTTATCACATCTTCCGAGACGTTTCAAAGCGCTTCACAGAATATACTGTGTACACTGTATATACTGTACACTGTAAACTGTAAGAAAACTTGCCTAACTTTTGCCCTGTCTGGGAATCTAACCCAGGTCCTCTCACTAGCGAAGGCGAGTGCTCCAACCAATATGCTACAGGACTCCAATAAAACGATCCGCGCTGCCATACTAAAATTTCATGGTGCACTAAGATTGAAATATTAATAAGAGAAAAACTATCTGAGATGCTTAAGTTGCTGAACATAGTTATATATATCACCATTTACATAACTGTAAAGGATATGAATGACCACAATACATATATCCTCTGTACGTGAGTCAACTCTTAAAACATTAAAATGTTTTCAAAGACTGATGTCACATTGTGATCAAAGCACTAGGAAGCTTACTTGAACAACAAGAGAAACGATTACTATCCAATTCGCATTGTTCCCACAAACAATTGATGATTAAAATTTAAACTCTATTCTCCTTGTCGGGAGTCTCCTTTGTTTCAGCTCTACTTAATATTTTTTTTCACTCCTCTCCTGACTGAGAATACAAGTAGATGAACTGTTGCTGCGTGAGTGTTCAGCATTTTATTCCCACCATTAAAAGTGTACTAGAGACAACAAAGATAAAACCCATTGATATACCACCCTATGTGCAGGTGTATCTTGATTCTAATGTACAACGTACAAGGAAAACATAAGCACAAATAAAGTAATTTGTCGGACAGCCAAGGCACCATGCCATGAGTTAATCCAAGAAAAAAATCTTATAAAATATACGTAAAATACTTTCCCAATAATTGAAAGCGCAAACTCTTTAGTTCACATCAGATAGTCAAAATAAAAATTCATGCCAGGCTGACGGAAGTAAACTAGTAGAGAAGTGGTTACATACCATACTTGAGTTTGCTAGAGAACGTCTGACTTTTGCTCGTAATTTGCTGCGAAGAACTGAATTTGGAAGCTGTTGCACAGGGTTATTAATTTTCTTTTTGATGCTAATTCTTCTTTTACTGTTTAAATAAATTAAACAATTAGATCTATACATTCATCAGCAAGAAAAGAACAATTTCTTAGTAAAGTTCAACATAAGGAGTAAAAACAATCTTCTCATCTCTTCCTCTTCACCCACCCACACACACAAGTCCCAGTCATTATTACAGTATTTTGCTTAAAACTAAATTTTGATAAAGAGGAGGTTAGAACATAAAAATGCAGATAAACTTGTACCACTGTTACATCAGGTTTTGAATTTAGGAGTGAAGGTTACTGTGCTATTGAGAAAAAAATGTTTCTTCTCTAATTGAGCGGATTAACAATCGACTCCAACCAAACAAATTAATGAGAAAAATATGCTTGCACAAATGGCCCACAGAAGCTGAGATACCAACAGTCAAGTTGTATATTTCACATAGCTGGTCAGACGACCAAGAAGTGAAGAAACAGACATAATACTAATCCTTGCATTTGATGTAGTGCTTTTTCACGTCTTCTAGACGTCTCAAAGCACTTTACAGAATAATGGGGTAATGTGTTCAGCAATGTGATTTATGCTTAAACTGAAATGTAATGCACTTGGGATGGGTCAGGGATTGGAAATGATTACTATCAGGGATTACATTTCTAAACTATTGTACTGACAAAAGTTTCCACCTCGCTGAAAAAACGGGAATAAAGGCTGGAAATGCAGAAAACAATGTTACGGGATATTGTACATAGGTGTAGTTTGAGACATATGAGCATGTGTCCGCCAGGAAGGTGGAAGGCAAACTAGATGGATCTTGGTCTTTTATAACAATAATCCTTGCATTTGATATAGCGCTTTTCACGTCTACTAGACGTCTCAATGCGCTTCACAGAATATGCTGTAAAATGAATTGACTGTATATTTTGGTGGGCTTTTATTGTCTAGCATTGCTTATGTTCTTTTATATAATGTTTAAAGGTACATGGCCTACATTCATTCAAAAACGTTTGGCAAAAAGCCACATGTCATTTCCATCACTTCAGGTTAACAGGAGTGCTACATAATGCATTGCAGTTCTGATGAAAGGTCATCAACCACAACAAATTACATTTGTATAGTGCCTTTCACGTCAGGAGGATGTCTCAAGGCGTTGGACCTCAAATCGAACTAAAATGTTAACTCACTTTCCTCTCTCCATAGATGCTGCCTGACCTGCTGAGTGTTGCCAGCAACTTATGTTTTTATTTCAGATTTCCAGCATTTGCAGTATTTTGCATGTTTACTGCTTCCATGTTTCTAGATCCCATGTTTTCAGTAGAGGTCAATTTCACCTACTTGCATAACTGACACGCTTACTCATTCTGACAACCTTCAACGTAACAGACACTGCTGTAGGAATAATAATTAATGCATGGGGATCTAAAGAAGGCGAAAACCAAAGTCGGAACACAACAAAAATAACATTGCTAACCTGGAAGTGGAAGGATTCACTGCACTTTGCGAATTTCCTTCAGCAATTACCCGTTTAAGTAGAGTTCGCATTGTTGTGTCTTCTGTTGGAGAATCCATCTTTCTGGTTAGAAAAGCTGTGGGGAAATGAGCATCAGTTAGCAATATTTATAACATTCAATGTTAATGACCTTTAGGCAGTACAGAGAAGTACGAGTCTGCAATTCTCCACCTTCTGCACGTTGCCAAAATCCTTTATATTTCCCAATTAATTTTGAAAGAGCAATTTTTCTCGACAGGTTGCAAATGTACAAGATTGTATGTTGACTCTCACAGAGCAGCGTTGTCGTTTCTAGATCAGAACAACAACAACAACAAGATTCCATTTATAGAGCGCCTTTCATGTCGGGAGGACGTCCCAAGACGCTGGACAGTTGGGTCGGGACCCAAGCAGGGGGGAATGGTCAGGGGGAGGGAAGGGAGGGAACGAGGAGGGGGTAGAGAGTCGAGAGGGGAGCTGAAGGCACGGTCAAAGAGAAAGGTCTTGAGACCGGCCTTGAAGGAGGAAAGGGAGGAAGCGGCGAAGGCACTGGGGGATGGAGTTCCAGAGCCTCGGGGCTGAGAGGCTGAAGGCCCGGCCACCGATGGTAGGGCGGTTGGGGCGGGGGATGTGGAGCAGACTGGAGCCAGAGGAACGGAGGGTACGGGCAGGTAGGTAGGGGAATAGTAGGTCGGAGAGGTAGGAGGGAGCGAGGCCGTGAATGGCCTTGTAGGTGAGGATGAGGATCTTGAATTCGATCCTCTCGGGGATAATAATAATAATAATCCTTGCATTTGATATAGCGCTTTTCACGTCGGGAGGACGTCCCAAAGCGCTTCACAGAACACACTGTGAAGTGAATCGACTGTATATTTGTGGGCGAACGCGGCAGCCAATTGCGCACAGCAATGTCCCACAAACAGTCGTAGATAGAAAATGACCAATTTGTTATTGTTTTGGGTTTTTGGAGGGATTATTATTAGGCTCTGTGTGGGGTAAGGAAACTTGCCCAAGGTTTCGCCCTGACCTGCCTGGGATTGAACTCAGGTCTCTCGCTTGCAAAGCGAGTGCTCTAACCACTGAGCTACAGGACTCCACAAATGGATGGAGAGCCAGTGGATGCGAGCGAGGGTGGGAGTGATGGGTGTCATCCGCATACATGTGGAAGTTAACCCCATGTCTGCGGATGATGTCACCGAGGGAGGAGCATATAGAGGCTGAAGAGGAGGGGACTGAGGACAGAGCCCTGAGGGACACCGCACGAGACAGTGCGGGGGGTGGAGGAAAAACCGTTTGTGGAAACAAAGTGAAGACGGTGGGAGAGGTACGACCTAAACCACTCAAGGACAGGGCCTTGAAGGTTGAGGAGGGAGGACAAGCGGTGGAGGAGGATAGCGTGGCCGACCGTATCGAATGCTGCCGATAGGTCGAGGAGGCAGAAGGAGCCCTGGTCACAGATGGTCAGGATGTCATCGGTGACCTTGACCAGGGCAGTTTCTGTGCTATGGGCAGCACGGAAACCCGACTGGAGGGGTTCGAATAATGAATGGGTGGAGAGGAAAGTGCGCAGTTGGGAGGCGACAACTCTTTCGAGGGACCTTGGCCAGGAAGGGGAGGTTGGAGAGGGGCCGGTGGCTTGATAGCTGCGACGCATCAAGGGAGGGTTTTTTTGTGGCAGATTGTGAGCAGATAAACTCAGATATTAACCAACAACATCATCACCCACACACTCGAGAAGCAGTCGGGGAATTAATTATTCCCCCCACCCCACTCAAGTCAGAAAGGGGATCAGTTTACCGTTACCTTTTTTGTGCCTCGAGAGATACCCACTCAGTAAACAGTATCATTTCGGTCAGTTGTCGAGGTTTGTTTGTTTGTTTAGGCTCATCACTGTGTGGGGGGGGGGGGGGGGGGGAGAGCTGCTCTGAGGGACGGTTGGGGGTGAGGGGGGGGGGGGGGAGAGCTGCTCTGAGGGACGGTTGGGGTGAGGGGGGGGGGGGGGAGAGCTGCTCTGAGGGACGGTTGGGGTGGGGGGGGGGGGGGGGGAGAGCTGCTCTGAGGGACGGTTGGGGTGGGGGGGGGGGGAGCTGCTCTGAGGGACGGTTGGGGGGGGGAGAGCTGCTCTGAGGGACGGTTGGGGTGGGGGGGGGGGGGAGAGCTGCTCTGAGGGACGGTTGGGGTGGGGGGGGGGGGGGGAGCTGCTCTGAGGGACGGTTGGGGTGAGGGGGGGGAGAGCTGCTCTGAGGGACGGTTGGGGGTGGGGGGGGGGGGGGGGAGAGCTGCTCTGAGGGACGGTTGGGGGTGAGGGGGGGGAGAGCTGCTCTGAGGGACGGTTGGGGTGGGGGGGGGGGGGAGCTGCTCTGAGGGACGGTTGGGGGTGAGGGGGGGGGGGGGATAGCTGCTCTGAGGACGGTTGGGGGGGGGGGAGAGCTGCTCTGAGGGACGGTTGGGGGGGGGGGGGGGGGGGGGGAGAGCTGCTCTGAGGGACGGTTGGGGGTGAGGGGGGGGGAGAGCTGCTCTGAGGGACGGTTGGGGTGGGGGGGGGGTGGGGTTGGGGTGTTGCCGTTAGATACGTCGGGGGGCGGTTTGTCGTTGGTTGTTGTTAAGAGGAGAGCTGCCGGTGTGGCGCAGAGAGAAGAGGGTCAGCGGCTATCGTACTGACTTACTTACTTACTGACCTACCACGGGTCAAGCTGTGCCTCGAACACTCCCCGCCCCCTCCCCTCCACCGAAAAAAACCCCCACACACCGCGAACGAGGAACCGGGAGCCGCGCGCCTCGCGTCAAGGCCGCGCTCGCGCCGCCAAATTCAAACCGATCTCGCGAGACGAGAGCGTCGCCGGAAGTCCTCGCAAAGGCCCCCTGGGAAATGTAGTCGGCGCCCCCCCCCTTCCGAGAAAGCCCGCCTCCGCGTGTGGGGCAGAAAGTGAGTGACGTGTGGGTGTGTGTGTGAGGGGGAGGGGTGGGGGGAGGGGGTGGTGGTGGTGCTGTATTCCGTGTCAATAACGATCGTAAATAATCAATGCGTTTGACGTGGCGCCTCATCACGTTAGATATACATCACTGCAAAGGGAACTGACCGGTGTGTGTATATATATATATTTGGGGGGAGGGCCCCAAAACCAAAACCTGTGCACTTTTTTTTTGAAACTGTGCAAGAAACAAAAAGTCCTCGAAACGCAAAAAAAGGGGTGGAGGGGAGAGGGGGGGGGGGAGGGGGGGGGAATAAAAAACATTTTGCGGGTTTAAAAGAAAAGTTATAGAATTAGGCAACCGCCCAAAGCTGTGTGTTTTACATACACACACACATACACACACAAACACACACAAACAAACACACACATACACACACAAACAAACACACACACAAACAAACACACACACACAAACAAACACACACACAAACCAACACATACACACACAAACACACACACACACAAACCAACACATACACACACACACACAAACACACACATACACACACATACACACACAAACAAACACACACATACACACACAAACAAACACACACAAACAAACACACACACACACACAAACACACACAAACACATACACACAAACACACATACACAAACCAACACATACAAACACACACATACACACACAAACAAACACACACACACACAAACACATACACACAAACACACATACACAAACCAACACATACACACACACACAAACAAACACATACACACACAAACACACACATACAAACACACAAACAAACACACACACACACAAACACACACAAACACATACACACAAACACACATACACAAACCAACACATACACACACACAAACAAACACATACACACACAAACAAACACACACATACACACACAAACAAACACACACACACAAACACATACACACAAACACACATACACAAACCAACACATACACACACACACAAACAAACACATACACACACAAACACACACATACAAACACACAAACAAGCGCCTCCACAAACACAGGCCAACAGAAACATTGGCCGCATTCGACTCAGTGCCTTCGCTCGGCGGACGGCGGAAGTGGCCGGTCGGGCCGCGCCGCATTGTGGGCCATGTAGTTCCGCCGCGCGGCCTCGGGGCTCCTTTGCGCTTCCACTTCGGTGTTCGGCGGCGGCGGCGGGGGGCCGGGGGGGGGGGGGACCCGGGGCAGGATTTCTGTTCGAAAAAGACACCGGGGAGGGACCGAGGGAACGGTCGGGGGGGGGGGCGGGGCGACGGGAAGGGCCGAGAGAGCGGGAAGTAAGCGTGCGGCCGGGGAGGGAGGGGGGCCTCGCCCCGCCCGAAACAATGCCGGGCTTCACCTGCTGCGTGCCCGGCTGCTACAACAACTCGTACCGGGACCGCGACCTGCGCTTCTACACCTTCCCCAAGGACGAGGAGCAGCGCAAAGTGTGGCTGCAGAACATCTCCCGAGCCGGAGTGAGCGGCTGCTTCAGCACCTTCAAGCCCACCACCGGCCACCGCGTCTGCAGCGGCCACTTCCAGGGCGGCAGGAAGACCTACTCCATCAACGTGCCCACCATCTTCCCGCTCAGGGGGGTCAACGAGAGGAAGATCAGGAGGTCCCGCAAGAAGCTGCCGGCGGCCGACACCGCCGCCAGCCCCGCCGTCGACCTGTCCGGAGCGGTCGAGGTGTCCGTCTCCTCCCCCGGTACAGCGGCGGCGGGCGGCGGCGGCGGCGGAGGAGGAGGAGGAGGGGGCGGGGGAGGGGTGCAGTCGGGCCGGGCCGAGCAGCCCAAAGCGCAGGGCTTCGACCACTCGTACTCGCTGTCCTCCACCACCACCTCCGAGGAGCTGCTGCGGAAGCTGAACGAGCAGAAGGACATTATCGCCCTGATGGAGGTGAAGATCAAGGAGATGAAGGGCACCATCCGGCAGCTGAACGTCGGCGAGGCGAAGCTGCGCGAGGAGCTGAGGAACAAGGAGAAGCTGCTGTCCATGTCGGTCATCAGGAAAAAACACGGCATGTGATCGGTTTCAGAACTGACCAGAAATCTGCAAAAACCCCGACCCGGAGGGCACACACACACACATATATATACACCACACACATACACATACACACCACACACATATACACACCACACACATACACACCACACACATACACCACACACACACATACATCACACACACACATACACACCACACACACATACACACAACAACAATAACGCGAGGATCATGTCTCTTGTGTTTTGCACGGGATACTAAGACTGTTTTGCTTCGTGTCAAGACCTTCAACTGTCGTGTTGTTGCATTTTTTTTAAAAAAAGGAGGAAAAAAAAGGAATATATATATATGTGTATATATATAGTTAACACGCGCCACAGCTTGATTCGTGTGTACATCCCCAGATGACCTGGATTTGTGGTTATTGTTTCACACAACAAAACGGACTTCAGATGGATTCTGCACGTTGCGGGAATAATAAATTTTAAAGAATTAGAAGCAGTGGAACAAAAGGATTCCCAACTGATTTGCTTTCCACTCAGTATCTCATAACCTCCGATAAGAAAACCACGTATATCACAACTTTGTTCAAACATTTTGATAGCCGTACTATGAAGTGACCATTTCTTACTGAAATATATATATTTTCTGTTTTGAATCAGTGTTCTGTTTCATTATAATGATGTTATAAATTTAGTAGCTGCACATAATTTTGTATATGACCATCTCCATGAAGTTAATGTACACCAATAACCGTTAAAACTATAACAATAAAGCCTCTCCTCGTTACATTTTGTAAATTCATTCAATCCAATTTTTTTATATTTTTAAAATTATTTGAATTATAAGGAGTAAAAAAACATGCACAGGAAGATTTTTCTAAACAAATATTCCCGTATAGACAACAGAAAGAGGCTATGTTGACATAGATATTAATCTAACATGAGAGGAACATTTAAAATGTATTAGCTTTAAAGGTTTTTACATTTCTTGTAAAAATCTGTCGCAAAGCACAACATTGACCCTGAGTAATAAAGCTTTAGTTAATCTATGACTCCACATGGTGTCGGAAAATATTTTGTAAAATATTGAAAGCTCTGTCATTTATTGTTTGTATATAATTCCTATGGCGATTTCACAACAACAGACCTGATACTAATGGTTAAAGCACAGTTTAAGTGTTATTGATTGGAAACTGTAGAGGGATTTGTAATGTCGATACTGCTGAGCAATACTGTGCTTGGCTTTATAGAAGTTCATCGAAACTAATACAGTAACATGATAATGTAAAACAACTGTCATTTCAGGTTGACGTGTTTAACATGTTTTATATCCTAAACCAATTAAATGTGTTGATGTCAGTTGTCTGGACCCAAAATAACTCACCTTATAATAGTGGAGTTTGTGCACTACCTGATCTGTACTTTTAACATCTTGAGAAATAGACATTGAGATCTCCATCTGAAATAAAACCTTTTATTTAACTCTTTGATCCCCTATTCTATACCATATTTTAGTACTTTGAGTAATTACTCTTCTTTTAACCCATATCTGTGCCACTAACAGTACAGGTGTTGATCCTGTTAAGCGCTTACTGTCTAAACAGCAAGATAAGTGCTGTATCAAATGCAAGGATTATTATTTATTATAGATGTGCTAATGACATTTATAAAAGGGTATTAATACTTTGCCATATTGATAAGGAAATATTAATGACTTGAACTAATGACTGACTTTTGAATTTCACAGTGATTCACAAAGTTATTTCTCAATAAATTTGCAGTAAGCTTGGGATACTCATTAATCCTTCACCAAGACTGTCATCATATATCAGCAACTGGGATCACACTGAGAGTGGTACCTCCATTGATCCAATTTCATCACATAAAAATACACTAAACTATGGGAGAACTGTACAAAGTGGAAGCAGATCATTAAAAAGTATTACGGATTCATTTTTAAATGGTGCATTTCCAAAGAATGCACAGCATAGAAACAGGCCACTCAACCCAACCAGTGCTTGCCGGTGTTTATACTCCACATTAGTCTCAACTGAAAACAGTATACAGGTATTTGTACCTGAGGAATATACGGACAAAGATGTTACAATAACGGATGCTAAGTAAAGCCAACAATTTTCAATGGGTATTTTACACTAATTTATCACAATTATTAGATTACTGTAGTTATTCATTGCTATTGATTTCTCATTGCACTTCACTGTTAATTGTCAGGATTAATTAGATTTGGAATCTATAAAATTATGTTTTCTCTGACAACATTATTGGAGTCAGTGTAGAAATACCAAAAGCAATTTGGTCTCTTCAATATTCAGGCATTTTGTTCAGGACCAATAACTATTTGGCATCAGAAATGCAAGGCATGTCAATCAGCATGTGAACGAGAAAGATAAAGCAGAATTTTAGGTGTGGCCATCAGAATTTTCCTAGGAGTAAATCTGTATTTCTTTTAATGACTTTTTACCCTATTCAAAAATGTTACTAGTTTTCAACCTCTGCAAAGACTTGCATTGCACACTAGTCTGGTTCCTGAGCCAGGTGGGTTCAAAGTGCTTTAAGGGCTGTTGATGTAGAGGGGTTAGCCTGATTAGTTGGCAGAGCTTGGACAGGCAGATCAGTTCATGGGGGCAGGGATTCTAACTGCTTGGCTCCCGTTAACCCAGCAAGCCAAATCGCTAACAGGTAGAGTAGTCTTAACTGAACAAGCAATAAGAAGCTTGCCAGGCACTGTTCACAATGGGCAGCAATTTTTTCGCATTTTATCTTGGCATTGGGCCTTTTTTTGTATGCTGAAATCAAGAGTATTCACAAAGAAAACTACTGTTTTGGAGAGGCTTATGCAAAATGTAGTCAAATTAGATTTTTTTAGGAGTATTTTTACACAGCTATGAAGCAACACAAACTTACATTTATTTTTATATATTAAAGAACTAGCTCATTGATTTATCTTCACTTTAGATTCCCCCAAAGCAAAGACCATTTCCGGTTGAAAGGGTGTACATGCATCAATCACTCCCACATCTAGCATTACTGCCTCAAGAAGATATACAATTCTCAGAGGAACTTCCCTTGTTCTCCTCTGCAAGAAAGTAGCTATGCCTCTGTTCGGTGTTTTCTCCTTAAAGGTTTGTCAGAATCAACAAACTTTTCATATGGGAAATTGTGCAATGTCCTACCCCCATTGACATTTCTTTCACCTTTGTTTAATTTCTGCAAATATCTGTGCTTTTATATCATTCTGTTGTTCATTTAGATTTGTTTTAAATCATTGATTTGAGCAACTTTGTCAATTTTAGAGAGGTTTTTTACAAAGCAACAAAACAGCAACAACCTAAGATGGTATGTGTACAGATAAGGCTGAATGGGAACTTTGGCCCTTCTGAACAAAATTTCTGAGCAATTGCCTTTCAAGTCTAGAATTTGCAAATGTAGCATCCTCAAATTTGCCAGTTTATATGATTTATTTTTGGGACACTCAAACCCATGACACACTTTGTCAATTACTGAAGTTAACTACAGTATTTAGAGCTCACACAATGAGAAACACAAATGTAGGATTGCTTCACATCCGTTTTCAAGAACTTTCTTCTTGGAAATGAGTAGTTTTATTTAGTAATCATTGCAAATTGAATGTAATAACACTTAATTTTCCCTCTGATAATCTCCCTATAATCCCTTCTCTCTTGAAGGAATTAGTTTGTTGGGGTACAATACAACTTTATATTATATACAAATGGTGAGTGCAAGTTGACAGTCTACTTGTGGAAGAGCATTCAAGATAAATCTCCACTGAAACCTGAAATTCCACTTTTCTAAAATCAATATTTCTGAAATTGGCGGGGCAGGCTCGAAGGGCCGAATGACCTACTCCTGCTCCTATATGTTATGTTAAGACTTTTTTCTTAATATATTACCTTAATGTCACACAGAATTGTGCTAAATTCAAACATTCATTGTTAACTTCGAAGTTTTCAGGAAAAATAACTTGCAAATTAACACTGAATTGAAGAAATCACCACCATCAAAAATGGAGGCAAAATGATGATGCAGGCTGATGAAATTTCAGGCCTCTGAAATAAATATGGACAATGGGGTGGTGTGTGTGTAGGGGGGGGTGGGGGGGGCTGGAGGGAACAACAGATTGAAATTGGGAGCAGGAACCCTGCCTAATCCCCCCCCCCACCCAACCCATCAAGAATCTCCACCCCACTGCCCTAACAACCCAAGCTTTGTCAGATAAATTCAGCACTGGTCAACAACTTGCATTTATATAGTGCCCTTCATGCCAGGTAGCTTGGGTTGACGGGGCAAAGTGATGGGAGGGACAGAGGGGGGATCAAACCTTGTACCTCTGGTCTTTGGTTGTGGCAAGGAGTTTCTTCAACTTTTTTTTAAACCTTTAGGAAGTATGTTGTACCTTTAAACATGTAGTTGCACCTTTACTGACCAATTCTTTTGTAGTCGCAAGGCACTGTTGAACATTGGGTGCTCATTTCTCATTGTATAATTTCATTGCTGGGGTGCAATTGATTTAAGCGTAGACCTTTTATATTGAATGTATTGTTTCAAAACTCAATAAAATGTTATCATACCATAAAATGTTAGTGACTAAGAATTATAATCCTCACTGATATTTATAAAGGATTTATTTGATATTTTATCTGAAGAGTGCAGCATTGCATTAGAAACACCAGTCCCAATTATTGAGAACTTACAGAAGCAGATTTTTGTTTCCAAGCTCTGCAGGAAATATCTGTGGAAGAAGGAAAGTCAAATTTGAATGATATAAATCCCATTGCCTTGCCCCCTCCCTCTCGGCATTCAAAACCCATCTAAAAAACTCTATTTTTACTTTCAGCCACTTGGTTTCCTCTTTCCAGGTCATGGTCCCACTCAGACTTTGCAGAACACTTTGTAACATTCTCTTTACATAAAGGTGCTATACAAGTGTAAATTGTTGTTGTTGCATTCATAATGTCAGGAATTAAATCAGTTCACTCCCAGCAGTATCGTGAAGTGCAGCTGAAAGCCTATTTATACTTCCCACTCTACATCACATTGAATCTGCGCAATATGCCAGCCTATTTCAGTTGATGGCACTCTCATCTCCGAATTGGAAGGTTGTTCTAGTTTAGGTTGACCCACCACTGCAATGTTGGAGTAGAGCTACGTTGCGTGACTGAAGGTGCCTCTTTGGAAGAGACATTAAACAGAGTCTGTCTGTCCAGGTGGTGGTAAGGATCCCATAGCACCGTTGAAAAGAGAAAGGAGCTCTCTTTGGTGTTCTCCAACAATCCCCCAAATAAAATGGCCCATTCACTCCATGGCAGTTTGTGAGAGCCTGCTATGTGAAAAATCGGATGCTGGGTTCACCTACAAAATCACTACAACTAACTGTAAGTCCTGATAAGCAATTTCAGACGTTTAGCTGACCTGATAAGATGCTAAATCAAATGCAAGAATTATTATGTTTGAATATCCCCCTCCTCCACCCCCAGAGATCCAGTAATAATTTGAAATTTGGACAGTACCAGAATGAGAATATTCCTGTCTTTTCAAACAAAGGCGATTTAAGTGAGACCACAGAATGCTTAAATAGGCAGTCATCAGAGTTGGAATCGTCTTTCAGAATGCTGTATAGTGTCAGCATTGTCATGAATACAAGGCATTTGTCCGGTAGCTAAAATACACCGAATGTCCAGGAAACAATAAAACAGACATCAGCAAAGGCAGATCAACCAATGAACCAGACAGTTTGCAAGAAGACAGTTGACTATGGAAATACCCAAAGATTGATTTCATTTCGGAACTTTCCAGCCTCTGAGACTTTTGTGCGCACGGAGATCAAAAATATCCAGTCATTGAGTGATGCGGAAGAAAAAAAAATGGTGGGTTAAAATTCCACATCTATTCCAAGAGACGGTAAAAAGTAGTTACGGGGAAGCTTTCAGTTAGGTTGGAGTTAACGTTCACTTTGAGGTGAATTGGGCCAGTCTGGAACGATTCACATAAGAACAGAAGTGGACCGACCCTTCAGGCTTTCCAGTTTGCTAAACCATTTGAGTATGGCTAATTTGTAATTTAATACCATTTCCTTGCCATTTCACCATTTCCCTTTATACCCCTGCCTACCAAATATGCAGGTACCTCCCTTTTAAATACAGTATTTAAATTGACTCAGCATCTGTAACCTTTTAGACAATGAATTCCAAATTTCCACAACCCTTTGTGCGAAAGAAAATCACTCTTAACTGATTTAATTCTAATTTTAAGAATATTTAAATTTGAATTCAAAATATACTTTGAAATGCATCCTGTTTAGGATTAAAAAACATTTTCTATTGTTTTAAAATTATGTAAATTCACTGCTCTGTGTGGCATTCTCACGATTACCCCAGGTTCAAGCTCTGTTCTGAGTCATTTTACCTCAAATGGGAGGCAACAAGGGAATTGCAATTGGCTTGAATGCCTGTTCTAAAGAGAAAAAAAAGCAAGGTTCATCACTCAATGACCTGCCCACTCCCTCCAGACAAAACATACAATATTGAATCATGGAACCATTCCCCAGGTGGCTTAAGGAGAGAATTTAGAGAAAAAAATATTGATAAGCTTTTCATATCGAGTGTATATTTTAGAACATTTCTGGACTGCAACATAGTCAAAAAATCATCACTACCGTTAAGCACACATTTTTAAGAGGTTAAACATGACCCTGAACCAGTTATTCTGGGTGTTACATTTTATGTGATCACATTTCATGCTATCAATTCTTTCTGAAAAGAAAATATTACCCTTCAAACCAGAGGTTTACAAACCAAATACTTTTATATCATATAGAATCAACACAATATATTACTGTATTAAATTAAGAGATCATTTGCCCCTTATGTTTTCAATATATACTTGACAACTTGCATTTATATAGCACGCTTCACTTTGTGTGCAAGTGCTTAACAGTGGTGTGGCTGGATGGAAGTGATGGGGGGAGGTGACTGAAGGCATGGTCAAAAAGGAAAGCCTTCAGGTGTGATTTCATGATGGACAAAGGTGGGGTGAGGTGGGGGGCAAGATGGAAGGATTGAGGCTAGGAGTTTAGAGATTTGGGGCTTAGTGGCTGAAAGCACGGCCGCCAATTGTGGTGCGGAGGGGACGAAGGTGGTGAAGCGTACCTGCGCCAGTTGAACGAAGGCAGCAGGTAGAGGAGTGAAGTGTGAGCAGACTGCTCACTTAAGACGGTTGACTCACCTATTGCATGCATTTGACTTCAATAGCACCCGGGCGATGAGTTGAACCATCGGCAGAGCAGCAACCGCCTTTTCAAACCAAGTGGTACTTTTAATCTGAAAGCAGAGCCCAAGCACTATTTAAATACCGATTTTCCCGGTTTGGTTATTTCGTTTCGTGGCGGTTTTTAGTGAGAGAATTGGGCGAAAAGGCACCGAAGAGGCACTGCAGGAAAAAAAAAGGGGGGGGGGGCTCAGTCCAGTCAGTGGAAATAAAACCCAAAGTGTGCAAGGTCTCACCTTTTTACTCCCAAGCTATTATTACAGGTTTGTCTGGATTAGTGCAGAAACATCTGTGCAACAAAAGTACAATAGTAACCTGGCAGTGAGCCACTCTCCACTGAAGTGGGGATACCTTCCCTCCCCCCCCCCAACTGATCCTGTCTGGAGTGGGGGGGAATAACCATCTCTTCCTCACCCAGGGAACAGCCTATAACGCCAGAGGAGTTCTCAGCAATTGCTATCGTCCTCCTCCCCCCCCACACACACTGACTGACACCATCGTCCTGTGCCCCCCCACACACACACTGACTGACACCATCGTCCTGTGCCCCCCCCACACACACACTGACTGACACCATCGTTAGGCTCCCTGTGCCCCCCCCACACACACACACACTGACTGACACCATCGTTAGGCTCCCTGTGCCCCCCCCCACACACACACACACACAGTGCAGCACACGCCGCCCTGTACAGTCAGTGTTCGGTTCTGCGTATCGCCCACCGGGCGCGGCGACACCCTCTTAACGACATAACCGCTTACGATCATCGAAAGCAGTTGCAGTTTGCCCGCCCGCCCGCTAAAAAAATAAATAAATAAAATAAATGAAACCTTTAACGCCGCCCCATCCCTTTGACCCCCCCACCACCCCACGTCCGCTCCGCTCTCCGACTCCTGATGCACACACCGCACAAACACGTGGACGGGCGGGTCGCCGCGTGGCATTCTGGGGGCTGTAGTTCCCCCCCCCCCACCGGAGCCGAAACTCTTTGCCGAGAGCCGCGCGCGCAGCCTCTCGCTGGTGATTGGTGTTGAGGACTGCAACTCCCAGGGAGCGGCGCGGCGCGGAGCGGCGTCCCCGCGCATGCGCGGAGCCGGGCGCTTGCCGCCACCCTCCCAGCTGGGCGGGGCCCCCAGTCGCGTTAACTGCCAGATACTGTCAGCCGCTCGCGTTTGGGCCGTTCGGTGAGTTTCCCCGGTCATACCGGAGCTCGGGCTGAGGGAGGGAGGGAAGCGGGCGGGCGGGGGGTTGGAAGAGGCGAGCTGGAAGCGGTGGCGTTTGACGAGGAGGAGCGAGTGTTGTGCGCTCGGGGGGCGGGAGGGAGGGAGGGAGGAGAGGAGAGCGGCGGCGGCGGGAGCTGTATTGTGTGTGTGTGTGTGTGTTTGAGTGAGTGAGGAGAATGGAGGGAAGGCACGGACTTTAGCGGTAAGGTGGAGGCCACGGCCTAGTCCCCGCTGCAGCGGGGAGAATGGGTTCGGACTGTCTTGTCTGTCCGTTGTCGTAGTAACCGGAGCTCAGAGAGAGAGAGAGAGAGAGAGAGCGCGCGCGAGAGAGAGAGAGAGGCCTCAGCGCCGCCCAGGCCGCACGGCCGCCTCCCTCCGAACACAGCGCGGACTCTCTCTCTCTCTCCCTCCCTCCTCTCCCGCCTCGGCGCGAAATGGCTGCGAGCTTTTAAAAGTCGCCGCCAGTCGGACGCTGTTTCAACGCCAGGTTCTCGGACTCCCCTCCCCCTCCCTCTCTCTGACTCTCACCCCCTCCCTCCCTCCCTCACTTTTACGTTCATAATAAAGCAGACTTGGGAAGCCGCCCTGATACCCTTTTTCCCCCACTCTTATCCTCCTCTCCGCTCCCATAATTGTTGTTAAACCGAGGTTCCCCCACCCCTCCCTCTCTCTCTCTCTCTCTCTCCCCTCTCCCTCTCTCTCTCCGCCTGTTCAGGTACACATGCGTTTTAAAGATCCCATGACACTCACTATTCGAAAAGAGGAGGGAGTTTCTGTCTCTCTCTCTCTCTCTCTCTCTCACTCACTCACACCCCCCCTCCCCCACCTCTCCCTGTCCTGGTCAGCAATACCCTCAAGACAAAATTGGATCACTTTGTGGGACGTTGCTGTGCCGCGTTCACCCACACGACACACAGGCACATTCACTTTTACAGTACGTTCCGCTGAAGCCCTTTGCGACGACCCTGATGTGATGATGAGCTTTTGTCAAATGCGAGAACGAACGGTGAACTCTGCTGTTAAAAGATAATCGGTAAATGCAGCTGAAGGGGGTCGTGGGGTGGGGGCTCCGAATACTGTCGACACACGAAGGAAAGTGAAAGGAGAGGTCGTGCTGATAGCGTTACGGTCTGTCTCTGTTTCTCCCCCGGACAGGTACTGAATACCGAAGCAACTTGGCTGCCATTTAGCAGACAGCTGATCTGTTCTCTTGGCGTTTAAGAAATTCTCAGGAGTACCCATACACATATATATATGTGTGTGTGTATTAAGAAAAGTTACTGTGGCAATACATTGTTTTGATTATGGAGCCATTTAATTAGGGTATATACTGAAAGTTCAGAAGTATTTAGTGGATTTCCACCCTTTATTACGGAGTATCATACTCAGCAAAGTAATGGATGGGGTAGATATTTTATGGGGCGCAGGTAGAGTAGTCAAAAGACTTAACTTTTCACAAGATTTTATTTTTGGGCTGTGCGTAAAAAAAAAAACCCAAAAAAACTCCATCAGAACAACTTTCTGTCATTATAATAAATGTCTTATTTTTATTTGAATGAAAAGATCTGTTTCATGAAGCGATGGATGCCTTGTTTCTTCCTCTTGGTATGCTTATTGCATTTATTTATCCAGTATTTTCTCAATTCATTTGTTACTTTTGTATCTGCTTTGCTCAGTTGGGACCTTTTTTGCCTCTGAACCACAAAGTTGTGGGTTCAAGCACCACAATGGAGACTTGAGCTTGTTGTTTGAGGTAAACGTTTAATACTGAGGGAGCTCTGCTGTTTTGAAAGTGCAGTCTTTTATTAAACACAGGTTTATTCATTCCCCTGTTCAGGTCGATGTTGAATGTTTCAAGGTACGATTTGAAAAGAGAAGGAAACTTCTCTGAATCTCTTAATCCTCCACATGGATTCGTTATTCACCTCATTACTATTTGTGGGCACCTTGTTTCCACAAAAATATATGACAGTGATTACCTGTGAAATATATTTTGATGTGATAAGGTGCTATAAAAGTACTTTTAAATCTAAATGGAATTTTTGTGAAGATCTTGTTTAAAAATATAAGATAGCGAGAGTTTGTTAATATCTTCTATTTGGGTACTGTGTTTTTTGTTTATAGTATAAAAACTGATAATCTTAGTTTCTAAGCATTTTTTAAGGTATTGAGTGCTTTTAATTACCTCCACCCAGAAATTCCTAATTTTTTGTGGTTTCCATTACATTTCTTTCTGTTTTGCCTTTTTTGCTGATAAACCTGAGAGTTGTTTTGCATCTCAAAGCTATGCTGTAATGGGACACCCAGTGGATAATCAATACCAGCCATGTACATAAAAATAAAAGCACATTCTTTTGCTTGGAATTGGGTCTGCATAGTAGATCCTACGGTTATAGTTCAAATCCACCATAGATCAAAAAAAATTGAGGGGCAAAATAAAGGGAAATACAATAAGTGCTTTTCTGAAAGTATAATTGCTTTATAATTAATTGTGGCATTTGCATGAGTCACTATTTTCAGAAGCGCAAAGCAGTGACATTTTCTGCTTTAACAATGAATTCTTGTGCTAATTGGTCCTGGAGCCTACAGAAAATTTCTAGGCCTCCATTGTCAGAGTAGCCTATACCAAACCCCAACTTGAGGCAAAGAGAAACTTGTAAAATGATCATTTTAAGCCTTCCTGACCCAGACCAGTTACCTGTAGCACAGAGTGCTCACTAACACATGACGTTGCCCCCAAAAAGTGCATACTGTATTGAGGCTCCTTAGGCCTCGCTGTGGATTTATTGCTCAACATCAGTGTCTCCACCATGTGAACACCTATAGATCCACATTTAACACTCGGAAATATGTAGCTTTGTTTCTGTGGGGAATACACTAGTCAAAAAACAGTGATGGAAAAAAATTAAATGCAGTAAATACCTTATATAGATTGACGAGACAAAAATATAGTGGATAATTTGCGTTCTGCGACAATTTTTAATTTAAAATAAGGCAAAGATATCGGGTCCAAGGAGGAATTATGGAGTCCTGTAGCTTATTGGTTAGAGCACTCGCCTCGCAAGCGAGAGACTTGGGTTCGATTCCCGGTTGGGCAGAGTGTTGGGTAATTTTCCTTACTCCACACGCCTCTGTTTACCTAGCAGTAAGTAGGAACCCGGTCGTTAGTTGATTGGCGAATCGCTTTTCCGGGGATAATAATGCCCTTAAAAAAATGTGTGGTCACTTATTCCAGAACTGTTTGTGGGACGTTACTGTGTGCAATTGTGGAAGACGTGAAAAGGCGCTATATCAAATGGAAGGATTATTATTATTAATTCCTCCTTATCATTTAATCGCTCAGAGGCCCTATCCCGCATGAAGGACCCTCTATAAATGCAAGTTGTTGTTGAATTTGCCTATCAATTTTCCTTCACGCCTAATAATAATCCCTTCAAAACAAAAAATAAATTGTTCATTTTCAATCCACGACTGTTTGTGGGACACTGCTGTGCGCAATTGGCTGCCGCGTTCGCCCACAAATATACAGTCAATTCACTTTATAGTGTGTTCTGTGAAGCGCTTTTGGACGTCCTCCTGACGTGAAAAGCGCTATATCAAATGCAAGGATTATTAAGGATTATTATTATCATGTGCCTGCGCAATGCTGCCTCAAGTTTTGACAAACTGGCGGAACGAGCTTGTGGCCGCATTGCCTACTTATCTTACCCTCCCTTGGTGGGTACAAAAGTAAATCCAATGCCCAAATTTGGAGTTCATACTAACCTTGATGGGAGGAGTGCATGCAGTCAAAATTGGAATTAACACAGACAGGAATTAACTCGTGTTGCAGGAGATCAGAATTAATTCTGACCTGTAGGAACCAGTGGTTTATAACAATTTTCAAATGGGGTTATGATTCGGTCTTTGAAAACACTTCACTTGATACTCCATGATGACCGATCTAAAAGGGAAAAAGTGTCAGTTTTCAGGGAATAAAGGATATAGTCAATAAAGCACCAGGTTTGATTTTGTTGGTCAAATAATGGCCGTATGGCGTTCTGCAGGGCCAGTTGATGATGATAATAAGTCATGGCTGGTCTCTCTAACCCCCCCCCCCTCTTCCCACCCCAGCGTTCTGTTTTGCATCCAGACTTTGGTTCGTCTGTATATATCAGTAAGTGATTTACAATACTGGCACCGCCTTCCATCACCTCTGGAATGTCGCCAGACTACGGCACTACCACAAGCTGCTGAAACTCTGGTCCACGCCTTTATCACCTCAAGGCTGGACTATGGGAACTCTCTCCTCGTCGGCCTTCCCGGCACCTCCCTCCACACTGCAGGTCATTCAGAACTCTGCAGCTTGTGTACTGTCCCGCACCAGGCTTCGGGGCCACATCACTCCCACCCTCGCTCGCCTCCACTGGCTCCCCATCCCCCAGAAGATCGATTTCAAGATCCTCATCCTCACCTACAAGGCCATTCATGGCCTCGCTCCCTCCTACCTCTCCGACCTACTATCCCCCTACCTACCTGCCCGTACCCTCCATTCCTCTGGCTCCGGTCTGCTCCACATCCCCCGCCCCAACCGCCCTACCATCGGTGGCCGGGCCTTCAACCTCTCAGCCCCGAGGCTCTGGAACTCCATCCCCCAGTGCCTTCGCCGCTTCCTCCCTTTCCTCCTTCAAGGCCGGTCTCAAGACCTTTCTCTTTGACTGCGTTCAGCTCCCCTCTCGACTCTCTACCCCCTCCTCGCTTCCTCCCTTCTCTCCCCTCACCCTGACCATTTCCCCCCTGCTCGGGTCCTGACCCAACTGTCCAGCGCCTTGGGACGTCCTCCCGACGTGAAAGGCGCTCTATAAATGGAATCTTGTTGTTGTTGTTGTTGTACTAATATTAAATCACACATTCCAATCCATTGCTCATGCTTGGAATTCTGAAGCTGAAAGTTTAGTTGTAAACTTATTCTAATCTTGTTCCACGTAACATAACATGATCGTTTCTCTTGCATTCCCTCTTTCCAAAGGCTATTGTGATTCGGAATGGAGTTCAGTAGATTGTAATGTTCTTTAACTGTTGTATCTTTCCCAATACTTTGTTCCACCTTTTTTTTAATGGTCCCTTCTTGGTTTATTTTGATCTTTGTTTTTGTTCTGTGATCTCTTGGTAAGGACTTTTTTTTACAATATACAGTAATCAATGTTACAGTTGAATTTGTTGTTGTCGTTGATATGGTCATTATGCTGCTTTGGTCTATTCAAAACTAGTCCATAAGAAGCTTATTTGTGTGTCTGTCAGGAACGTGTGTGTTGATGATTGACAGTACATGTTTTGTCGAGGGTAGATAAGAGCCCAAACTGGAAGGTTCCAGGATCCTGTTTGTTTGCAGACATCTTAGGATTTTTAAGGAATTTTTGTTTGACACCATTCAGACATTTAGGCTGCTTTCATGTAGACATTTAATTTGCTTTCGTTTGATGCAACTTTGTGCTGATGGCCACACATCTTTGCAATATTCAGTGCTGTAGTATCTGTTAACATTAATGAGCTCTAGTTTTATCATTATTTGAGTGAGGCATGAAAAGACTGTGTTACAGTACTCCTGCCCATCTGAATATTTGAGCCTGATGACAGCTGTAATGTCTCATAAACATGGATAATGATTTAGCAAGATTAGATCATTGCAGACTGTAACTGATGTAAATTTTTATGTTTAGTGAATCATTTTTGCAGTTATTATGCCGTGTAAAGTAGCCATCTCTCTTAGCAGCAATGGAGTTTTATTTTTGCCAGTATCGGAAAAGCTCCTCAATGGTCTGGTGCGAATCAGTCTTTGTATTGATACTTGTGCTTTGTAATCTGTATTTACAGAAATACGAAGGACCATTTGATTTGCCATTTTGCAAATGTTCTCTTGTTTCCTTAAGGTAGTAGGATATACTGTACTGTAATTCCATGGGTTCTATAGTACTCTGATCCTCAAGTGGCCATTCTTCATGTTGGCAGGTCTTCTACCATGGGATCAGAGACACCCTTAATTCTGTCTTCACCTGACACCCTCGTGCATGCATCAGAAAGATATAGGTATAAATAAACTGATTCCAGTCAGAACAGCAGTTGCACGATGCATCAATTGTCCTTACTGCCACAGGGCACTTGACAGCGTTGACCGTCTTTACTGATCACATAGTGAAGTGGGTCTATCTCCTTGATTTCTTTTTATATTAGCTTCATAATCTTCTTCCTTTCCTTCCCCTACCCCAACAGTAATCATTGAAATGACTTTGTGGTCCAGTATTTTGACTTGCAGTGATGATGCTTAGAGAGGAGTATTTTGGTAGCTATTGTATTTTGAATAAGGTTGACTAGAATGCAGTCCTTTAAGGTGAAATTGACTTGAATAAAGATGGTTTTGTCAGGTAAAACAATTTAATCCCATAAATTGCTTTGATCATATTGAGAGTGTTCAGTGTTGTGAAATTATTTCTAAGGGAATGGGACTGAGTGGCTGCAATATGGGGAGAAATTTGTTTTCTGAGTCTTCTTGGCTGGAAAAAGTGTGTATAACAAAGTGATTTCGTTAGAACCCATGTGAAGGCCCCAAGATAACCAAACTTTATATGGTCAAACCTACAAATTAATTTCTTTATGAAAAGTACCATGAGGCACAGGGCAGAGTCAGGGAAGAGCACTGGGCGTCTAACATTGATTTAAACAAAAACGTTGATTTAATTCACTCTTGTGACCTATGATCGGGTTCAGCCCAGACAGAAAGACGGCACAGCTTAGTTCCTGAGGGGCACAACACAATCTTCCTATTGTTTGGCTAAATGATAATCTTCATGCACACCATAAAAATCGCCTGGTGTAAGAGTGGGAAACATTTACATTTTTGCTATAGGTGTTGCTGGCTGAGATTAAATAATAATTTTAGGGCAGAGTGGATTTATTCAGGATCTGGCTGTGCTGTACCTGATTTGAGAATGCTTGAGCTGGATAACATTTGTTTTGTGTAAGGAAAGTGGAGAAACATTTGATTCTCCAATGTAGCTTTTCTAGAATATTCACAAGAATTGAGCAGATTTTTGAAATTCTACTATTCTTCTGTGGGCATGAAACTTACAAGACTTTATTGTTTGGATGGTCGTGTTTTGGAACTTTCCAAGTGATGTTAAAATCGTCTTTTAGTTGCATTTTAACTCCCCCCCCACCCCCCAAAAGAAAATGACCAATTCCATTTGATTGCTTTTGTTAATTGCATAGATCTATTTTAGTAAATGGTATTGCTTTGGAATGAGGTCTTAAACGATCCATTTAGCTTTTCCTGCAATGCCAAATACCTAATTTTGTGATTCAACCACCAGTATAATTAAACGTTAATAAATTTCAAACATATTTAGCGCAGTCACTTTGACATGGTCGATGAAAACTCTGGTTATGTAGCCAAGAAGTGGGACCAGTTGAAATAATAATAATCCTTTCATTTGATATAGTGCCTTATGTCTTCGAGACATCTGAAAGGGCTTCACAGAATATACTGTAAAGTGAATTGACTGTATATTTTGTGGGTGAAATGCAGCAGCTAATTACACACAGCAGTGTCCCACAAATAGTCATGGATTTAGTGACCGAATTATTATGATGCAGTTAGAATGTGCCTTGTGGGGAGATTTGATTCCATTTTATTTAGGTACTATTTATTTAAAAACTATAAAAGCTCGGTCTTAAATATATTGCATTTACAAATTTTCTTTTTTTTAAAAAAAACTTAACTCAAGCAGGGATTTTTCGCTTTTTCAGAACTGGCTTCTCATTGTGTAAACTGAAAATACTGTATAACTGGAAGAAAAAAAACTCCTCAATGGGTTAGGACACCATTTGGAAAGAGTACAAGTTTTTTTAAAAAAATTTCCCCATCAATTTGCTTACCTGTTCAAATTGAATGCAATTAAAATAACTTCTCTTTCCTGTTATTGAGAGAGTGTTTTACTGGAGCTGGGCATCTTCCAGCACCTCATGTAGTTTGCCTGTTATTTACCCGTGAAACTTGTCAGCAGGATATGTGACCACAGGGGGTATTGTAGCCAAATTTGATCCTGTGCTTTAAGAAGTATAATTTAGTCTAATAGTGTTGTCTTTGATTCCAGTTAACACAAAAAAAAGTATGTGTAGTGAGAACATTATGTATTGCACTCTGAAGCAATATCATGTTGCTTTCATTGTGTCTGGGCTTGACAATGGACTTGCCACTTCACCCTACTCGCTGGACTCTCCGGTTCTTCCTACATAGACTGCAGCTTATCCAGTCTGTATCCTCTTCTACCTATTCCCGTTCGGCTCAACTTGCTTCCTGTCCCCAGTGGATTCAATTCAAGATTCTCTGTCTTGCCTCTAAATCCCTCCACAATCTTGCTCCCCCCTACCTATGTGATGTCCTTCACCCCTGATTGACCCAGCTGCTTTCTTTGCTCAGCGAGCACTGGACTACTTCATGTCCCATGCTTTATCTGCCCCGCCATCACTGTGCAGGCATTCTGCCATGCGCTCTCGAACTCCATCATGGTCTGACTCTCTTACTCCTTCCCCTCATTCAGAGCACATCTGAATAAGTACCTCTTTGACCGCACTTCTGGTAATCATTCTCCTCCACACACCCTTTGGTTCTCACCCCTAGCTCGGGTGCCCAGCCATCAGTGTCAACAACAAACAAACAATTTGAAATTTATGAAATAATAATAATCCTTGGATTTGATATAGCACCTTATCAAGCTTTTGAGATGTCTCAAAGTGGTTCGCAGAATAGATTGTAAAGTGAATTAACTGTATATTGTGGGCGAAACGTGGCAACCAATTTATAATGCTTTTCAAGTTTGGAAAGTTAGGACATCCTGAGGAGATTGTCAGTCCTCTACAATTGTACTCAGCAACATAAACCTGCGTTTATATAATATCCTTCACATGGGGTAGTATCTTGGAGCACTTGAGACATCTTCCCGATGTAAAAGGTGCTATATAAATGTAACTCGTATTGTAATGTTACTCCCTCATGCCAGCATTCAAGCGGCATAAATAGCTATTCCTTGGATTGTCATCTTTGTACTGCTATAAATTGTGTCATGTGAATAGGGGGTAGTGTTGATTTTTCATCTTCTCCATTCATGTTTCCAGAGAGCAGAATACAGTAGAACGGTGATTTGATATGCAGGCAATTTTTCTGTGCACCTGTACAGCTGTGCATTAAAGGTTCAGCAATTTGATATAGTTGTGTTTGTGTAAGATGCACCAGATTGTCTGAAAGAGCCTGCTCCAATCTCTTAATAATCCTTGCATTTGATAAAGTGCCTTTCACGTCAGATGAATTTATCAAAGTGCTTCAATTTACATTGTTTCACTGTAAAGTGTAGTAATTGTAGACAAAAATGGATATAAGCATAATTTACAAGTCTCATTTAATAATAATAATCCTTGCATTTGATATAGCGCTTTTCATGTCTTCTAAAGCGCTTCACAGAACATACTGTAAAGTGAATTGACTGTATATTTGTGGATGAACGCGGCAGCCAATCGCCCACAGCAATGTCCCACAAACAGTCATGCATTGAAAATGACCAATTAGTGTTTTTTTCAGTTTTTTTTTGAGGAAACAACACTGCAATGTCGTCAAAGTGATCCCTGTTTGGTAAACACATGAGAATCTCTCAGGAATTTTCATCTCTGACAGCTAATTTTTATTTTTTATTCTGAGTATTAAGTTGAGGATGGCTCTGCATCTAGCTTTTAACTCCCCCACAGAGAATCATGGGTTCAGATGCTGTCCTTGACTGGGGTTTGAATCGCCTATCCTCATTGAGCAAGTTGTGAATTACTGGAGGAAAGAAAGACTGATATAGTTTTATAGCTTTTCTCAGTCTACTCTGACAGGTGATCATGACAATGATTGCAGCTGTGAAAAACAAGTCGAGTCCTATTTCTGTCTAAAAGACGCGAATGCAGCAGTAACTTGGATTGGTTACTAAACAGTAGAAAATTGTTTGCAAGGTGGGGAATTTAATATCAAATTTATGGAATACTGTCTTTATTCTGGTATGTTTTTAGTGCCTGTGGCCAAATGATCAAAATGTGTGACAAGCCTCTATGGGAGCAGATTGGATCCAGCTTTGTGCAACATTACTATCAAATATTTGACACAGAAAGGAGTCAGCTAGGATTAATATATGTAAGTATAGACTGAGTGCTATCTATGCACTCAACTGAAGTTACGTTTTCTTTAGCATGTGGTAAAATGAACTGTTTGCAATAAATTTTGAAACTGAATAATTGTGTGATTTTTCAAAAGTTGTGTGGGCTGCACTAAGGGACTAACTTGCTGGAGTAAGCTTATTTTTTTTAAAAAAAGTGCATTATCTTTTATTTTCGTGTTGGGGGAGGCCACTGATCTAATCAAGTGGTTCTGATCAGCTTCATACCCAGGCATGAAGTAAATCTAGCATCTTTACAATTAAACTAATTGTTTGAAGTTTTTTTATGATCTTTGTACCTTCAGAGCAATTGTTTTCTTTTAATCTGTTACGTGGATTCTATTTTATGACCTGAGATTAACAGTGTGTCTTTGTTTCAGATTGATGCATCATGCCTTACTTGGGAAGGACAGCAGTTCCAAGGTAAAGCTGCTATTGTGGATAAAATAAATGTAAGTATTTCTATGCAAGTTAAATGTTTTGACAAAGAATAGATTCAGATTTGAACACCTGTAAACTTTGAATGAAATCAGTATTATACATCTTGTTAAACCCAACCATTCCATACTCATTTCAAATTATAGGTACTTATGAATTAAAGTTTAGTCTGTTTGAATTAAGTTTATCACTTTCTTTGAAGTTTGGCTTCATTCATTTTGAAAAGACTTGTGTAAATAGATACAACAGTTTAATTAGATTCAGTTACCTAGCAGTGAACTAGGGACCTGAGAATATTTACCTAATGTGACTGAGATCTGCCCAGACAGTGATGTTTTCTTTATTTTGGGTTAACTTCTGAAGTGACAGTATCACCATTTTTCTTTATTGACTTGAATCTAAGTAGTATTTCATCAGTTCCATATGATTTTTAATTAATTAAAGTACTTGTCAATTTGAATAACCTAGAATTATATATGACACCACCTCAGTATAATTTTTCAGATTATGTAATAATGACTTCAGTTACATTTAATGAATTAAAGCATTAAGTTTGTATAATAATGATGATCCTTGCATTTGATATAGCTCCTTATCACGTCTTCGAGATGTCTCAAAGCGCTTCATGGAATATACTGTCAAGTAAATTGACTGTACATTGTGGGCAAAACGTGTTGTTGAAAGGTTGTCGGAAGTATTGCCCTTTGGATGAGAAGTAAACTGAGGTCCCATCTATCCATTCAAATGTATGTTAAAGATCCCATGGCCCTAATAGGGGTACTCCCCCAGTGTCCTAACCAGAATTCCCTAGATATAATTACTTGTTCACTTAATAGCTGCCAAATGTGGGACATTTCCTGTGTACAAATTGGCTTCTGTGTTCAGCGACAAAAACACACTATACAGTAAAAACCAGTGCAGCGCTTTGAAACATTTCGAAGCACTATATCCTGTGGAGTCCTTGTGGAGTCCTATAGCTCATTGGGTAGAGCACTCGCCTTGCAAACGAGAGACCTGGGTTTGATTCCCAGTAGAACGAAATGTTGGGCAAGTTTCCTTACTCCATATGTCTCTGTTTACGTAGCAGTAAGTAGGAACCTGGTTGTTAGTTGATTGGCGGATCGCTTTACTGGGGGTAATAATTCCTTCAAAAATAATCATAATGATAAAATTGGTCATTTCAGTTCATGACTATTTGTGAGTCACAGCTGTGCGCAATTGGCTGCCACACAATATACAGATAAAATCACTTTACAGTATATTCTGTGAAGGGCTTTGAGACGTATCAAAGATGTGATAAGGTGCTACATCAAATAAGTAAAAGGGCATTTAGTAATCTTTAACAATAATCTTAAGTACAACATTTTATGTTGATCTTAAAGTACATTATTTAACTGTACAGTATATGACATATAACCATTGTGAAATACTATACGCAGTAGTTGGCTCCTTTAAGAATTGGGCTGATGAGTACTCTAGAATGTATCACAGATTCGATTCATATGCCATTGAATTCCAACCATTGCTTTGTGAAAGTAAGTAGCTTCCCAATTTAGTGGAAGGGTGCATACGTCTGGTTCACTGTCATACAATATATTAGCAGCTGGTGTAGAGTAGCAGTGGTGAAGGCTTGGGAAAGTCTCTGCTCTTTGCCCATGGTTGACTCATGCCCGGGGAATGCAACTACTTTAGCAGATTTCTGGTTGAAGGCATAATGACATGCAAGATTTGTGGGTTTCACCAATGTCATTGAATGCCTGCATTGTAGCAGTTGCTTTCTCACAAGTGGCAAAACAAGTTGTCTTTGAAAACCTTTCATACTTTTAAATGTGCATGAATGTAGCAACATGACAACCCTATGTTTAGAATCCCTGCCTTAGTACAAGATTGTAAATTGACTTTCTATAAAGTGGACCAATTGCAGAGATTTGCGCGTTCTCTGTTAAAATAATGAAAGTACACCTTAGCATTAAGCCTTCAACCCTAACCGAGTGCATGAGTTATGCACTCAGTTACGGTTTAGGTATTCAATACAGTAGCATTTACCAGAAAATGCAGTAGAAGCCTTTAATTGGGAACACCTTATTTCTAATAAGCTAAATAGTTTTATCTATTCCTATTGAGTAAATTCCTGAAGAACGTACAAGGAATTGGTGCCTCAACAAATGCTCCTTTTATGCTTCCACTTTTATTTATGCAGAGGTCATATTATAATAATTTGATACATTGTGTTTCATAGGATAATAATAATGCTTGCATTTGATACAGTGCCTTATCACATCATCAAGACGTCTCAAAGCACTTCACAGTGTATACTGTAAAGTGCAGTGAGTGAATTATATGGACAGTGAGCAAATATTCCAGAATCGAATATAATATTGCTCCACAGCTGTCTCTGAACTGAATTAACTTTCAGCAAGAAATGTGAGAAACACAAGTTATTTTTGCAAGAGTAGAACTGTCAGACCTGATGTTTGGTTTGCATATTATACAGTCTTACCAGTTTCTATTGATCAGTTTTTAAAGATTAATTTGATCCTAATAATATTTTTGTTTAAAACAGGGCCTTCCATTTAGAAAAATACAACACATCATAACTGCACAAGACCATCAACCCACACCAGACAGCTGCATTCTGAGTATGGTAGTAGGGCAACTTAAGGTAAGATTGATTTAGTTACTGGGCTCAACTTTTATTCAACTTTAAGCTGTGGGGGGGTTTCATGTTTAATCCAATGCTTTTAATATAAAGAAAATGCCTAAGGAACATTTTGTAGAAATGATCCTGTGTACACTTGCATAGTTACACAAAAAACAACTTTTGTAAAAATGCCAAAAACAGCAGCAAGATATCCAGGGAGCCTCAGTTGATGTAGGTTGATCACTTTTGAATTCCAAGTGTTCCACATCTCATTTTTCTGTTTTAAGAAAAGTCTATCATATCCAGCCACTGATGGTTTATTTGATTCTTTGTTGGTGAAGGGGTCACTGAAAAGGTTTTTTTTAGATGCATTTCTAAGCTATTATCCTGCCTTCCTACTACCCAAGTGAGAAAGTATGGAGGCTCCTAAACCTCTGTCTGATGAAAGAGCTCATCATTTTCCTCCCGTCTTTTTGTTGAAGCGTCTCCCAGTGATGTCCATTCCACAGAACTATGCTGCAACACCTCTCTATAACCTAGAACTAGAGTGAAATCATTATTAAAGTTTGACGGCAACTTCAATGCATCTATACAAGGCAGAGGAAGTAAAAGATTTGTTATTTTAAAATATTTAACTTTCAGCTCTTTAATATTCTCTTGTGCAGTCTGCATTTCAAAGTACAAAATGTTAAAGATCAGGAATAATTTGTGATGCGCACGTGGATGGGCATCTGGTTTCAAAAATCATTAATTTGTAAGGAATTTCTGGCCTTATTCATGTATGGGTGAGGTTGGTAGCTTTGGGTATTACAGTGATAGGGCAGTTTGCCATGTTGTAAAGCCATGATAGGGGGAGAGAGTAGATAAAGATATAAGGTGCCTTTAAGCAGGAGGAAGATTGTTGAAACAGTTAGTAGTCATTTACACTCTGATCATAGCAAAGGCCTTTGAACGATTTTGGTGCCTTATTAATGAATCGATGTAGGGAATCTAAACAGCAGCAGCTTGCACTTATAGGGTGGTGGGTGGGGAAAACAGATGTCAACTCTAATAAAAGTGGGCATAAGTAGGTCTGTAGCTGTTTAATTGGTTATATCCACCATCTTACAATTTATTTTCCAAGTCGATGGAGCTCTCCATTTCAGTAATGGAAATGGCACAATAAGAGACAGATTGTTTGTCTCATTGTTTTTATAATGATTTAGTACTTAGTACTTGAGTAAAAGTATAGCAAGCCATGCAGTTAGGATAATTTTGAACATTCACTTTTATAATAGCATTTTTACTTTAGTTGTTTCTTTCATTTTTTGGTGTACTATATTGGTGTCAAGGTTTATGCCAGTGCTGTAATCTGGGCTTGCTGTATGCTAAATATGCAATGGTAGATTGAATGAATCTATTGCACTGGACGGTCTCACTGGGTCAGCTCCACAGCTGAAATTTCAACTTGCCTTTTAATTTATTATTAAGTTGAAGTGGGCCAAGCTAGTGATGGGTGCATACTATGTTAGAAGGGAAAATGTAGAGTACAGTAGGAACAATTGATCATTGAGAAACCCTGCCAGGTTGTATTGCTGTGTCCAAGATGGTGTATGGGCTGAATTACCTCCGTTTAGAGTGAATAAATGAATTTGAACAGTTTCTGATTTTGAGGTGATTCGAAGAACATCAAAGTGTTTTTTCTTTTGAGGTTTTCTCTTCTGCTATAGTTTGTTAAACATTTTTGGCATTTACATTGGAAGGCATCAAGAGCAAAACATGCTTGATAGTTATTACTGCAATAAAAATCTGAGACGTGGTAATAAATGGAATTTCAAAAGACCAGCACAAAATGAATCAAACTTCCACTTGGTAACTTTTTTTTATTTCATTCTTCTGCTCAGGCAGACGACGACCAAGTTATAGGCTTCCATCAAACATTTTTGTTGAAGTGTCTTAGTGATGCCTGGGTGTGCACCAATGACGTCTTCAGGCTAGCACTTCACAACTTTCAATAAATCAACACCTCTCTCCCACAATCTGTCTTCCTTTCTTCCCCCCAGTAAGCATTGCATTTGTTGCCAAAATTGTTCTGCATGTGTGTGTGGTCTACGCGGGAAACTGCAGCATGTGCTGGCTGTTAGCTTGTGTGGGCTTTGTTTTTTGTGAATACTGGACTGAATAGAATTAATTTAAAAAATTTGTCCCATATCTGCGAATAGAAAGACTCCAATATCATTCACACTTAAACAGTGCAAATCACAAGATTTTGGCGATGTTATATATTGTTCCAATTTAATACCAGTGCAATTTCCAATTGAGCGACAACGTTTGGTAAACAGAAGTCATTCAGTTACATTCTATACAACCTGTCTGTCAGTCTTTCTGACTGTTAGCTGTTTAATGTATCATTAGACTGGGACAATCAAGTTGTATTAAAGCCACCTTTGGTTTAACGAGCAGAGATATGGTGAGGAAAAGGACTCTGAAAAGGTGTTCTGAGATGATTTATCGATTTGTTACTAATACATTTTTTCAAAGAAACCCAATTTTCAAGTCATTTAATTGGTTGACTGATCTGATTTTTAAAGCACAGTGCTGCTGCCAGTAGTGTGCTATTCTATCCTTATCTAAAATTCTGCTGTTAACTTTTCCAGCAATTTTTTTCTTTGTACACTTGGCTTTCCAGGATAGGAAGATATTTGAGTCAAATGTAGAAACTGTTTGTCGCCTGGAGCACATTAAGTATCAAAAACATCAGTTTTGCATTTTCAGCAGTTTTATCTTGACTGAATGAGCAGTAAGTTGTTACAAAACTTTTAAAATATGTAGGGAAGACAATGACCTTGCAGTATAACAGTAATGGCATTGGCTTCACAATCAAATGGTCATGAGCTAAATGCATCAGAGATGTTCAGTGCACAAAATCAATTGTTTTGGCTCAAAATATTTGTGGACATGATAAGAGGTGGGTGGAGGACTTCTTGAAGAAACAATGGATAATAATCCATGCACTTGATGTAACACCTTAAAGAAACATCTTAAAGTGCTTCAAATAGATATCTGTAAAGTGTAGTGGCTGCAGAGAAACTCCCTTGTCAAGAAACTCCCTTGTCTTTTTGAATAGTCCACCTGAGCAGGCGGACGGGACCTTGGTTTAGCTTCTCATCTGGAGAACTTCCGACTGTGGCGCACCCTCAATCCTGCACTGGAGTATCAGCCTGGACCATGAGCTCAAACTCTCCAATGGGATTTAAACCCACAGCTTTCTGAATTGGTGCATTCATAATATTTCTGAAATTCAGTTTACCATCTGGGCATTTAGTAGAGTAGTTTACTGCCTGAATGTCGAGTCTGATTTTTTTCATTTAAATCGCATACATCGACTCTATTGTTCTTCCAATTTGGAGTCCTTTTGACTTACCCCTTCCCTCGCCTCCTTCAAGGTCCACCTCAGACCTTCCTCTTTGGTCAACCTTACTCGTCTCACCCCCACCCCAGCTTGACTATCCAGCGGCTTGGGACATCCTTCTGACCGAAAGGCCTTATATAAATGTATTGTTGTAATTCACTCTCGCTGTAAAGAAAGGAGCAGATATAGCTAATAGTTGATATCCCAGGTGCAGCTTACATTACCCTGCTTTCTTGGACGAAACAAGTCATGCAGTGGAGATATGGTGGAAAGACCAGTTCGATGGAACAAAATAGGCGCAAAATATGGGAAATAAAGTTGCCTTTAAGTATAAAGAGTTTAGTTAGCTGGATTATGCAGCATTTTCCTATAGCCATGGCATCTCACAGTATACTAGAAATACTGATTCTGATTGTAGTTTTCAGCTGAGTTTGGTAGCTTATCTTTGTCATCTTACCACCATGGAAAGCTAGAAAATCCAACCTCTCTATTGGGTTGTTGAATGAAGATTCTGCAATGCACAAATTGGATATCAATTTTTGAATGATTCAGTTTTGCATTCTTACGTGACGAGCTGTTTTTCATGTATTTGCACTAATATGTATGTTTTTAAGTTTAGCAAATTAAAAATAAAACTCTTGAAAGATCTTTGAAATGTGCAGTAGAAATTACTAGGGTAAGTTCTTTTGAAGTTAAGGTGCTGTAAAAAGCCTTTGTTCATTTTAATTGCTATAACTCCTAAACATTCTTTATTCATCATTTGTCCTTAATCTGCAACACTGAATGTTCATTGATACCAAAAGCAATCCTGACACGTGCAGAAGACCATAATTTTCCTATCTAAAGCTAGTTCATAAACAGATGTTAGTAGCAATTTTGACAATCTTTTCTACTCAGGTCCTCTCTTTATTGTGCGTTTCTGATCTTGTACTTGCTTCTACTTTTTAAATTTTCTTTTTCTCTCATCTTCTTTAGTTAGAATATACTTATTTGTTTTGCCTCAAACTTATCATGTCTTTTATTTTCTTTATTGTTTTCTTGTGTTACTCTCTCCACCAGCAGTTTCACAACTCTGACCACAGGTAAACCGATTCTAGGGGGAAAGAGTGAGGCTTCAATCAGGACAATGCAATGAATGCAGCAGGTTCTCTCAGATCCTGGTGCCATTCACATTTATAGGAATTTTTAGATGGTGAGCCTCTGATATCTAGGTGCAAAACACCAGCTGAAACTGAGGAATTATGGATAGTAAGATGGTGCTTCGACTTTCCTCTCCTGCAGTGAATGTAAATTTACATTAAGCTCTCAAAGAAATGTAAAATCTTGCTTGGGTAGGGGTAGGTGTACCTTTTTAAGTATTAGCGCAGCTCTTTATATACAAATGAGTGGAGAAAAGTATGTAGTGCTCCTAACATCAACTTTAACTATATTTACGTGTGAAAAGATAATACTGCAACTAATCATTACAAGTGCATCAAGTCAGAGCTAAACTAGCATAGCATTAGCTGCCATCTATTTAATCTATGGTAACAGCACAACTCAGTTTCCAGGATTCTAGTAAGTTTTTTTTAAATGAACAATTGTGCTATTTATAGCAAGGTGACACTTATATGGTTTCAATAGTAAATCTATAACTGGGATGGTATTAGTATAGAAACGTAATCTTCTGTCTATCTGGTCTAATTCATTTAATGAAAATACAGCAAAGCCAGTCGTTATGCCCCTATGGTTCCACATGCCACTGCCCTGTGTAAAGCTGAGTCGTGCATTAGCAGGTTTGATTTCCAATTTGTGCTGAGTTAGCTGATTTCAGCTAGGGTAGCAGTTACAGCACTCTATATGACCTCAGTGACTCTGGGCTGGTGCGGGGACAGGTCAGCTGGGGTCCTACTCGTGATTTGCTGCTCAATGCCAGTGACCTGCCTCCCTGGAAAGTAACCAGGTGTGAATTTGGGTGAGTATAGTGCTCAACAGGGACCCGCTCAGAGTCAAATAGCCTGCCTTCATTTCTGATAATAATAATCCTTGCGTTTGATATCATGCCTTATCACATCTTCGAGACGTCTCAAAGCGCTTCACAGAATATACTCTAAAGTGAATTGATTGTATATTTTTTGGCCGAAATATATTTATTGCCTGGACTTGCACATTTAGCCAAGGTAATGGAGGGTGAACTTATTCCCAAGTATGAGTCAGGGCCTTCACAAGAGAAGGGTTGGAAAAAATTTTTTTTTCCTCTGTGATCTGCTGATTCAGACATGCGAATAATGATATGCTGAGTATTTTGTACGATTTACTGCTGCTATCTTTCTACCTTTCTGTTTTTCTGATAACTTTTCTTTCACTTGTCTCTCAAAGCAAAGCATAATGTGCAAATACCTCAGCACAAGCAAATTATTACTTCAGGCATCTGGCCATTCAGGCTCCTTTCATCAAGGTTAGAATTCCAATTAAAACAACACAAATATTCTTAAATTGTAGGTGTCCAGTTAATGATTTCTAAGCAGGTGATGTTGAATCTGTATAGGACTTTGGTTAGCTTGCAGCTAGACTATTGAATATACTTTTGGAGGTAAAACGCCTGTTGTGAAAAGGTCAGTCGTGGAGAGATTGCAGTGTAATTTTGTTCGGTTTATAGTATCGATTGATCCTATCAACCCATTGAATTAACTCATTATCGGTTGTGCAGTTACAGCATAGTTAGTCTGCATAATTACAGGATACAACAGCAGTATTCACCCTCCACCAGAATAACCATTTGCTTTTCCGTACATTTAAACATTTAATTAAAAAAAAGTGATTTCTATCAGTGAGGAAATGCTCTGCTTGGAATCTTTGTTGAACAGTACTTTCTCAGCAGACTGGATATAGCTGATACAGTTGGCCTTGGTCTTTCCTAGGCTGGAAAGGGACGAGTGTGTAGTCGGATTTGGTTGTGATGTGCCCAGGTTCCCTGTCTCACTGATGCTCGCTTTTCAGTCTGGTGCATGAAGGAATGGCTCTGCACAGGAACACGGCTGCTGTCTATGGCATTATACCTAATATGAGTCGCTGTATTTGGGAGAAGATGTGAGGAAAGGAGGCCAAGCAGAATTTAAATTCCTTGTGCATTGGATAAATAGAAAAGTACACTCTTGTGAAAGCATTTTTAATTACTTGACAGGATCCAGCATGCTTGTGAATTTATCACTAACGTGTTAAATATGGTAACCTTTATCGCCCTAAAGAACGGAAGGCATTCTGAAGGCACAATTTTGTGGATTTTCAGGTCTCTTTACTCCCCCGCCCCCCCATCTCCCAACTCCCACCCTCCCATTTGTTTGACCTATTGGAGGGCATCAGACACTGCTGCCATTGATGGAGAATTTGGGAAACGTTTCACAAGTTTAGATCGAGTCAGAGCTGGCAGTGATGAATGATCTTACTTGCACAATCAGATGAGCCAACTAGGGCTGGACAGCGCTTCCCTTAGAGTCACTCGTGTGTTTACTTGGTGTAGGTGGGAATGTTTCCCTTGTCCAAATTAGTTCCATACATGTTTATCTTTGAGTAATGAGGTATATGACAGCCTCAGAAACTTCACTGGCTACTTTCCAAGATGTGGAAGGCACAAAGCACCTGATTCTGCATTTAATGTACTCGTTTATCGCTGATTCACTCCTTGTCCTTCACTACATTATGAATTCTGAAATGTGTAAAAGCATTAAAGAAAAAAACAAATATCATGGTTTCTGATCCTCTGGGATTAAATATGGTCTATTTTTGCTGAGGGGTTGGTGTCTGAACAAAGCAGAAACGAACATTTAAAATCTTTCATTTAAAATGTTTGATATCAAACAATTGTTTTAATTTGTGGTTTTTGCTGCATTTGTTATATTAAATGCTGTTGCTTTGAATAAAAGTTGCATGATCCACCATTTTTAATGTTGCATTGTACTTCATTACCGCTATTCAGATTTGATTGACAGTGGACCCCTTTCATAGACAAGATACTGCTTGCTGAAGCAAAATGTCACAGCATTAGAAGTCAGGAGTGTTTTTTGACAATGGTTTTGTACAAAGGAGGTACTAATTCTGAGTGCAGTTAGTCAGTGTTCAATTCAACTACAAATATATTTAGTAACAATTTTAAAGTAATGCCTGTTGCACTCTGTACTTGTGAACTTGTAATTTGTGATGTTTTTCAAAGAAAATGGTCATTCAATAAGCGTAGTCCAGAGACTCGTGCCATAGCCTGACATTTTGAATGCTCTGTGACCAAAGTATTTCAGTCCGTTGTGGGGTGAATTCTGCTGCTGCCTATATGCTAAACAGTGAAAAAGTAGCCCTTGGGTTTTACTAACCGGTTGTAATTTACTTCGAGCAAATGCACTGGTACTGTTTTTAACTATTTGCTTTTTAAACAGTGGGCTGTTGTCCTGTGCTGCGGGAAAGGAGCAAACCAGATGTTTGTTCTCAGAAACGTAATCCACCTAATAATTTTCTTATTGTGCTTTCAGGCCGATGATGATCCAATTATGGGATTTCACCAGATATTTCTACTGAAAAATATTGATGACTCTTGGGTCTGCACCAACGATGTCTTCAGGCTAGCACTGCATAACTTTGGCTGAGACTACCGCCTAAGCCGATCGCTACATCCACTCTTCTCGTCTGCTATTAATCACAGTAACTGGATTCCAAATATCATACACAAGGGTGTACAAACAGTAAAATTTGCAACCTGCGTAGTTTCTAATCACAGTTTGTTTGAATTTAACTATTTGTGCATGATGTTTGGAAAGACGTTAGTTTTAGCTGACATGGGAAAGACAGTACCCTAGTGTGTGTTGTACCAGCATGCCTTAGAAGATAAGTCATACCACACTTTTTTTCCCTATGTACTGGTAAGTTGCTATAGCAATCCAAAGAACCAAAATGAATAACAGCAGCTACCTGTAGAGTCCAACCTTTTGATTTGTTCATACCTTTTGTTGACGCATTATACAATAAACCATGAACTTTTCTTAAGATGGAAATGGTTTCATTTGGTTTGCTGGTTGGTTTTAAGGTCTCTTTTTCTTCTCCCTTCCCCCCCCCCCCCCATTTGTTTGACCTATCTGAGGGCACATTGCTGTTGGGAATTGTCTGTGCTGATATGGAGGTTGAGGTTGCTTGAATCAAAACTCAAGTGAACCTGAACAGAACCATTCAGATCTGACTTGTGTATCATGAACTAACTTTCAGTTTTACTAAACAACACATTTACCTGATCCTTGGAGAACAGAAGAACAAATCAAGGCTTTAAAACAACTTTCAGCCTTTTACAGCTGTGCATGTCATATTAACTTAGTTGCAATTTTATCCACTGTCCTAGTTGAAGAGTCCTAGTGCTCAAACTTTTCAAATTTGAAAGTTTCAGTAAAATAGGCAAGTGCTTGGAATATTTGGTGGGACTTGTCCTGGATGCTTTCTCATTGTACTTTAAATTGTTTTTCTCTTTCAATGTGACGTTCTCATCCCGTTTCCCCAAAATAAATGGCTCTTGCCGCTGTGTGTGACTTCTTCAGCTGGGAAGTGAATCAGCCTGGTGTGGTCTGCTCCATGACTGGTGGTGTTTCTGTAATGTGATTTGTTGGTGCTTGCACTCAAAGCGGGTCAAGGGGAAGACTATTGGTTTTTTATTCCTGGAAACTCAGTGACTGTGATTCAAAAGCTCTGTTACTCTGAGCATGTCGAGTTTATGACCACAATACTGAAAAATCTGTGCTGTATCCATTGGTCTACTAGATCAACTTTAGCCTTTTGTAAAATTGGTAACTCTGCATTAAAAAAAATGTTGTCCAGCTATTATTATTAAATTATATCTTGGCACCGGTACTGTATTTTAATGTAAAATGCAGTCATTGCTAGTAGAAATGCAATCGGCACTGGACAAATTTAATATTAGTATGATTCATCCTAACTGATCGGGTTTGTTCAAAGCTGCTTCTAGGAACAGTGGTTTTCCAGTCTGCCAGAGAAGAAATGAGCCATACTAATCCATTGTTGGTACTCGTCCCGTTTTCCTTATCAAGGATGCTGGATTTGCTTCATTTGATATTTGCTCCACAGGTATTTGGAGAACAGTATAAGTGCAGGGTTTGTTTTCTTGGGTTGTAAGTCATGGTGAGATCTCACCTCCAGCCCATCTGGCTCGTTCTTCACTGAGTGTTGACCATGTGAGCATCCACAGGCATTCTGTATTGTTTATGTTCTTCTGACATGAACGTAACATCCTTTATTTACACGCGCATACACATATTCACACAGAACTCTATATGACAGCAAATGACTTGATAGCTTTCGAGAGTAGAATCCATGACTGATATTGTGCTTCCTGGCCTAGAGACAGTTGAAGTGCTTCAGTCCTGCCCTGGCTGAGATCAGCTTACTTAGTGAGTGAACCATTGTTCAAACTAGGGTACACCATGTCGTTCGGCCAAGTTTTATTTTATATTAAAAGACATTTTTAGTTTTACTGTTTTTTATACATCCTCGGTGTGTTGGGAGCTGTACGTGTGAACTGAATTTAATCTAAATAGGTTGAAAAAATCATTTAATTTTGAAACAGGGTTTCGTGATTTCTCTTCAAATGGGATTACTGCTTTATATTGGCCTCAGTAACCCCTCTCAGAGCTCAAAGGACTAATTAATCCCTAGTAAAGTGTGAAGTGCAGCAAGATGCACCTCTTGCTGTCACTGACTGCAACTGAAATATAAGGAAACAAAACATTAAGATTAAAAAAAAAATGCAAATGCAGGGAAATTAGGAGTTGAGACAGTGTCAATTTTGCTTTGAAATTAGGGTATTGAATTCAAAATGTTTGGGGTCAAAACCTTTATCATGCTTGTGCAGTTCAAGATGCTAATGTTTGCAATATCACTGCAAAGTATAAACCATGTAAGATGTATCACTGTCTTGCAATATGTAATGGCAGTTATAGAATGCAGTTGTTTTTAACTAGGCACAAGATAGAGACCATCTAATGTTTCCATCTACGTGTATGTGTTTTAAACATTGATGTTGCATATTTTGCATAATGAAGTACAGTATAAGGAAGTGCACCAAACACTTAGGTCTAAATTGGATATCCCAAAACGTTCAGCTCGTGGACCCATTACGTGTAGAGCAAAAAAGAAACCTTTTCTCACAATATCCAGTCCATCCACATCCCAAGCTGATGAGACGTGCATCCGTTCAAAAGGGAACTGGAACTCTAGAGGCCTGAAGATCCACCTAGATATGGCCTACAAGACCTTTTTGCTTTCAAATTTAAGAACGCAGAATTGTAGAGCAATTTTAAGTTCATTATTAATTTGAAAAGTTTTTAATGTGTAATTGCAGAAAACTCCTAAATTAAGACTTGAACATTTTTACAAACATCTGCAACTTTAAACTTTTAAGACAAAATGGTCTCACGGGCTAAGACTAAGTGAAATTTCATGCCTCAAAGTGCCTTGCGTTAACTTAAATATCACTTTGGCTTTACATTGGAGTTGTAGTAGAGCCCTTCATCGATTCAGTTGTGTTACTTCAAATTTATTTGTGTGTGTTTAAAATGACACTTTTTTGGTGAAGAAAGTGCATCAATTATCAAATCTTCAGTTGAGGATTGCAATTTTTTAATTGAAAGATTATTGTTTTGGAAGTTGGAGAAATTCACCACATAGTGTTTGCAGAAACTGCCAGCTTGAACCTTGGGGAAATGCGATTTGACTAATACTATATCATACCATTTAAATTTCAAGCGTTTCTTGTGTAAACCAAAATGCTCCTTTTTACATTAAAAAGGCACATGCGCCAGTGTTGTCATGTACACCCACATTTACCAAAGGAGCTAGTTGTTTTGCAACATTAATGATTTCATAGCCTATTTTTTAAATATTTGCTGTTGTATGTAACATCTTAAATTATCATTGTGTAATATAATGCACTTGTTATGCTGTGGTGTAGCTGCTTGAAAGGTTCACAGAAAACACCTTGTTTACTTTCGAAGTGTAGATCAATGGACATAATTCAGTTTATGATATTTATACATTTATTTGCAACAAAACTATTATGGATGCTGGATCAATTAAAATTTTCAAGACTGAGGTCGATAGAATTTTGTTAGGTAAGGGTAACGAGGGATATCGAGCAAAGGTGGGTAAATGGAGTTGGGGTACAGATCAGCCATGATCTAATAGAATGGCGGAACAGGCTCGAGGGGTTGAATGGCCTACTCCTGTTCCTAAAACTAGTTTACGTTGAAAATGGTAATTCAGCCTTTGCATTTCTGTTATTTTTATATACACATGTTCTTGGAATAATCCTTTCTCTTGTTTCAGGGATTTTGTTTTTTGTCCAGGGGTTGGTGGTAGGGAAGAGGGTGGGGAGGTCAAATCAGGCAGTTTTGCTTACCCTCTGTATTTTTGTGCGCACAACAATTTCAACCCATCTCCACCTAGAATCTTCAGCCAGGAGGGAATGGAAGTCCTGGCTCACTGATTTCTCCATGACCAGAACCAAAGTTACTCCATGATTGGCTGAAGAGATGCTTTTGTGCAACAGTATCTACGCTGCATTAAAATATAAAATTCTTACATTATTCTTGTAGTGAGGTCCCAATGCACAGCCACCTGATTCCCCACAGATGAGACCTGGCAGTTTTAAGTGTCCGACTAGAACACTATTGCTCCTGTTCTTCAATGCTACGTTGAAGAGATTTAACAACTTAACATTAGTTGTTTCTTAGATGCAGGTTAAATCAGTATTCGGATCATGGTTTATGAAATTCTTTTTAACACCCTTGGGGGTGGTGGTTAGTTTGTTAAACTCCCCCGGCATAAGCTATGTTTCCTTTCAGGTCTTTTGGCACTTCAGTCCATCAACAAGCAATCAGAAGAGTCTTTTGCTTTTATGATCACACAAAAATAGTAACTCAACTAGAGTGAATATTTCAACTAATGTTAGCATGTGACCACAGTGGTCACAGTAAATTAACTGTCAAATGTACATGCATTTAACTTTGTGTGAATCGCTGATGGTTACACATACCAGTCATCAGAATTATCGATTTATGAGGGTACATTTCCAGAATTGTAAATTGCATTATATCAAACGGATTGAAAAACATAATTTTCAACTGTTTAATGCTCAAAACTCAAAAGAATACAAAAAAGTTATTTGTTACATAATTAACAAACTATTTAACTCAAGACCCTTACAAAATCAGACATAAGAATGGATAGTTGGGTGACTTAAGTTGTCATTGCCATTCAAATGGATGAAATTCAACAAGCTGCCTTCTGCAAAGTTCTTGGTAACTATGTGAAGCACCTGTGCAGGCTACACCTGTTTTACTGTGAATTTGTGTGAAAGGACTTACTTGTGTTTAGGAATGATTTAAACATGTTACTTATGTTGTGCCATAATAAGAATGTGCTGGTTTGCCTTTGATATTGCTGTTTAAAAAATACTATTCTTAATCTAAAAATATTTTCTTAGATATGCATTCAGATTTTTACAAAATTCTCCATTACATGAAGTGTTGGTTACCGTGTTGGCAAGAACGTAGCTCCTTTCAGGATACTTAAAGTCTCAGATATAATTGTGGGTCATCTGAAATTGCTGAGGCTGCTTTCCTTGGTCCCATTGTGTATGCAGTATCTGATTTCAAATGGTCTATTTTAGGGAAGAGAAAGTTCTGCTTTCAATAATAACTGGTATGCATTGATTTCATTGCAGTGTCAAACCATTGTTTTTTGGTTTCCTTAATAAACTTTGTCAAACCAATTTTTCTTTGTACCTATTATTGCGTCAGTTGAAAAAGAATTATGGTATGTATGTACATGTTGATACATACTCTGGGATGTGCTGTAAACTGTCAGTTGTTCCATTTTGTAAAATCAAGTAGAATTTGCCCTTTTTAAATAATTTCAAATGTGGAATTGACAGCAAAAAAGTAAATCTAAAGCATGCTGTGGCTAAGTTCATTATAGTTTCAGTTTGTGCAGTAGGGGTAGTTTTGAATATTGTTGAAAGAAAGTTACAATAAATTCAGATTTTAGAATTGCTCAAGACCTGTATTTAATTTTGCTTTCATTTTGATAAGTGCTTTTACTCTGGAAAGGAGGGTGCTTATTTGTAACATGAAATCTCCTTTACGATACCAACCTTTGGCCAGACAACCAGAACAACGCAGATTGATAACATTCAAAGTAATCTATTTAGATGGGCTGCTGTGGCACAGCGTGACATATGAATTGGCTGCTGTGATTGCATAAAACTGCACACTCATTGCACGTTACAGTGAATACTGTGCAGTGCTTTGAGATATTAAAAAAAATGGGTCAATCCACGACTGTTTATGGGAAACTTGTGCGTAATTGGCTACTATGTTTTGCCCACAAAATATACAGTCAATCCATTTTGCAATATATTCTGTGAAGTGCTTTGAGGGCATCGCAACGATGTGATAAGGCACTATATCAAATGCAAGGATTATTATTGTTATGTTACAACGATGTAGTAAACGCTATATCAAAGGCAAGGATAGTTATTTGAGAAGTGGTGATTCAGATGAGTTGAGTTGTTGCTGTCATGAGTTGTTGTTGCCATCTGGTGGCCTGGTCCACAACATCTAACACACAAAATTCACCAGCTCAACATAATAATAATAATAATAATAATAATCCTTGCATTTGATATAGCGCTTTTCACGTCTTCTAGACGTCCCAAAGCGCTTCACAGAATACACTGTAAAGTCAATTGACTGTATATTTGTGGGCGAACGCGGCAGCCAATTGCGCACAGCAGTGTCCCACAAACAGTCGTAGATTGAAAAGGACCAATTTATTATTGTTTTTTGTTTTGGAGGGATTATTATTAGGCTCTGTGTGGAGTAAGGAAACTTGCCCAAGGTTTCGCCCTGCCTGGAATTGAACTCAGGTCTCTCGCTTGCAAAGCGAGTGCTCTAACCACTGAGCTACAGGACTCCTCAGGAAGTTAGGCGTGATGACCTTCAATTTGAGCCTTGAGATTTCTGAGAACGTATTAAACAAAAATATGAAGGCACTTGGGGACGGCCAGAGGCGAGTGCTCATCTTCCTTTGAGTAGGAAAAAGTGAAATAATAATAATCCTTGCATTTGACATGGTGCATTTCACGTCGTTGAGACGTCTCAAAGCGTTTCGTAGGATAGACTGTAAGGTGGATTGATTGTGTATTTTGTGAGCGAAACAAGGCAGCCAACTGCGCACAGGGCAACCAACTGAGACTTCTCAAAGCACTTCATAGGATAGACTAAGGTGAATTGATTGTGTATTTTGTGAGCGAAACAAGGCAGCCAACTGCAAATGACAAAGGGCAAGACATTACTTCACGATTTAATTAAAAATGGGGATGTACTAGACTGAGCTCCTGCCTGAGCTTCCCTGCCAACCCATGGTCTCCCATTGAAGATCAATCCACATTGCTACATGGAAGATTATTATGAAATATGCTGTACATACACCTAATAATTCTTTAATATGGCACAAAATCCTGTGATTCCTGTGATTTTCTCTTGAAAATCTTTGAATACTTCTGACTTTAACTTGCATCTCGTGAATAAACTATTGATTTCACTATAGGACTCTGCTGTACGCAATTGACTGCCATGTTTCGCCCACAACATTCAGTCAATTCATTTTACAGCATATTCTGTGAAGCGCTTTGAGATGTCTTGAAGATATAAGGCACCATATCAAATGCAAGGATTATTATTATTGTTATAAAGCTCTGCCTATTTCAAAACGTTTGCAAGCTGTTTCTTTGATTTAAAGTCGTTGTTTTGTAATGGTTGGAGACCTGTAGTGTATTGGTTAGAGTATTCACCTCACAAGGACCCAGGTTTGATTCCTGGGCAGGTTGAAATCTTAATCACGTTTCCCTACTCCACATGCCTGTTTACACACGCCGAGTATTATTTAGCAACAACATCAATATGTTACTTCAGGTATTTTTCCTCTGTTTACGGAGCAGTAAGTAGGAACCTGGTTGTTAGCCGATTTGGTGGATAGCTTTCTGGGGTAATAATCCCTTCAAATAAATAAATAATAATTTGGTCACTTCAATCCACAACTATTTGTGGGACACTGCTGTATGCAATTGGCTACTGCGTATTGCCCACAAAATATACAATTTACTTTACAGTGTATTCTATGAAGCGCTTTGAGACTTCTCAATGGCGCAATAAGGCGCTGTGTCAAATGCAAGGATTATTATTTTTCTATTAGAGGAGGAAGTGTGTATATGTATGTATGTCTATGTATGTGTGCGTATGTATATGTGGAGGGGGTTGATGCTCTGGGGTGGTGGGGGGGTGCTCTGAGAGGGGGGGAATGCTTGGGTGGGGGGGAGATGCTCGGGGTGGGGAATACTCTGGGGAGGGATGGAGATGCTTTGGGAGGAAGGGTGGGGATGCTCTGGGGGTATGTGTGTGTGGGGGGGGGAATGCTCTGGGTGTGTGTGTGTGGGGGGGGGAATGGTCTGGGTGTGTGTGTGGGGGAGGGAATGGTCTGGGTGTGTGTGTGGGGGGGGGAATAGTCTGGGTGTGTGTGTGTGGGTGGGGGGAATGCTCTGGGTGTGGGTGGGGGGAATGCTCTGGGTGTGGGGGGGGAATGCTCTGGGTGTGGGGGGGGGGAATGCTCTGGGTGTGGGGGGAATGCTCTGGGTGTGGGGGGGGATGTTCTGGGTGTGGGGGGAATGCTCTGGGTGTGGGGGGGGGAATGCTCTGGGTGTGGGGGGGGAATGCTCTGGGTGGGGGGGGGGGAAAGTTCTGGGTGTGGGGGGGGGTGTTCTGGGTGTGGTGTGGGGGGGGATGTTCTGGGTGTGGGGGGGGGGGGATGTTCCGGGTGTGTGGGGGGGGATGTTGTGGGGGGGGATGTTCTGGGGGGATCAGTTGCTGCCGGCGGAGAGTGCTGGTTGCACCGGAAGTGAGTCGGTTGCTATTGGCGGTGCGGAGGCGGCTCTCGCGCTCCTTCCTCCCGTCTCTCACTCACTCACTCACTCACTCGGGGCCGCCATGGCCTCCCCTCCCGGCACAGCCTCCAACATCGACATCCACGACGCCACGCAGCACCTGCGGGACATGCTGAAGCTGGACCGGGTGCCGGGTGGGTGAGCGAGCCGCCGCCGGGGGGAGCGGAGGGGAGGGGGGGAGAGAGAGGCGGGGGTGTAGGCCTCAGGCCCGGAGTGGGGGGCGGGGGGAGAGGTTGGGTGAAGAGTTCACGTCGGGGCCCCGGAGACTGTTGGCGCCTTTCTGTTTGATTTAGGGCTGAAGATTGATGATGATGATGATGAAGATGAGCGGCTGAGCCCCGGGGGCACCCGCCGCCGCCATGAGTGAAGAAACTACGGGGGAGAGGAGGAGTGGGGAGGGGGTGGGGGGGGGGAGAGAGAGAAGGAAGGAAGAGAGTGAAAGGAGAGCGCGAGGTGGGAGGGGGGAGGGGGAGAGAAGGGGGCAAGAGAGTGGAAGGAGAGAGCGGGGGGGGGGGAGAGAAAGAAGGGGGGAAATAAGGGGGGGAGAGAGAAAGAAGGGGGAAATAGGGGGGAGAGAGAGAAGGGGGGAAATAAGGGGGGAGAGAGAAAGAAGGGGGAAATAAGGGGGGGAGAGAGAAAGAAGGGGGAAATAGGGGGGGGAGAGAGAGAAGTGGGGAAATAAGGGGGGGGAGGTGGGGAAGGGGGAGAAAGAAAGGGGGAAATAAGGGGGGGGGGAGAGAAGTGGGGAAGGGGGAGAGAGAATGAAGTGGGGGAGAGAGAAAGAAGGGGGGAAATAAGTGGGGGGGGGGAGAGGGAGAATTGGGGAAGGGAGGGAGGGAGGGAGAGAGAGGGGGGGGGGGGGGGGAGACGGGAGGGATGTGATCATTGCTCCTGGCTGGTCTCCCGGCCTCTCTCTCCACCCCTCCCTCTCCCTCTCCCTGTGTGTGTGTGTGGTGGTGACTGACCGGGTGTTTAACGGGAGGTGGCGGCGCGAATTTGTCCTGGAGGATCGGGGTCTGGATTCGTGCCCATCAATGGGACCCCGGACCCGGACCAACTCGCTCAGACTGTCATTTATTTACATTCGGGTGTAATCTGGAGGAGGGGAAGAATCCTTTTACTCCCTCCGTATCTCACTCCCTCTGGAATCCGGCAATTATTAGACGCGAAACTGTTTTTTTTCTCTCTCTTCTCTCTCTACCCCCCCCTTTAAAAAAAAGATATTTTACTTTCAGTTTCGTTTTCTCCCATTTGAAAGAAGTATCTCAAGCGCCAGAAATGCCTCTGTAAATAATGGATTCATTGAGAAGCTTCCCTCCCCAGTTCTGGTGAATTGGTGGAGAAACAAGGTTTCAGTCTTCCTTGTTGCTCCTCTCATCCCTTACATTTCAAATCACATTGTTTATCAACATTTACCTTATAAATAATAATAATAATAATCATTGCTACATTCGGTATCCTGCCTTTTACATTCTCAAATGATACACTAGATGTACAGGATTGACTGTAAAGCGTAGCGGTTATGTCTTTGTAGGCAAATGCAGCCGTGAAGGAAAATCTTGGAAAACAAAATTCATTTCAACATTGATGTCAGTTGAGATATTGATAGAAGTGACAGCTATATTAAACTTCAGTTTTAGTGGACTTATGTATATGTATAGATGTGGTTTTCTACATCTTAACCACAGCAATATAGATTAGTATTGAAAATATGTGGCCCAATACTTGTTTAACGAACATGTTTAAAGCGATAAATCATCCAAGTTCTGTGAAGAATTTTTAGATGTGATGACAACATGAGATTTTCTTCTTCTGTTGCAAATTCTGGGTGCTAATTAACTCCTATAATGTGTAGCAGGTAGGAATCTACTCATAACTGCTATGCATTAGTTTTGTAGTATCATAACTGCAATACATTACATAACTGGATAGCACCCATGAAGTAGATTCATAATTGCTATACAGTGTTCCATGAGCATCTTTGGAAAACAGATGAATTGAAAAAAAACTTAACGGAATCTACCTCAGTATGATTCTAAATTATAGCTTTAATGTACTGAACTATCAAAGTACAAGGCGTCAATTTCCTAATTCTACCAGTACTTCTGGATATGGTGGAGTGGCTGATGTAATTGGTTAAGTGTGTTGTTTGACTCTACCTCATACTGTTGAGAATTGGAACAAAGCCCCAGATGGAGAGGAATGCACAAGTGCAGTTGGTTCATTCCGTCCACCTGACAATGGTGCAGCCCTGAAGCAGCAGAAGTGGAAACACCATGTTGTGGTGATGCTTCAGTGAGGATTCAGAATCACATTTGCACATCATCTCGGTTCCTTAACTGATTTAATTTATCTGTTAGTTTTTTTTTAAAAAAAGCCACAAAAATCTGACCATTGTTTCAGTATGTGGCAGCAAGTGATTAAAATAAATGAGAAATATTCTGACACTGAATTGGATAATGTCTACTTTGAGATTTAAAAACAATAATAAATAGAACTTGCATTTGATATGGAGCCTTATCATGTCATTGAGACATTGAGATTTAAACAAATGGCTTCAATTTATAATTAGCTATTTAACAAATCACTATAATGTTGTTAAAGATACTGCTGGATACTAGGTAAAGTCCAGTATCAAATCAAGTTTTATGAGGTTTGCTTGGAATATTCATTCAAAGACACATGGCTTTCTAAATCAGATTGATATCTTCTATCATTTTGGGCTGTGCCTGTATTTTAGCAACCCCAAATTAAGATGCTTCTCTTTATCCTACTCCCTTTATCTTCTCTCTCTTGAACAAGCCCTAGTTTTAATTTTTAAACTTTGTACAGGATATCTGTCATCTTAGCATGTCACCTGGTGTCCGATTATGTTGAAGCTACAGCATCTAACAAGAAATGCTGATCTGGGGTTATTTTTAGTTGTTAATGCAGGATGTTGAGTTGCTCCGCAATAAATATCAAGTGTCTGGATAAAAATGCATCTATACCAAATACAAGGATTATTAAAATGGAATTTCATTCCCTGGGTAGGGAAATATCAAGGTTTACAATCCCACATATTATTTGATCAAATAGAGCAGTCGTATCAGGGGTATAGTCAATACCTTGTCAATACTGTCAGACAATTACATTGCCCAAGTTCAGAGTTTATTTGGTTGCACCTTTCCATCGCTTGAGTCTAATGTCCATACACCTGTTGTGATTTAGTGTGTTTCCTTCTATATGCTAGATGCAACTGTTGATATCCAAAAGAAACCTGCGTCATTCAATGGAGAACTCAATGGATTATTGGTGCCTGATCCCATTTTGGGATCTGGGGGAGATGGAATTGCTCTGCGTGAGCCAAAGCATGCAAACCTGGAGAAGATGAACCTACAGGAGATGTAAGAAACGCTGTATTGTGATTTTTTGGGGATTAAGTATTTTAAGGAACATGCACTTATTTCAATAGGAAGAAAAATAGTATTTTTAACCAATGTATATTCCCATCCTGCCCTCTAAAATACTATTTCTGTTTACATTCTCCAACAGAGGGTGGGCAAGCATGTTGTGGCTGAATGTCTCTTAATCTGTGTCTTCCCAGATTCTGGGCTCTGAGACACTACCCTGCATGGCGAGCGCTATATAAGTGCAATTTCTTGTTGTGATGCAGTCTGAATAAAATTTGTAACCCACAGCCTGGGAAATAATGAGCACAAAATGGCACTCTCCCTTTCTGTGAAGATTAATGCGTCAATATACTGACACGGGTCTGAGTCTAAATTAATGGTTACTTTCTTTCCTAGATTCCTCTCTGGAGATGACAGTTCAAACTGTGTTATCTCTGGTAAAGAAGTGGAAATTGTGGCAAGCAATGAATCTAGCATCAGCAGCAAGGCCAGGGGCAGTAACAAGGTGAGGTAGATTTATCTCTGGTAGATATTGCATATTGCATTTAAAATACAGCCTTCTCGCTCATTAGCAAATGATAGTCAGGTTAAAGAGTTCGACTGCAGCTGCTGCAAAATGGCAGGAGTTTGAAACTGCCTTGTGACAGAGGAACCTCGCTCCTGAAATTAATTGTTCTGTAATAAGATTCAGTGCAAAACTATAGTATAATTGAAGTAGCAGAATTATCCTTAAACTCTGAAAGCTTTGAGTAGACTTGTTTTGTGCCGAATAGTTATGAACCAGTAACAGCATAGGATAGGGCTAGGAATTTTGCTGGGTATAAAATCACTGATTTGACATTGTGCACTGCTACCCAATGATGATACATTGGTAGTCCTCCAAAATACAGGTTAGAGCACTCGCCTTGCAAGCGAGAGGACCCGGGTTTGATTTTCGGCAGGGCGAAACTTTAGGCAAGTTTCCTTACTCCACGTGCATCTGTTTGCCTAGCAGTAAGTAGGAACCCGATTGTTAGTCGATTGGCAGATCGCTTTCTGGGGGTAATAATCCCTTCCAAGAAAAATTGATCACTCAATCCATGACTGTTTGTGGGACACTGCTGCGTGCAATTGGCTGCTGAGTTTTATCCACAAAGTAGACGGTAAATAAAAAATATAAATTGTACGTTCCGAAGGTGATCTAAGCTAATCCTCTGTTATTCTTTCGATTTAGGTAAAAATACAACCTATAATTAAATACGAGTGGGAGCAGAAGTACTACTATGGCAACTTAATAGCTGTGTCCAATCTCTACCTGGCGTACACCATCAGAGGTGAGCATTTGAGTGGTTATACAAGGCTCTAAAATGTACAATAATTTGCAGCTGCAAGTCCATGCTTTCTTTTTTGCAATTTTTCCTACTCTACATATTCTCTCACCTACTCTTCTGAAGACATTAGACTGACTCATTTTTCCTTCTACTTGGATACAGTTGCATTGGCACTGATTACACTCCCGACTCCTTAACTGTGTCCAAACGTTCATACATACACAGAGAGTGCTTTTCAAATGAATTAGGCCTATCCTCTTCCTGATATCCGCACAAACTCACTTTTCAGCAGGGGTCACTAGCTAGTGATCAGGAGTGGGAATCCTGATTGATTTTTACCAGCACTATCCCAGAATAGACCAGTCTTAAATTTAGCACCCTTTACCCAAACGTCGAAATTGGTAACTCAACAAAGCTTGAGGATTGAATCTGGAATCTTACAGTTCCGTATGTCTCATCAAATGTAAATTCCGAAACAAATTTAGGACATGCAAATATTTTATCTATTGAAGTACAATTTTACAACCATTCAGGGTCACTTAATAGACTTGCACTATGTACAAAATTTGTTTGTGTGTTGGCACGGAACTGAATAACCTTTTTAAAATGTCCTCTTGTGTAGGTGCTAATGGTGTTGGCATGGTGCGTGTGCTGAGTATTGGTGCGGCAGAAAGGACTTTACTGAAAGGATTTACAGGAGGAGTTGCTGACTTGGCCTTCGCACACCTCAATTCCAATCAACTGGCCTGTGTCGATGAGGCAGGCGACCTGTTTGTCTGGCAACTGAATGAAGAAAATGGCAAAATACAGTATCCTTAGACAGATGGTGAAATCGTTTGGTTGAAAGTGAGTCGCGTGTAATGGATTCTTATCCAAATCAAAAGCTGGTTAATTGTATCTTAAATGATGTTGGAAAAAAAATGGGTATGCAGAGAGGCATTGTGTGACGGCCAAAAGGTTGCTGTACCCTATTAAATGAGGGCAGATATTGGTAACTTGTTGATCTGATATGTGTGATAATGTGGTGAAACAGTAGGTAACGTGTTAAACTTTGGATTAGAAAAAATGAAAGACCCTGTGAAACTTGCGTACCATTAAGGGGAAATTAATGCTTTTCAGAAGATTGAAGTCTTATTCCTTGGTAAAATTAACAGTTTCCCCAGTTCTAAATGGAATAATAATCTTGTCAATAATACTAGTAATAGTAACACTCCTTGCATTTGATATAGCGCCTTATCACGTCATTGAGGTGTCTCAATGTTTCCAACCAGTTGAATTTCTTGCCCCTCAGTTCTACATGAACTTTAAAGTTTTTTTTTAAAAGTTAGCTCTTGTCAGCACTTCTCAATATCTCCTTAACTGGACGTTCAGGGAAAAAATCATCGTGCACATAAAAAGACCAGAGAGGACGGCATTGGTTACAAACAGAAGGATCATCTGGTGCCCCTATATTCCAGAGGAGAATGAGGAAAATGAAGAAGGAAGTCAAACACTTGCTGTGTTGCATGAAGATAGAGTATGAAATGCTTTACAATCTGATAATGGAGATTAGGTCTCCATATTTCTGTGATTTTTTTTTCATGTGAAAGATGTGGGTTGTCGGTATTGGGTAATGGAAGACTTTTCTGTTAGATCATGTGCAGTTTGGTCACAAGCAATTTCTTGTCTTAACCTGAATCTCCAAGCATCCCCCCACTGCACTACTGTATTTTTCTACTTCTCAAATCAGTGACCCTTGCAATGTATGACAGTATCATTTGTTTTTTTGCTGAATTTTAATATTTACTTGGTATTTGCTTTGTTTTTGTTTTAATATTTTTCTATCTTTCTAACAGGCTGAGGTTTGGGATCTAGATATAATAAGAAACTCTAGCAGTGTCTGGCCCATTGAGGCCACTGATATAAAAGAAGGCTTTATCATTGTAAAGGGACACACAGCAGTAAGTATCCTTGACTCAGAAAATCTAATCAAACTGAGTTTGCGCACATAGTACCTTCAATCTTCCTAAGAAATGCATCTTGCATTGAAAGGATTGTTGACAGTGATTTGCGTGCTGTTGGATGCGTTCCAGTTTGTTAGAACATTTCTAACGGTGAATCTTCACTGTTAACAATTGCACTCTTCATGTAAACACAGCGGCTAAGGTTGCCGAGGGTACTCCACATACATGTTTACCTTGAGGCAATATAATCCACTTAACTTGAGCAATCATTTGAAAATGTCTGGTTTTATTCAAGAGTTGTATGTTAGTATTATTTGTGTACTTTGTTTGAAGTAACACCAACCTCTTATCTACAACGGATATGTAAAAATGGCTTCTTTCTATCCAGCGCATCAGTGAAGGTGCCTTGTCTCCTGACGGCACAGTTCTTGCAACTGCGAGCCATGATGGATATGTAAAGTTCTGGCAGATCTACATCGAGGGACAAGATCAACCAAGGTAAAGAGAAATCATTTCAGCTAAAGCACTTGGATCAAACCTTTTACTTAATGTATAGAATTTTGCTGTTTTTTAAAAACTCGTTGAACTTGACAGGTTTTTTACCGCACATTCAATCAGGTGTCTTCACGAATGGAAGCCACATGATGGTCGACCTTTGTCTTGCCTTCTGTTCTGTGATAATCACAAAAAGCAAGATCCTGAGTAAGTTTAACTTTGATTACGTGGTTCTATAAAGCTGTGTTTCAGACCTAGGATTCTCATGTAGGTGCAGTCATTCCTGTTGATAAATATTAGATTTCATATGTTTTGTATTACAAGAGAATGGTGTGCCTTTAGATAGGTTATGTACAATTCTGAATGGGTTCGAAACAAAAATAACTAGCAAGTGAAAACCAGCAGAGTGCAGAAGGAATGTGTTAGATCAAGAGCAAAAAATATTTATTAGATACTAATTGATGTATACAGCCCAGTAAAAAAACATTCATTCAATACATAGCACAGTTATCTAGGAATGCTTTATGACTAAGAGTCCTTTGATGATGAGAGCCTTAATACATACTTCTGTGACTTCTACCAGAAAGCTAATCTATTTTAAGCAGCGATTTAAAACAAAATCAGTATCTTACATGTATTGAGAATGTGCACCAATACTAACGTCTACTTTCTTTTGCTCTCTAGCGTCCCTTTCTGGCGATTCCTGATTACTGGAGCAGATCAGAACAGGGAACTAAAGATGTGGTGTACCGTGTCATGGACGTGTTTACAGACTATCAGGTATAAAATCCATAGCAGTGAGTGCCGCATCTCCATTTAATAGTGTTGTTGTTGTGATGGACTATGAATGAAGCCTTGGTGGAGTATATCGTGTTTGCCGTGGTGCCTCCTTGTGATGGATTAAAACCCCAACATTTTGTAATGGACAGCAGGTGAATTGTCATCTGAAAAAAAGTAGGTTATCGTTCCTTGTGTGAGTCTTGATGAAAACACTTCATGAATGCTAATAAGGCCTCGCACTCAAACGGTAACCTATCTTTCGCTTTCAGAATCTGATTGATCTGCTGTAAATTTCCAAGTTTCTGGTTTGTTGCATTTTTTTCATTTCATCTCTACTTAGGGATAGTGTTTTTGTAAAACCGCTGAACTTTTTCTTCCCTTAGTTTGTGCTATGTTCTACTCTAAATGATCTTGATTATTCTTTGTTCCTTTCCTCTGTGACTCTCCCCTTGATCTCGTTTGATCATCCCAAGTGTTTTTCACTTTGTTGTTCTAACAACGATTCAGAAGGACAAGTTGTTTTATTTTTAAACATTTTGAAAGCACTTGTTCACGAACCACTGTTGTAAACTTCTTACTGTGCCTAATAATTTTGAAATGCTTTCAATCATCATCAGATTTTTTTTTTAAAAAAAAGGCTTGGGTCTCATTTTCAAATGGCAAACTTTTTGTGTTTCTTTAAAATTTACATCAAATTGAGGAAATAGAATATTTAATAATGCTGCTCATACTCTTAAGTGTGGTATTTATGGTAGGGAAGCCACAATATTCCTGTCAAGGTTATTTTTGTTTTCCAACTTTCTTCCATCCCCCAGGTTTGTACTATATTCTGCTCTGAATTATATTGTTCTTCCGTGTCCTTTACCTCTCACTTTATCTGTGTTTTGATCAAATTTGCAATTCTGCAACATCACTTACAGATTATGGGCTTCACAGAAGAAAGAAATGCACTATTTCCATAATCTAGCACAAAGTTTAGATTCCAAGTGTTAAGAATTGTAACCCACAGATTCTGGGATTAATAAGGTTTAACGATTTATTTTCTCACTCAAACTGGAGTATAGTTCCATTGGCAAATGGAAACCCACTGGGGTCTGATGTTTAAGTAGCCAGTGTTCAGATTAGCGTGTGACATTGTTTTGGCATTGGAAGAATTGCAGTAGAACCTAATCTGGACGCCCACGTATATGCACTTGTTGGAAAAGTTCCCCGACTAGTGATCAGCAGCAGAAAACTTGTTAGTTATTTTGTATTCACCTGCTTTTTGTGTGTTTTAGATTTATGCCTGATCTGTTTAATACCAGCGTACAACCAAGTCTGAAAGCCAGTTTGGATCTGTCTGCAGAATACCTAATCCTCAGTGACGTGCAGAGAAAAGTAAGTTTCTTAACACATTTCACTGTCTCAACAACAACAACAATAAGATTACATTTGTATAGCGCCTTTCACGTCGAGAGGACGTCCCAAGGCGCTGCCTCTCTTGTCGTGTGTATGCATATGATCCTGTGCTACTAAACAGCAGCTTGAACTACAATGATCCATAGAAGTCTTCAAAAAGAGCTTAATCAAGTAAGATGGATCTTCATCTATTTGCAGTTACACCTCATTTGATGGTATTTCCATTTCAATTACTAGTCCCATGAGGATGCCAGGTGGCAGAATGGGGCTGTACAATCTGGATAAAGGCCGGCACAAGTCCGTGTAATGGCAACATGCAGTAAATTAGTTAACTCGATGGTGTTATTGCTTGATTTTAAATTTGTGGAATAATAATTGATTTAGATAGCTCTCGAGATACTCTCTGCCTTGTTGTCTTCAGCAAGGAAAGACATAGTGTGATAAGGACTCAGATGTTACCAGTATGAAGGGCGCTATATAAATCCAACTACCACTGTGAACTCTGTAGCATAAATATCTGGCAGTGATCTTAAATCTGCCATCTAATCTTGAGGGTCAGAGGGCTGTTAAGTTATAATCTCTGTTTCCGCTTAGACTTGTTCTAATGCTATCTGAACTCTCACAATCAACATTTTTTCTCGATTGCTAAAATGATAGTAATCTACTAAAAGCTATCCCAGAAATTGCATCAGATTCATCTGATCAATAAAGTCCTTGTACTTTTTGTTAATAATCCAGCTAGATAATAAAGTAAGATGTACTGTGCAAGCCTCAATTCTAAACTCAACATTTGGTTGAGTTTATAAGGGTGTGGAAATCTGGTGATTCTGGGTTGGATTCTACCACTATATATCCTTCCATCATTTGCCGTCTGTGCTTGCATGAAGAAAGTCCACTTGGTCAAGACTGGCATGACTTGTGGAACCGTAAACTGCAGCAATCATCTGTGCCTTCAGCGAGAGAAAAAATTTGAGACGTCTCGAAGACAGGATAAGCTGTTGTATCGAATGCAAGGACTATTATTAATTAGTGGTAAAATCTTGACTTGAGTTCTTTATTCCTACCTCTTTTCTGACCCATTATTAAAATGGGAATGGCTGAATGCTCTTCACTGGTGTCTGTCTGTTGCAGGTGTTGTATGTAATGGTGCTCCATCAGAGCCAGGAAGATGGGAGGGCCCAATTTGTGTCCATTTCTGAGTTCCTGCTCACTCACCCAGTGCTCAGCTTTGGCATCCAGGACGTCAGCAGATGTCGCCCACGTCACACAGAGGTTTTGCCCGAGGAGGAGAATGACTCTTTAAATTCAGGTCAGCAATAAAAATGGGAACCAATTAGATAATGATGCATTTGATCAGCGCCCCGAGGCATTATCCAACCTGAAAGAGCTAAATGCAAGTTGTTCTATCAGGATCAATATTTTCATGGTAATGAGATAAGCCAAGCTCACCTCAACCAATGTGAAATTGTTTCCCTCCTTTGAAGGATTGCTGTACAGTGTCCAGCCTGGAAGTGGAGTTGGACACGTTAGTGCCACTGCTACGCTTAAGGCCAGATGCTTATGTAAGACTGAGGTAAATTTGTTCCTGACAGCTAAGATCAGGAACTATACAATACAAGTGGACATTTAACTTTCACTGTTGCCCTATTTTCTTCTCCCTCTGCCCAAACAGCACTTTCCAGGAAAGGTTGCTTCAAAGTGATTAGGAGTGGGCATCCTAGAATTCCTCCCCTCTCACTATCTCTCCTCTATCCTCCCACCACAACCACCAAATACCAGTTCAGATCATATTGCCAATTGTACAGCTACATCTGTTGCACTGAGATCAGCTAACACAGAGTGGTAATTGAAACTTGCACCATCTAGTGTATGGCTTAGTGCTAAGGAAGGCAATAAGTGAGGGGAGCCCTTTGATGGCTAAATTTTCACTTACTATATTTGTTAAACTTCTGAAGTTAGCAGTGATATAAAAACAGTGTACTTCATTGATCGAGATGCTCTTGTATGAAGGGTACTATATGAAGAGTAAATGCAAGCTGTTGTTGGCGTGAGATGTATGATTCAGACTTATTCCCTTGAAATAGATTTTTCGCAGCACACTTTTGATATGTTGACATGCAGGGGCTTGCTGAGTTATCTGTCGCTGCCGCTTTTATTTTGTAAAGATAAATGTGAATCCTGTTCATTTAATTTACAACATCTGAACCATTACCATATATCCTTCACCAATTGCCCTTCACAGTTTGACAGATAAATTATAGCGTTTTCAATACGCCTGCCTGACCCTGACAATTTTTGTGTCGGCAGTGATTGTGAACTGTGTATTTTTCACCACTTTTATTTTTTAATTGTTGGGGCCAGTGAAGGAGTTGAAACAGTGAGTTTCAATTGCGTACAACCTTTGTATAGTTTTACTCAATGATCTTTGGTAATTGATACGGAAGCAGACTGGTGAACTGAATCTAACCTCCGGTGATGCTAAAGGTTGATTTTAGACAAGTGTGATAACCCTCGCACGTCATAGTATTACTATTAATGCTGGCACAGGAAAAATGCATGAAAGCTGAGAGCGCTCTTCTCAATCACGGTTTAGCTGGAGAACCTCATTTTAGTGTAGTGGATTAGAAATTCATGTTGGCATTTAGGAAGGAATCTTAACTGGAGCAATGTCAAAATCTGAGCGATAGCTTTTTATACTTTGTGAAACTATTACAGAATAATAGTAATCCTTTGGTAAAGTTTCACATTGGGGAGTACATTTCAATGCGCTTCACAGGATTTACTGTAAAGTGGAGTGACTGTGTATTTTGTTGGTGAAAGTGGCAGCCCAATTGCACACAGCAATATTTCACAAACAGCTATGAAACGAATGACAACTTTTTTTGGCAGTGGGGTGGGGGGAAATAGCTAGGACACCGGGCGAACTCCCTTCTCTAAATGTACTTTGCTTGAAATTATTCCCCTTCCAAGTACTCAGAAAATCTATAAAATTCTGTTTCTTATTCATTCACCTTCTACATACATGAAAGGCTCATCATCCAAAGTGGAGATGAGGAATGAGTCTTGGGACCATATTCTTTGAAGACTTTTTCTCCTTCCTGTGGCAGCCTGCAGAACCATATGATGTCTCTGCTCCACACTGTGCTTTGTTCTTTTTTTTGTAGCTTTTATAACCATGCTATTGATGGCAGTGGCGTGCTGCTCCACGCTAGGCAAAAGTTCTTCAATCGAATTCTTTACAGGTTTTATTCTGTTTAATAGCTAAATATTGGGAGTCCTTTTTCAATTTATTTTCCCCCTTCACTGTGTTTGTTCTCAATGTTGAGCCTCTATGGCTGGATTAACGTTTGTTTCATTCGAAGTACACATGGAATACTTGTTTTAGTTGAAATTTCATGCTAGTGTTGGGTTTCAATTCCTGTACCTCATGTTGCCACAGCTTTTTAATAGTACATATTACATGGGTTGCTTATGATGTTCTGATGTTTTATATTATTATTATTATTATTATATGTTTTAGTTGAAGCAGTTGCCTTATTTGAGCTACCTCTCAAAACTCTCAAGACTATGATCCATTTGGCTCTTGAACATTTAGCGCATATAAAGTTTCCTCTTCTTTTTCAGAATACTTATAACTTTTTTTTTGTGTGTTCGGATTTGCGATATTAATTTTGGTGCTATCTCCGACAAAGAACCGAATTAGAATGTGTCCTTGTAAATCAATGGGAGTTGGGGAGATCATGTTGCTCACGGGAGCAAGACAGAAATAATATGTGCCTTGGAATGTCCTTTTGACCTGAAAGGCGCTATGTGAATTCATTTGTTGTATGTGTATTTATTCATTTGGATAACTGTTCACTTGTTGGTGAAGAATGAAATATTTTTCCTGACCGTCTGTCTGTATGCTGCCGATGCCCTTTTATTCCTCTATAGAATGCTGCAATACTTTGATTTCTGTCATAAAGTTGTGTTGTATTTCTTTACAGAAGGAATTCCCTGCCCTGCTGAATCTTCAGTGGTACATATCAAATTGTATTGTGTACACACCAAGTAAGTACTGAAACAAGCCTGAAAATATGCCTGCAATGGATTATTGAGACGTCTTTGGATCGCTGGCTCATACTATTTTTTTGTACCTGCAACTTGTGGGATTTTTATAGATGTAGATGACATCTGGCTTGAACGAAAATTAATTATTGAAGGCGCTGATCAATGTTTCAGCTTAAGTCAGGCAAATTGCCTTGTTTGCTTTTGAAAAATATTGCTTGAAATTCCATGTGACTGTATTCTGACCGAATGATGTGAGCGGTTTTGTATGGACTTTGATGCATTGCTCCTCTTTTATTCATCCTTTCTCTACTACTCTTCAATTTTTGCCGTGTATTAAAATGAGCTTTCAGCAAGCTTAAAGGTTATCAATTACTTGAAATGACTAGTGGTAGTCTCAACCAGTCTCAATTTCTATGTAGGAAGTGTCATCCCATTTTCCCTTCCTTCTTCATCTTCTTACAAGAATGTGGCAGAGTGTTGTATTTTGTGGTGAAGATTTTTCATTGCCACTTATCTGTCAAGCCTGAGCAAGATTGTATTTTCATCATGTTCTTGTGCCATATCAACTTTCTGTTCATGTCGGTCATCTTTTCCCTGGGACATTTATCTGAACTGTCAAGTGACCATTTAGCCCTAGGTTATTTAAAGTTTTGTCCTTCTCCTATCCAAGTCCTTGGTTGGAGTACAATTAATATAATAGATTATTATCAATAAGAATAATATATATAAAATAATATATAATAATAGAGTTCAGATACTTTTTCCTAAATTGAGAATCGAGTAATCTGTGCATTTAGCTGAGGAGTCTAACATGGGTACTGTTTGGTTGCTTCTGTTATTTTAAAGCACCAGAAGTTGGGAGTTTAAGCTGATCGTTTGTTCTCAATTTCAGAGCACTTCAAGATGTACAGATTTATTTTCAGCCACATCAGAATTCAGAGGAAACTACATTAATGCCATCTTCTGCCTCCCATGAGGATTTCAGTAAGTTCATTGTAGTCTGTTGTTTAAAAATTCATCAGGACAATAGAACAAATTGCACATTTTCATTCTAGTTTACGGGCCATGTGATCATTGTAACTCATTTCTGCAGTTGCCAGTAATTATTATTATTATTTGTCTTTTTATTTGTAATTTTTCTGAAGTTTTCTCCTTTCCTATTCTGAATGCACCGCTTCACTCCTTTGTTTCTTCTGCTAAGGTATAATGTCTGCTATGTGAGCGCCAGGCACTCTGGTATCTTGACAAAGTGGCTATATTCATAATTCATTGTTTGGGTCTTGATAATGAGTGTTGGTCAGTTGCATTACCACAGAACACAGTTGATCTGATTCTTGACTTGCACACCATCACTATCTTCTCAATCATGAATAACTCTTTATTTTTTTTGAAGCATTGATAGATCACTTGACTGATGTGAGCATTGATGGGCTGGCTTCTGATAAAGGCTCTGGGAGAGGGTCTCAGCATGATCTTCTGCGGATAGGGGACCTTCCATCTCCTGCAGATTTCCTATCGGTCTCTAGTGATGTAAAGCCGAAGTTAATGACACCAGATGCTTTCATGACTCCAAGCGCCTCGCTTCAGCAGGTCAGCACAGTTAACGTTCCATTGTCTGTATATACTCTCAAGTTTATATTCTTAATATCGTACAAAACCAAACATTTGTTTTCCTCTTAATGGTTCATCAATGAGTGAGATCGTCAGCTTGTGCTGATTTTTCAGTGTTCACTGAGGTTTACGAAGACGTGGGTTGATATCACTCAAGCCTTTCCATGGAGGAACCCTAAAACCAGCAGAGAGAGGAACAGTTCAACCTGTCTGGTCTGGTGTCATCTGGGTCCCAAAGGTTAAAGAACAATGTGCTAACCTGCTGAGTCACCAGTCCCCTAAAACCATAACCCAATGCATTTGTGTGGCTTTGTTCAGGCAGCCACTCTGGGAAAGTTTCTTTGTTGAAACTCCTTGTAATACTGCAATCTTTTCAATACAATCCCATTTCGTTATTTGTACTGATCTCCCTGGTGTAGATAAATGGGTTGTGTATTAACAAACAGAAGGTAATTCCGTTGCTGGTAATGAATTGCACCAGTGGAATTCCAAAATGGATTTACATTGTTCGTAATGTCAAGGTGTGGTTTACACTGTCCATTGTTGGTGTACTGGCAACTAAGCTGTTTGTTTACTTCCACAGATCTCTGCATCTCCAGGAAGCAGTGTTAGTACTTTAACTGCGGTGACCGTAATAAGTAGCAGTTCTGTCAATGACATTGGAGCATCAAGGTAGGCAACCGTAACTCTTATTGGAACTGCTTCCCGCACTGATTAGCCAGCTTCCCATGCTTAAAAGGTTTAGGTCGCCACTAACTTCATTCCCTGCATGCTATGCACTGCAGATGTCGCATACTGTGCATTGGCAGGAAGCATCACTTCACAAAAGAAGCAACATCAGTGTCTTTTATATAGCACACGAAAAGTGGCGTTAAGGGTGCATAGCGTGGAACCCACGAGCAGAGACGTCATTGTTGGCCATTGGACCATGCAAACGCCTCGTACTTTAGTCCTGATATTTCTGGTTGCTTGAATTCAGTTTGGGAATTGAGGTGGCTACATTTTTCCAAATTGGCCTGAGTCCTTTGTCCAATCCATAGCTACTATTTAATGTAATAGTTGTGCGTTTGATGTAATTAGCGCTCTATTCGTGTGTAATTTTTGAAATCCTAATAAAGACATGAGCATCGTTTATTTAAACTGTTTATCCTAAAACCAACAGACACAGTGAATGGCAGTGCTTGGTGCTGTGGATGTTGAGTGCAGGTTTCTGACCAGTAGATGGCAGAATCCTTTTAACTTTGGACAACTTGTAGAAACGAGCGCTGACTTATATCGCGCTTGCAGGAGTAACCACCAGGTGTTTTGAAGTTGTGCAGCTGTTATAGAAATAAAAAGTCTATTTGTTTGTAAAATGTTTACCAAATATTTCTACGATTCTTTCATATTTTTGAAAAGTATAGTTTTTTAATTTGTGCATTATTCTTGTGCAGTAAGAAAAACCTGTATAATTGCCTGACTTGGCGCTGGGCAGCTCAGTTTTAGTTCAAGGTTTTGGATATTTGTTCTAATTGATGAGTATTACTTGTTGACTTTATACTACAGCTACATTTCTCTTTAGCTTATAAATTTACATAAAAGGGTCAGCCTGGCTCAGTTTGTAGCACTCTTGCCTCTTGAGCTGGAGGTTGGCACTTTGAAATCACAAAATAGGCTGACAGTTTGCGCTGACAGAGGTGCCATTCTTGAGTCATTAAACTAAGGTTCCATCTGTATGTTCACTTGGATGTTAAAGATCCAATGACACCATTGGAAAAGGAAAGGGAGTGTCTTCCTGGTGTCCTGGACAATCGGCCCCCAGATTAAAAAAAATTGATCATGGCTGTTTGGGATGCTGCTGTGTGCAAGTTGGTTGTTACATTAGCCTATAGAATACAGTCACTATACTTTACAGTGAATCTGGTGAAGCACTTTGAGACACTTTGATGATGTGATAATGCATTGTCAAATACAAGCATTGTTATTCTAAGAGTGTCAGAAAGCGGTCAAAATAGCTAGATAAAAATTCTGTTTTAGTTGTGAGTTTCTTTTGTGCTCCTTTAAAATGTAGAGTATTGTAAAAGGAAATGACTGTCCATGTCTCAGTCTCTTTCACTATATGTAGATTGTGTGTCTTGTCCTTTAAGTCTATTCAGAAGTAACACGGCGCATAAAATTCCTCTCTGGAGGCAACAAGAATTGGGAATGCTGCCCACAGGTGCCATCTTGTACACAAAACTAATAATAATTAGGTCACTCAATCCGCGACTGTCTGTGGGACACTGCTGTGGGGAAATGGCTGACGCGTTTTGTCCACAAAATATATAGTCAACTCACTTTACGCTATATTCTGTGTAGCGCTTTGAGATGTCTCAATAACGTGAAAAGGAGCTATATCAAGTCCAAGGATTATTGTTGTTATAGATTTATTATAAAACCTCTGCTCTCAGGCTGCAGGCATTTTAAAAGCAGGATATGCAGGAGCAAAGTACTTCTTTATTACCCTTTGGAGCATGTGAAAATTCAGATTTAATGAATGAACACCTATTGATTTTACTTGTGAGGCTTGTAATTGTGTATCAGGGCTTTGTGATGTGAGCTATTGTACATAAAAAAGCTAGTAACCAGTTTAAAATCTTCATTGACGTTGGCGTAGTCCTCAGCAGAACCTTCGATGTTTATGATGTTTACGTTTTGCAATTTTTTTCTCTCTCTCTTAGGCCCAATGAAGACTTGTGCCTCAGTCCGAAAATTACATTGGACAGCGTGAACCTCAGCAGTAGCAGCGCCAGCAACAGTGTGCAGGCGAGTCCCAGGAACAACTCTGTGCAGCTTATCCCAGGCATCTCTGATCAACTGTCTGCAAAACCTCTCCAGGTACTGCAAGTAAGGGTCATTAAAAATTGGGTCCTCACTTTTGTAGAAATAGCTACAACAACAGCAACGACAACTTGCATTTATATAGCGCCCTTCACACGGGATAGTGTCCCAGAGCTATAGAGGTTTGGATACTCATTTTGCCCACAAATACACAGAATATATTGTAAATATACTTTGTGATTATAATTCTGTTAAACTGTTTTTTGTTGAATTTGAGTAAAGGTTTGTAAAGTTGTTCTTTTTTTTTCTCCCCAATGTTCCTTTGCAGGTTAGTGGCACCTCTAACCCCTCTCTTCCTTTGGAACTGCAGTCTGTAGACGCCCTCTGTGTGCCTCAGAGCTCCCCAACGAGGGAGCGTTCCCCCGACGTGATCTCCTCCGCCTCTACAGCAATGTCGCAGGACATTCCCGAAATTGCCTCCGAGACTCTTCAGCGTGCGTTTATAAGCTCCGTGCTGTCCTCCGAGATCCTGGAGCCGTCCCACCCCGCGGATAGCATGGCCTCAGCTGCCTCGGCTTTGCACCTTCTGTCCCCAAGGAGCAGGCCTAACTCAGAGCACAGCCAGCACTCGCTGGATATGGCTCAGGTGGACGTGGAGCGGCTGAATACTCCATCGCTGCTAGAAACTGCTTTGTCTCAGGAGAACGCAGCAGCAGAAAGCATGGGCAGTCAACCATGGCCAGCGGCTCCTGACATTACCAGAGAAACGCGTAACAGCATCAACGAGAGGTAAAATAGTATACCCTGTTACCTGTTGGGCACAGTAAAACTCGCATAAGTCTGATCTGTACAGCAACAACAAATTACATTTCTATAGCGCCTTTCACGTCAGGAGGGCATCCCAAGGTGCTGGTTATAAATTGTATAATCGCCTCTAAGTCGTACATCTGACCAAGTCCTGTTCAACAATTTATATTCTGAGCATATTTAATGTATGGTCCCAACTGATACGACTTATGTGAGGTTTACTGTATTAGTTTTAAAATCAAATTTAAAATGCGATGTTAATCTGTCTATTTTTCATTTTCTCCCTCGTCCATTCATTCATTTGGAGGAGAGTTGGGAAAGCAATTGTTTTCAGACTCTGAAAATGGTCTGTAAGAGATGTACAAAAGTAGCACCCAATTGTTATTTTTTATATTCTTCCTGGAGAGAGTCATATAACCTCTGTTTTTTTCAGTCCTGGGGGACAATGAACTTGTCATGTGGGAATTCAGGAACACAAATGACTCTAGAAGTGTTTTCTCCTCCTCCTCTTACCGCTCTTACCAACCCTGCAGAGGAGGTGATATGGGGTAAACTCATGAATCATCAGCCGTGAAAGCAATAGAAATTTTGTGCAAAGGAGGTGAAGATAAAAAATTTATTGTGTTGCTTTAAGCTGCTTCATATCTTAGGAGCTTTCCAACTGCTGCTCAGATTGAAGCTGTCAAGTAGATCAGTTTAGAGTTACACTGCTGATTCATCAGTTTCAGCCCTGCCTGGATGCAGCAAGCCAAACCCAGGTTAGAATCACATACTGGCAAGCAACTAATCACCATTAAATCGCTTTTTGTCCAAAAAATACAAACCTGAGTAATCGTTAGGGATATAATTTTATATATCAATTCCGCAAGTAAATTTGTTTAAGATCTTTCTCATCATCCCCTCTCACATACTGTGTGTGACTTACCGAGTCTTGTGTGTTTTCGTGTGTCTGTGTGTGTGTGTCTCTCTCTCCCCCCACCGCCCACCCCCCCCTCCAACTTATCTCTGAATCTCTTAATTTTCTGTTTCTTCTGTGACTTCTATCTCAAACCCTACACTACACAACAGTGTTACACTTGTCTTCTCACTCTTTTAAAAAAATCCAAGTATGCATGTGCACGGCAGGGTTACACTGGATCAGTGCCAGCCAAACTACAGTCCACAGGGCTGTCAAGAACCAGCCCTTGAGCATTTGCATAGCCTACTGTTCAATCGGTAGTGTGTTTCCAGGTTTTTCGTAATTTATATTAATAATAATATTCCTTGCATTTGATATAGCGCTTTATCACGTCTTCGAGACGTCTCAAAGCGCTTCACAGAAGATACTGTAAAGTGAATTGACTGTATATTTTGTGGGCGAAATGCGGCAGCCAATTGCGCACAGCAGTGTCCGACAAACAGTCGTGAATCGAAGTGACTGATTTATTTTTATTTTTTTGAAGGAATTATTACCTCCGGAAAAGTGATCCGCCAATCGACCAACAACCGAGTTCCTCACAAGTTATGTCCTAAATCAAGAAATGTTATTGTTGGTCGACCAAAATAATTTGGCCACCATTGCTGTAGATGCTTACATAGTTTCCCTAATAACCATGTGCCTGCACACAACTGAATTCACAAATCTGTGCAGAACTAGTTTCAAAATGTAATATCTAGATGTGCTTTTTGTACCTTTTTGGAACACTATTGTTTTTTTGATGGTGTTGAATTCTGCAGCTATTCCTTAAGTAGATAGGAGGAATATTGCCCCATGTGAGAGTTAGGGTTTTATTTTGGAGCCTCTCGCAAAAGATTCACGCAATTTCTTTCTGCTTTTCAGCTTGAGAGATGATATGAAGGAGAAGCATAAGAGTTCGGCCTTCCACAGACACACATACCAGTTGCACCAGCATGATAGCCAGGATGCCAGCGCCGAACCCAGGTAATGAAAACAAGACTGTCTGTGGGACACTGCTGTGAGCAATTGACTGCTGTGTTTCGACCACAAAATATACAGTAAATTCACTTTACAGTATATTCTGAAGCGCTTTGAGACGTCTCGAAGACATGATAAGGCGCTATATCAAATGCAAGGATAATATTAATATTAGTTGGTCACTAACCCCTGGAAAACCAATCCGCCAATTGACTAACAACCGGGTTCCTACTTACTGCCGGGTAAACAGAAGCGTGTGGAGTAAGGAAACTTACCCAACGTTTCGCTCTGCCAGGAATCGGAACCCATGTCCTCTTGCTTGCGAGGCGAGTGCTCTAAGCACTAAGCTACAGGGTTGTGTTTTAACGTACCTTCCAATGATTTTTTTTGTTTGCAGTGATCACGATGATGAAGTTGCGAGCCTTGCCTCCACACCAGGCAGCTTTGGCTCCAAATCTTCCGCTCATCGTCTACCAGTCAAAGACTGGAAATCCAAAATGTCTCCTCGGGCTTCTCCCAAGTTAAAGAGGAAGAGCAAAAAAGAGGACGGGTAGGAATCCTTTTTATCTTTACCCAATTAAAATGTGGCTGCCTGGCATTCGTTAGTGCATTTCACTTCATTCTAAATTAAATAATTTTTTTAAAATCTATTGTAACAAATGAAACCTACAGTGCCTGGTTGTTGAGTTAGTGGAGCTTGCTATTGATCCTATCAGAATTTAACTACCTGTTTCTACTTCTCTGATAATGCATCGTTATTTTAATATAAACTGTTGAAATCTAAAAATAAGCCAATTGACGAACATTTAGTTGGATTTCAAGAGTCTCTGCTTTATGGAAAGGAGAACCTTGACATTCATTCAGGATCAAGCAAAATCCTCGTAGTCTCCTTTTGCATTCTGTTGGGTGTTATTGCCTCTAAACTTTAAATATCTATCAATTTGTTTTCTAGTTTTCAGTGTGTAAAATTCACATAATGTTTCTCACTTAACAGTTACATGTGCCTTGTTATTGATAGTCCATTGTTGAGAATTGGTGAAAACTTCTCCTCAGTTACAGTAAAGTGCATGATACATTTTGGTCAATTGGGTGGCCAGGCAAGTCAAATGCCTACCGTTAAGTGCAGAGGTGCCCTGCTTCTACTCCTCTCTATTGGTAATGAACCTCGAGTCTCAAGGGCCAAAGGATAAATATTAGTCTTGACTCCTCCTATAACAAAGCAAATGTTCAATTCAAAATTGAACTGATGGATAAGCGTAATATTGCACCTAGAATTGACACTTCTTTGCAATTCTACGTGAGGCGAAATGTACCATTGCTAAATTAAATGGTGGTTTGGTGCAGTTTATATCCAATTATCGTTGAATTCAGAGTTGGAACAAATTTCATTACCCACTAAATCTGTTTTAAATTTCATCAGTACGCTCTACTTCTGGTGTTTTATATTTCTGAATTTGTGTAAGAATATTGATTTTTGTTTGTTTTGATTAAATTAAATGTTTTACAAAAATTGGGTATTTCTCATTTGGAAATTCAAAATGTTATTGCATCTGACCTGGGTTTGTTACTGTGCTGAATAATTGGTATTTTTCGAGGCCCGTTGCATATTGCTATAGTTGCACTTGGAAGTGTTTGTGTGAAATTAAATGGGCCGCAAGAAAGAAATAAAACCTTACCTTTGATATAATGGGATAAACGCTCACAAACTCGGTTGTACGAAAATATAGGGTCATAATATAACGGTCGGTCCTGTCCGTGAAAAAAGCAGGCTCCCAATTAGATTGATTTATAGTATGCGTAGATCATATTGTTATGATTTTCCATTTTTATGTTTTAAAAAAAACCTTTCTGTTTTTTTAGGGAGGCCGCACAATCGCCCAAGTCAGACAAACAGGTTAGTATATGTAAAGGGTTGGAACTAAAGCATTTAAAAACCTCCCCAAAACACCAGCAATTGTTCTTGCCACAAATGGAAGGATCAAGTACAAGGATCAATCTTGCACCAGCCTTTCTCTTAGTACAGTATATATGTTTTGTTTCCCCAAGTACTGAATTCTTAATACAGTAACTGACGTTTAAATAGAATCTCCGTATATGTTTATTAAAAAACATAACCCTGTAATTGTATGTGGTTTGGGTTATTGGTTCTATAATTAATACCGCTTACATTAGGTTTCAGCTGAAACACTGAGGTATGCAAACTGGATCTAGTGACCCGAACAATTTTAGCTGCAGAAGTTAGTCCTGTGGCTCAGTGGTTAGAGCACTCGCTTTGCAAGCGAGAGACCCGAGTTCAATTCCAGGCAGAGGGCGAAACCTTGGGCAAGTTTCCTTACTCCAGACAGAGCCTAATAATAATAATCCCTCCAAAACCAAAAACAATAATAAATTGGTCATTTTCAATCCATTACTGTTTGTGGGACACTGCTGTGCGCAATTGGCTGCCGCGTTCGCCCACAAATATACGGTCAATTCACTTTACAGTATATTCTGTGAAGCGCTTTGGGACGTCTAGAAGTCGTGAAAAGCGCTATATCAAATGCAAGGATTATTATTATTATAGTCTTGAAAACTTGAAATTAGTTACATGTCAAAACTCTGTTTCTTTTCTCTCTTTCCCCTTATTCCAAACAAAATAAATACAGGCCGGATATATTGAGTTAAACACACATGCTCACATAATATTCCGCAGTCAATGGAAACATTTGTGTGTGCATCTCTAGATAGGACAGTCTTTATACTGTGAGTTGGAGAATGGGGAGAAGCTCACAATCATTGATTTGTTGTGCAGTTAAAAATTATACAGTTTGGTCATCATGGAGGAATGGTCTATGGTCCATATTCTTTATTTCCCCCAAACATACTGAAAGTTGTTTGATGGGAGTGAAGGAATAGGCTCTATGATTCCTGTTACAGAGTCGAATTCAAGCCTGCCACCTTAGCTGAATGTCAATTCACATCACTGCTCTGAAACGTTTAAACAGTTTCATTTTAGTATAATTTAACACTCGTGTTTCAGCAAGAATTCCATGTAGTTTGGCATTCGCATTAGTTCTTCTCAATTTTGTTTATTTGTATTTGTGTGTTTCTGTGTGTATTTCTTTTTAACCCCAAAATTTATTTTGTCACAAAGATACTAGTAAAAAAATGGGGGAAGACTCCATAATAGGCAAACTATTTGTACATGGAGTAATGGATTTTGGTGAGCTTAATGTTTTTGTTCTGTGTAATCCAGTGCGTATCTGGGTTCATTTTTATTTTGGTTTAGTCACATAACAAGCCCACCCATTTGAGCTCCCTATTCTCCAGCATATACGGTAAAGTCTTGGTGCTGTATCTGTCCAGAAATCCACAAGCTGGATTTTAGTCTATTGAGTAATGTTGTGTGAGCATGTGTGCTTTACACAATATACGTCCAGCTTCTTTCATGCCTCTGTATGTAATACTGATCTGAGTATTCTGATGTTTATTGTGGTAATAACTTTGGCCTAAAATAAGTTTTTCTTCTTTACCAGCAACAGCCAATTGTGGAGCAACAGGAGGAATTGCTGTCCCTGCTACGTAGTCAAAAGAGGGAGCTCTGCGAATTGAGGCAGAGCCAGATGGATTTGATGCAGAGGCTTACCAATCACATGGATGCCGTCCAAGGCTCCATCATGGGTCACGTGGAGCGAATTCTGGTCACACAGCAAGAGGAAGAACGTATCCTTCCATGTCCTATATAATTCTGGTGAAGGCAGTGTTTGACTGGCTTCATAGAGCAAGGGGTGCTTATCCTGTTAGGCAACAGTTTACAGAAATAACTGTACTTTGCACTTATTTGGAGCAATGATAAATACAGGATAAGGAATGATCTGTTAATACTGAGGGGGAAAAAAATATTGTCCTATTATGATCCTGTTTACTGAGATCAAACTACAGATCCGAAGAAGATCTGAATTGCACACTGGAAGGCTGTATCTATTGTAAATCTAGCAGCTGGCAAATCTTGAGATTCGGCTAAACTTTGCAAACTGTAACGAGGCTCAAGTGGTTTGTAAACTCTCAACCCTTTGTGCTACATCTCTATTTCTCTGAAGCAAATTCCTGCATTCTTACAGGTGCTCAATGAACACATTGACGTATGATTCCCCCACAAAAATTGGGCAGATTGCGTAGTGTATTGTTGAACGTCAAACATTCCATTTGCATCAAATAGGATCTTCGCAATTAAATGGTAAAATAAGTCAAACTTGCCACTTTTTGACTTGCAAACAATTTGAGCATCTGAAGTTGAGATGACTAACCATCTGTATGACGCAGAGATTTGGGAAGGCTATACAGAGCAATGTGTAGTGTGCACTTGTTGTTTCATTTCTTTCAGTAATTTCTGATAATTGCTTTCACGTTAATACTTATGTTTCATAGAGATTTCTGCATGATTGTTGAGGGTAATTCCCCCCCACACACATTTTTACATATTTAAAAATTCATTTTATTTTGGGCTGCTCTGTTCACCAAATGTGATTGGAGAAATGGACAGCTTTGGACTGGCTAGTGATGATTCAAAACAGTTGTGTCTTATTGACACAGCTATTGGGACAGGAAATGATTTTCAGGCATTCTGTAGGCTATCATCTTGCAGATTGTTTTATCGTCAAGAATAGTTTTAAAATAATCTCACTGGCTGCATTTTTTTTTATCCTTTGGCCAGGTGCAGCCTCTCAGTAAAACACAGTAACATTTAAATTCCTTTGACCTTCTCAGTTAATCTTTTAATCCGTTCTCAACTGCTTTGCAATGTTTGTCCTGCTTTTTCTTTGCTTCCCTTCCCCCTTCCTGTAGTGATCGTTTGTTTCTTTATTCCATTCTTTCACCAGTCTTTGAATAGTCTAAAGAGTCCCAGTCATATATGACTGACTACATACAGTCTAAGGTAGCTGTGATAAATCTGAGCTGCCATTGCAGTGATTTCCTTCCTATCAGCTTTTTTAACATATTACCTTAACCTAGCTCTTTAGAGAGGCGAACAGACAGGATCTTGGCAGAAGGGCAGGAAAAAAGTGGCCAGTTTCAGGAGCAGCTATCCCATCAACTCTCGCAGACTGTGACAAGCTCAGTTAGTAATCGCTTGGAGAAGACTGTCCGAGATGAGATGAAGAAAACCGTACCACAATGTGAGTGGAGGCTGGGAAAAGCACTGTTAAATACTGAGCATAGGATTTGTTTGGAAAACAATATTTTATTTAATATACATGTCTGCGGTACACCTTATTGGTCCAGTATGCAAGATGGACCTGAAAATCAAAACTGCTTGCACTTATTATAGAGCCTTTGAGTAAAACTAACCGTTCAAAGTGCTTTACAAAATATAATTCATAAGGAATTGTTAGGAGTATTAAGAATGTTACAGAGACAAATGCAGTAGCCAGTCTGCCAGCAATGGCCTATAAACAATAATGAAATGGGCAGCCAATTAGTTTGGGCTGAGGAGGGCATGTGGGCTATGTGTATGAAATGGCAATGGCAGGGCAATCCCTTTTTTACGTTCACCCAAATCACAAGACCAAAGGGACCTAAACTTAATAACCAAATGAAAGAATATGATGTTGATCTGGAAATAATTAAATTGTGTAGAATGTTGGTATAAAGCTGTACTTCAATTTGTATAGTTGAATTTAAACGAGTTCAATGACAACTAGTCTGTAAAGTTGATTATGTGTTTAGTTTCACCTTTGCTATTCCCCCAAATAAATGGCTATGTACAGTACACCTTTTTGTTGACCAGTAGATGGCTTGTATTGCCTAAAATGTTGCATCTCCAGTAGCCATTTGGTAATGCGGCATATCATTTCTCTTGCCTCCGTTTGACAGGGAAGTCATTGCAAACTTACTTGTTGTGCACTTTATTTCCTCCTTAATTAGCCTGGTCCAAAAGCTACAAAAAATAACTCTATTTGTATACTGGCACCAATTTGTTTGTTACATTGACTGCATCGTAATGCTAGCAATTGGATTACTGCCTTTGCTTACGTTATTGCTGGATGATGTTTTTAATTGCACAAAGTTGGATGAAGAGCTTAATGAAAACCTTCAAACTTTTTTTTAAACCTGCATCACTATTGCAGACTGAGGCACGAAAGGAGCAGAATATGTTGCTTCCAGATTTCCTGGTTGCATTTCAGTCGCTCTCCAAAATATGTTCACTCGGGACTTCTCGATGGATTCTATTAGTACTACTTCTTTGACAGCAGTAATTGAGTGTTGCAGGCAATGGATGCAGTTAACATAATAAAAAACACCATTTAGGGTTTGAAAGTATTGGAAAAACAGCTTTGGCAATTTAATACATCAGTATATTAAGTTGCAAGTTTGGCATTTAAGTTGCAATGAAAAGCAGCAAATACTTGAGAGTGAAATCTTCCCTAATAGTTCTTTTTTTAATTTGTCTGTCACCAGTGTTGCTCTGGCAGTAATATTTCAAGCAAAGAGTTGTTACGGTTTGCAGAAGCATGCAAACGCTGCTGACTCAGATATTCATCAGAGGCTTGAACCACTTCAGCAGCAATGTGTGATCACAGACAAATAATGAAGGTGGTGCTGTTCAGAAATCTTTCAGTGAAACGTCTGTGACACATCTTGTATCAAGCCCTTCATAAATTTTTATTTTTTCCCCTGTGTTTTCTGCAAGTGTATGGAATAATTTGTAGATTGGAGCTAGCTTTTCTCCAAAAGAGCGATAAACCAGTTGAGTTGAATTTGGACATTTTTTTTATTTATCAGTGTTGGCAAGAGGAGATGTTTGTTGCTATCCAAAACAGTGAGGAAACATTTAATTATTCAGGATTTTTCAGCATCTAAAAATTGATTTTGTTTTGTTCTAAATATAATGTTAATGTATTAAGATTTTACCCCTTTGCCATTGCTCCAAATGCCACATTTTAGTGCTTGGCTTGTTTTTATGAGTCCCAGATCTATATTGGTTACAAGTGGGCTTTTGTGAACTGGAGTCAGTTGAGCACATCTTTATTAACACAATGAAGCTAGACATGTATTATTGTGGATAATTTAACCCACAAAATATACAGTCAATCCACTTTCACTATATCCCGTAAGGCACTTTGAGATGGCGTGATAAGTCGCTATATCAAATACAAATATTATTCAAATTCCTATGGTCCCAATGCACTGCAGAATGAAACAATACTCCTTAAATTACTTGCTATTTGTGAACACATTTGGCTTCCACTGTTCAATCTATTAGTATCAGAACTTTTCCCAGAAATGATTGGAAATTGGCAAGTCCTGCTCTGAAGCAATCAGTATCTTTGACTGATTCTCAGGACTTAACTGTATTCAGAAACAACTTATGTCCAGTTACACTGAACTGGATATCTCAACTTTGTAATTTAATTTTAAAAAATCATGATCCCATTTCATGGCATCTTCACAACCGGAAAGCTATAAGAATTCAGACCTTTGGTTTTGGATCCTTGAATCTGTCTGAATGAATATTAAATGGGGTCTCGCAGTTTATAGGAAAATAATCTTTGTGGCTGTGAAGGATTCAGTGAAAGCTTTCCCAGTCTGAAGAGGTATTAAAATTACCTTTTTTTAATTTTATTCAAAAGGTATTTCCAAGAGTTTAGAGCCAGTGTCAGGTCATCTGAATAACATCATTGCAACCAAGCTTGCAGCCATTGAAGGGACGTTGAAAGAAAACATTACAAAAATGGTCAAATCCAAGGTAAGTGGGGTTTTTTCCAACATCAGAATACTCACAGCACGTGAAAGGCTATAAAGTAATGGCTGTATTGAATAATGTGGTTTTGCATTGTCGTTCAAATTTGCATATTTTGCATTTTTTCACCCACTGCCTTCTCGCCTCACATTCCTTTATTAGGGTCTCTTTTACTGATGCTCCCCTCACAGCTCATTGTGGTTCCTAGTTGTTAATCTGTGCTCCACTGTACACTTTTCTCAGAGGTGCCAAGTGTGTGTGTGTGTTTTCATGAAACTCCATCTCCACACTCCATTGGAATATAGTACATTGATTTGTAACCATACTTTTCTGAAAATATAGTAATAAATACAACCATAGAAATTTAGAGTGCAGAAGGCCGTTTGGCCCAAATATGTGAGGAAATGTGTTTCTGGGTTGTTTTCAAAGGTTTATTTGATTGCAATGTTTGTACAGTGTCATGAGAATGTTAGACCTATTGGAGTAACCTCCCATTTATTTCTTTGAATTCCGATCACAGAACACTACGGACAGCATTGGAAGAGCAGCAGCCGAAGCTTTACAAGGACCCATACAAAGTGCTTACAGAGAATCATTCCAGAGTGCGTTTGTGCCTGTTTTTGAAAAGGCATGTCAGTCAATGTTCCAGCAAATTAATGACAGCTTCAAACAGGGAACACAAGAATGTAAGTGTTATTTTATGTCTTTTTATTCACAAGAATCCATTGTTGAGATCATAATAATAATCCTTGCATTTGATATAGCGTCTTAACACGTCTTCGAGACATGATAAGAATATACTGTAAGTGAATTGATTGTATATTTTGTGGGCGAAACTCAGCAGCCAATTGTGCACAGATTTACATTTTACAGGTATACATTTTACAAGTGTTGAATGGGACCGTGATTCCAAGTCCCGAAGTGGAAGTTCAACCCACATCCTTCTGACTCTGAGACGAGAGTCCAGCATTTCACCAGACTGACGCATGCCTATATTATGAACATTTTATTATGCTTCAGTTTATCTATATCCCTTGACTACTTCATTAAGATTTCCTGTGAGGTTTCTCTTTTGTATGAACTCTCCCAGCTTCCCTAGCCTTTCCTTGAATTTTTAATCCTTGCATTTGATATAACAGCTTATCACATCGTTGAGACGTCTCATAGCGCTTCACAGAGTATACTATAAAGTGAATTGATTGTATATTTTGTGGGCGAAACTCGGCAGCCATTGGTGCACAGAATGTTAGTCCAATGATGGAGGGAAGCATAACTGCTCAGTGTTTGTGTGTAGGAATCTTGCCTTTTCCCCTTTTGTATAATATATATTGTTTGAAGGGTTATTATTTCATTAAGTAACTGATAGAGAACACGTCTCTTTCTGAGTAGTATGAATTGTATAATTCCAGTGGAAGTACATAGAATGCTCAAAGCTTTATTTTTTTAATCAGTCAACAGAGTAAATCTAGGACTAAGTAGTGGTATCTCTTCAAGCTAGTGTTTGGATAAATACATTTCTGGTTCTGATCAAACTTGATGATTTTCTTGTTGCTATTAATTTGATGCTTTTCATCTCACCGGCACAGATATCCAGCAATTTGAGACCCACCTTCAGTCTAAGAAGGCCCAAGAGCAAGCAATTCGAGAACCTATGGTTTGTCAGCTGCAGCAAATGATTGACCACTTCCAGAGTGCAACAGATCATCTTGCTGCCACCATCACAAACAGCATTCGTTCAGAGGTGCAGCATCAGCTTCACATCATTGTTGGCAAGTAAGTTCAACAACAACAATAATAATCTTGACTCTTAGTTGTTGAGTTAAGGAGTGTGGGAATCGTGGAATTGAGAGACTGGATGGTGCAGTGGGTTAGCATACTCTCCTTTCACCTCTGGGACTACGACCTGAACACAGGGCAGATTGTGGTCTGAACCCAAGCAGTACAAACTACCTCTTAATTAAGACAAAAATGGCAATCTCATTCCGAAATGGCTGGTGTGGGAAATGAACAATTCACACAAGTGCAATGAGGTTGATGTTGGTTGTACTTTATCTGATCTGGGACTGTTTGATCCTAACATCAGGTGGCTGATTTGGAAACTCTTCTATTCCATTCTCCCAAGTCTAAAGTCCATTTTGATCAGCTCAGCTCAAAATTTACAGTAGAAATTTGAGTCCAATTTTATCAGAAAGGATATTTTCACTCTTGAATGTATCTACCAGGGATAGAATAGAGAATAGTGCTGTTCTCTAGCCTCTAGGATCTGACCAGAATGCTGCCCAGACTGATGGGTTAAGGCTGAAAGTCTCCTTTTGCGCTAGCTGTAAACACCCTGTGTGTTTGGCTAATCTCTGTCCACCTACCAATGATCATACATGCACTAGTATAATTAGACCCTAATTTTTTGTCTCGCACAGAAAGATCACAAGGTGATTGGTATTTAGTTAAGCACAGCACTGTAGCAGTTGATCATTTTGAAACATCTGACTACGACCATACTTAGGGACCATGCTTGAAGATGGGACTGAGAGCCCATTTCTGCCATCTCTTGCTTTGAAAGCATAAACATTCAATTACTTCCTACTTCCCCCAATTGTTTAAGTCTGTTACTTGTATGAGAGTAACATAAAATGCAGCTTTTCTTTGTTTCTTTAACTGAATCATTGCAAAATCATAGTACATTCCTCATTTCTATACTCAAGTTATGTACTTACAGTAACATAACTGATCCTGTTGCAAGTGAGCAGTTTTTAATGCTGGAATATTGATTTCTAGAGTTGGAATGTTCATAACAGTTAACTCTTAGTATTAAATCTAACTCGTAATATTGTTTGTAAGTTGAGTAAATGTAGTAATCTCAGTTGAGAAGTACTGATTTTCCAATGCTTAACTCCAAATGATCACAGAGCCATAACTTTACTCATTAACTACCTTTCTTTAGTCCCCAATTGTTGGCATAAGCACAATTTTCCTGAATGCACTCACTCATCTTAGTAATGTGCAATGGGGGATTTGTGATCTCACTAGGTAGCCAGGATATATTGAGCTCAGTTGCAATTTATTTTGATCTAAAGCCTGGTTTTAAAATGCAAAATGAATTTGGAAGGAAAAAATGTTCTTCTTACTGTCATCGTATTCCATAAAAAAAACATTTACATGGCAAAACAGACTATTTGGTACATCGAACCCACTCATGGATTTGACTAAAGTTATTTCAGTTCTTGAGGGTAGTGCATAATCGATAGATAGATGTCCACAATTGACCTTGATCCTTTCGCCCATAAAATATACAGTCAATACTTCTGTATACTTCATAGTATATTCTGTGAAGTGCTTTGAGACGTCTCGAAGACATGATAAAGCACTATATCAAATGCAGGGATTATTATCATTATTGTTATCCGGGGGTGGGGATGGAGAAATAAACAAATGCTCAAGGATGACAGTCTTATTGTAATCTAGAGGATTTAACCCTGATCAGTTGGATTCCACATTTATCTTTTCCATTATTCTAGGCCTGGGATTGTTCCTTGATATGAGAATTTGGACATCATGATCATTCATTTTGTACAACGTTAACTGAAAATATGTTTCCAAATTGCTCTCACATCACATTTTGACATTGAAACTTAACTATAGCACCAAAGCTATAAAGATATAAACCCCATAAAGCTATAAACCCAGAATGAACTAAAACCATTGCTAAATTGATCTATTTAAGTGAACAAAATTGCACCTGTGCTGCATATTCTAAAACAAAAAATAGGTGAGTCCCATTTGTGTGGCTCACTTTAATTCCCTGTTTACTGTGTCCATGAAGCAAACAGCACTTATTTTTGACCTTCCGCCATTCTGTGAATGCCAGCTTCTTCTGGATGCGTGGGGGGTGGGTAGTTTATAAGATGGTGCTGGAAAAGATGGTGCTGGATAACACCCCCACTGGGGCAGCATTTGAATGAGAGCAGAGCCGAGTGGATTTAATACATTAAATATACAGAGAGGGATTTTAAAAGCGGGATAAATGTAATTACATGCACAAGCTCTTTTGTGCTTTACAAAACTTTGTGCTTTACATTTGGATTAAAACTAAATGAAAAATTGTCGTGTCTAAAGCTGTTACAGGTTACATGTAGGATATTGTAACTGTGTCTTTAGGTATTTTCTAATTGAGCACGAGTTATGTGCATGTTGTAGCATGTATTGGGAATTGCAAGTAGAATGAATTTGTGGTCTTTGTCTCAAGTTTGCAGGAGTCGATTCTAACTCAAGTACAAAGAATTGTGAAAGGGGAGGTTGGCCTGGCGATGAAAGAACAACAGGCGGCTGTTACTTCCAGTATTATGCAGGCGATGAGGTCAGCTGCTGGAACACCGATTCCATCATCTCACATAGATTTCCAATCTCAGCAAACCCACGTCCTGCAACTGCTGCAGCAGGGACAACTCAACCAAGCCTTTCAACAGGTATGGCAGAACTTCCACTTAAGAGCACTACAGGTCATAAGTTGTATGAGTCAGGGCCATAACATTTAATATGACTTGCTTGAAGTGTGAGTTACAGGCAAACTTGCATAAGTCGTGTCGTGTACGACTTGCACAAAGTTATGTATAAGTCAGATTTTATATGACTAACATATAACGAAATAGACAACAAGACCTCAGCTGTTAAACTAGTCAGTTTTCACCTTGACCACCCAGTGGGGAAAATGGTAGAGATACTGGACTGAATGAACTTTGTACCACATGGACTCATCTTTAAAGATTGAATCATTTAAACCAGAGCATGTTTTTTTTTAGTATTATTATCGGCCAGACAAGGTTTGTTGCCTTGGGCTGATCACCTCTGGCTTTGCTGCTAACGCTCAATTTTCAGATAAGTTTAGTGGGTCAAAGGGCAGGTAAATGAGTTGAGTTACAGATCAGCCGTGATCTAATAGAATGGCGGGCAGGCTCGAGGGGCTGAATAGCCTACTCCTGTTCCTATGTTTCTGTGTTCCAGTCTCCTTACCAGTGATCAACAGTAATGATGCTAGTGAGGCAATACTTACAGAAGCATTAACTGAGTTCAGGGAAGAGTTCCTGTAGAGAAGAATGGTCTCCCTCAATTGGCCATACACGTTCCTCAACTTCCACGTTCCACAAAAGAGTTACATTTCTAGCTTCAGGCCAAAATAATAGAGGACAGGTAGGGAATATTCTGAAGTGTTTCAATAAGGTATTAGTGACTATGTCGGTTTCTATGTCTGCTTTGAAGACTGGGTTGGAGGATTTGAGATCTACTATCAAAGGGAAGATTTGAAGGTGAAATCATCCCTATGCCTTGTGCGTATTGCTGGTTGAGAGAAGCAATTGGAGAGACCTGGAAACAGGTTGGATGGTTCAAGGCCCAGCGGTCTACCATAAAGTGTGTCCGTGGCACAGTCAGTGAGTGGGTGATGCAGAGGAGTTTCTGAGTGCCGAGGAATCTGATTACTATCTACCAGCCGCATCTTGTAAACTTATCCCATTTAAGTTGCACGATAAATTTCAGGTGCCTTTTGGTAATAGCTCCAAAACTACACATTTATAAATCCTAACAGAGCAGTTCCTAATCTGAGTTGTTGCAAACTGTTTTGCTTGTTGTTTGATTTTTTTTTAAATTGTATTTTATGATTATTATTTCTTTATTACTTTGGCACTTCTAATAAACCACCTATACAGTCAATTCACTTTACAGTGTATTCTGTGAAGCGCTTTGGGACGTCCTCCTGACGTGAAAAGCGCTATATCAAATGCAAGCATTATTATTATTATTATTTGCCCATATGAAATTCAGGATATTGTCCCGAACTTTCTCACTGTTACAATTTTAACTTCATGCAAGCCCAACAAATGTGTAGTGTAATCAGAGTAGAAATGATTGTATTAATTTGTTTGTCCTCAGCTTATGAATAATTGGGTTGTCCTCTCCTCTTCTATTCTCCTGAAAGTACTAACCTGGGCTGAGGTGTTGACTGCTCTCAGTGTCTTGCCCAGATGGCCATTGGTCATGTATGTATTAGACTATGCATTGTTAGCAGGTTATTCGACTGTTAGGGCAGGACAACAGAGCCAGTTCTCATCTAACGTTCACAGATGTGCAGTTTGCTGTAGTGGAATAAGGAGCCTGTTGGATTTTGTTTTGTCATTTCCAACAAGGAAGCGAGAGTGGAGAGATTTGTCAATCAGGCTTTTGTTGTGTATCTGTAGCAGCTGTTAGTCAGAGGCATTAGCAAAGGTGTGGGAGCAGGTCATTATTCTCACCCTCTCAGCCAGGGAAAGGTGTGATGCTGAAGATGATAAAGGAGGAGATCAATTATATTTTTCTAAAGGCACGGCAGTATATTTCTTAGTCATTGCTGTCTTTAGCATTTTAATTGTCTGAGCCACCGTAACTATTGTAAAGAGGTTATTAAATTGTACTTTGTTTTTTTTTAAAAAGTAAGCTACTTATAGTTGGAGCAAATGTGACTCAGCAGTATATCAGGCATTGGGACAAATCAACCATCGGAGGTCGTGCTTTCAGCTGCTGCACCCCAAAACTCTGGACCACTCTACCTCAATCCCTCTGCCTTGCCCCCCACCCCCCCCCACTCCCCTTTTTGACGTCCCACCTGAAAATTTTCCTCTTCGACCATGCTTATGGCCACCAAACCCAGCCCCCCCCACCCCGGCTCGGAGTCAGGCTCCGCCACTGTTAAGCGCTCTGAGACTCTACCCTGGCTGGAGTGAGCTATGCAAGTGTGAGTTGTTGTTGTTGTTGAATGGCTCGAAAAACGATCAAGTATATTTTGCAACATTTACTAGTTAAGGCCGCAACCTTGGCTTTTTGTAATTAATGTCACTTCCTCCAGTCAATGTTCAAGGCCTTTCCAAATCATTTGCCAACTTGCCGCAAGTCTTTCTTTTTTTTGTGTATTCTGGTCACTAAACTACAATAAGCACATATCAGTGATGGAAAGATTACAGCGTAGGTTTACTAGCATGATACCAGGACTGGCAGTTTAGTGTTTCAGGAAACACTGGCTGGGTGGAGTGTTGTTTCACGAGAGAAGAAATGTTTCAGAGAGGACCAATAGAGTTATTTAAATTTGTAGAAGTTTTCGCTAAGGTTAGCCTAAAGAGGCTGTTCCTACCAGTTGGGGATCCATTACCAAGGGGCACCAGTTCAAGATAGCGACTAGGGGATCTATGAGAGGAAGTTGGGATTGGGTGGAGACTCATGTGGAATATAAACACCAACATGGGCCAAATAGCCCCTTTCCATGCTGTACATTCTTTGTGTTCACCATTTGAATACAACATTATTGTATTACATTTTGTAACATTATATGATTCTATTTGATATCTTCCATTGAGCTTTTGATACTGTGTGTAATTTTCTGCCATTTTTATCCAGTGCTAGATTTCCATAACCAAAAGTCAGCATTTTCTTATAAAAATGTGCAGAATTGCTTCATTTTGCCTCCTTCCTGTGAATAATCTGAATGCCCTGCAGTTAATGTGGAACATTCTGACATAACAAATTGATACTAATTCCCCCAAAGTCATCTAAAAGCAATATGAAGAACCCTATTTACTTTCCCGGAAGGCCTGTTACGAAGAATTGTATTTCTGTGCAGCCCTTACTGTTGGCAGATTAATTATCGATGAGTTACTGTCTACTTTTACTTTTACCATTGGTTAACAAAACATGCCTTTTAGCAGCAAGTAGCTATTCTGCTGAAGTAAGTAGACAGAATATTTTTTCCTGAGCTCAGTGTCCTCTTAACACCCAATACTAAACTTTTTGAAGCTGTTCAATGTTTATGTCTGATCATTGGTGAATTGAAGGTCCCAGCTAGTTAAGATTGTGCAGGAGGTAAAATTAGGACGGCATTTTAAACATGTGCTTTCTTTATGTTTTTATTGAAACCCTTCGGCAGTAAAGGATACCTGTACATGTAGGAAATTGAGAACAGTAGGTGATTGAAAGTCGGCCTTGAATTGTCACTCTTCAATTGATTCTACCATTCGATTCCTTTGCCCCATACACGCAGAAGATATTTATTGCAGCTTTTTGAAAATGAAATGAATTTTTTATGTGTCATAGTGCTTCCAATTTGTTTTGATGCCACTGTTCCCTAACTGCATGGCGTGCAATATTTGACCGTGTGGCATATGAGCTTAACCTCGATGCCTCTCTGAAAGATTAGTGTTCCGGCAATCAGGAGTGCTGCATTTTGCTATGTGACTCACCATAGTCAGTACTGAAGCAGTGACTTCAGCATAAAGCTTCCGTTTTGTAGGGAAGGGTTAATTATCTTGTGAGCTCTCTGGAGACTAAATGTTCTCCAAACTTAATCTCTGCCAGTAGCGAAATGCTGACCAATTGTAGTTTATTTAATGATCTCTTGTGAGCAGAATTTTGCTTCCAGCTTTAGCAGGACAAAAGATTATTTATGGAGAGTATCTCTCGCTGAATATTACGAAGCACATTTGGGAAATGGGAATTGTTAAAAATCTGGTAAATTTGTTTTAGTATTTCATTCATTATCAGGTTTCTAATTGAATTTCAGTGCAGTAGGATACTATTCAGTACTATATTAATTGTTTATTGACATTTAATACATTGTATGAGGTAATCCCCAAAAGTAATGCCTCCTATTTGTTTAGTAAAGAATGGTAAGTGATACAGTAATGAAAACCGCACACAGGATACTTTTTTTGTATCCCGCCACTGTTGTGAAAGATTTGTTTATTTCTCGGATGGAGATAGAGGCACACAACAGCAGTTCAGAATGGCACCTAGCATTGATACATGCGCTAAGGAGAGAGTGGTAATTGAATTTCTGACAGCTGAGGGGATTTCACCGATTGAGATTCACTGTCAGGTGATGAAAGTGTGCGGACACTTAGGTGTAGTTGATGCGAGTACTGTAAGACCCTGGGTAAATTGTGCAAAACGTGGAGAAACTCAACTTAAAGTGGACAACGCTTCGAAAACAACAAAGCAATGAAGAATGCTGTTCCTCAATGGCTCCTTTACATAGACGCATTGTTTTACCTAACGGTATACTGGCACTGGTTCCACGTTGGTGCAAGTGTGTAGATCGTGATGGTGACTTTTGTGGAAAGCTAACGGCACTGGTGTATTTTAAAGACAGCTTATTTTGTGTTTTTGTTAAATTTTGTAAGTTAACAATGAAAGAATTTTGAGAAAATAGAAAGGAGGCGTTACTTTTGGGGCGTCCCTGGTATATTTCAATTTCCCTTGCAGCTTTGAAAATCTGTACCCATTGTGGAATGTTTGCAGAAATGTATCTGTACGTTTCCAGTTCTGTGACACAATGTAGAATTTTTGAAAGGTTTACAGGATCAAAAATTACTTCTATTTGGAAAAGGCTAGTTTTGTTTGAAATCATCTGGAGGTTTTGGTTTACAGAACACTGTCATTTTGGTTTGTAGCAGTCCTTACACAAGGTATTTTTGTCTTATCAGCTGGTGTATTAATCCCACATTTCTTTCTCAATCAGGCTTTGTCTGCAGCAGATCTCAACCTGGTGTTGTACGTCTGTGAAACTGTGGATTCTCAGCAGGTCTTTGGTCAGCAGCCTTGTCCCCTGACCCAGCCCGTCTTGCTTTCACTTATTCAACAACTCTCCACTGATCTGATGTCCCGTACAGAGCTAAAACTTAGGTAAGGATCTGTGTAGGTAGTACAGTTGTTGTCTTGCACGGTAACATCTACGATAATAATAATCGTTCATGTTCTCTTCTCAGTTATCTGGAGGACGCAATCATGAATTTAGATGACACAGACCCCGTGGCTCGCGATCACATGGGCTCTGTATTACATCAAGTCAGACAGAGACTCCACCAGTTCAACCAAGCAGAACCTCAGAGTAACACAAGTAAAAAAGCCCGACGACTTATGATGATGCTTCAGGGACTGGTGACTCCTCTAAGTTAAGCCTTCACCTGTGACTGGTAGTACTTATAACATCTGTAAAGACTTGCATTATAATTATACAAATCACATAACTGTATGTTACTAATTAGCCTTGCATAAAAAGCTCTAAGGAATACAACATTAATGTCTCATGTGTTAAGAAAATGTTTGAAGTCCATGTTTGGAATGAGTGACGGGTTAATACTGACCTAATCTAAGATGCTTCACATGTTATCTCTCATCGTTCTTCTTTCTAATGCAGTTGGCCCATTTTGTCTGGGTCTCTATTCTTTTATTTTGCATGGGTTAGACACAACCTGTGGTACGTAAAACTTATTGTTTCCCAGCAGCATTTGTGAAGCAGTTGAGGCTTAAATGCCTCGCCAAACGCAACAAATTGAGGGGTTGCATAGTCTGCAACAAATATAAATATTTGTAAGTGTCTGAAGAACAAGTTTCTGTCCCAGTTTAATTTCATACCTAGGCACGAAAGAGCATTTAGTTCTGAAGATCTGCCCTGAGAGCTGTAGAGCTCAATAGAAGTGTCGTGTTGAACAAGCATCCAAAAAATATATATTTTCAAAATACTTCAAATTAATGTTGGACTGTTATTTCTTGAAATATCGCCAGAGGAACATGTGTACCTTTGCATCATGTTAGGTTTGAAACGAAGGAAAATAAATCCAAAAATGGAAAAGTCTGGTATTCTCCTTTTTTTTGTGTTTAGTGCATAATGTTCTTGAACATTTACTATTTTTGTTGTTGTGATTTTACATTACGATTCCTTTTTATCTCAAAGGTATGAAAACTCCCTGTTTTGGATAATGTTTAAAAAAAAAAGTTCAATAAAAAGACTTTTCAGAAAATATCTGGGTGTGGAGTTATCCTTGAATCATTAGCATTGATTTCCCCTTTTTAACTCAAAACACTGAATGACACAAAACGTTTCCAAGATTTGGTTTACCAGCCCACATAAACCGCATTTAGATGCCACTTTTGTGATTTTTTTTCTTTGGTTCATTTTTACGATAGTTCAATGAAATGTTACAACTTTGGAATAAGTATTTGTAGACTGTTTTCATTCTGTGATGTTTAAAATAAATGCAGTACTTCAAACCATTTTAGTATTGGTAAATACTTTTGCATGAACGTATTTAGAGAAGGCATTGTAGAAATTTTAAGGGTACGGTTTCAAAAAATTTGTGTGCGTTTTTAAGTCTGTGTTTTGGAAAATTAATAGTAGATGATTTTAAACATTTTCAAACTAGAAACACAGAAATTTACATTGTAAAAGGAGGGAGTCCGTTCAGCCCATCAAGTCTGAGTATTCTGTTTGGAAACCAGCTGTTTTGCAGTCACTTCCTTTAGACCAGGGTCTTCACTGCTTGACCTGACTCACACAGTGGGGTTGAGAGGCCAGCGGTTGCTTCTACCCAGTCCGATTTTTGCTTTGCCGCCCATTTGGGGGGTCATAAGAGCATAAGAAATGCTAGACGAGAAAAAGACCAAGGTCCATCTAGATCGCCTTCCACCTTCCTGGCGGTCACATGCACATATATCCTGAACTACCCATGTACTATATCCCATAATATTTCCTAAAAGAAAACTATCTAGTCTGTGTTTGAAGAAATCAAGATTTCATGCTTCAACCATCTCCTTAGGGAGCCTATTCCACAGGTTCACTATTTGCCCACTGAAATAGTCTTTCCATACATTCCATAAGACGTAGAAGCAGGAGTAGGCCATTCGGCCCCTCGAGCCTGCCCCAACATTTAATAAGATTATGGCTAATCTTCTAACCTAATTCCATTTACCCACCCTATCCCCATATCCTTAATCCCTCTATCCTTTAGAAATCTATCAACCTCAGTCTTGAATATGTTCAAGGATTGGACATCCACAGCTTTCTGGTAGAAAATTCCACAAATTCACTACCCTCTGAATGGAGAAATGTTTCCTCAACTAGGTTCAAAAAGGCTGACACTTAATCTTGAGACTATGACCCCTAGTTTTAGATTCTCCAACCAGGGGAAATATTCGTTCTGAATTTTCCCCCACTAAGTTCCTCCACCCCCTTCGCCATATGTATGCCTGCCAGGCCCACTCTGACAACACTTCTCAAGCACACAAAGTCAGTCCTTGAAATTTGGCAGTTTTGCTTGGGTTTTTAGAACCTCACCAACTCCTATGTTGTCAAATGTGGCTGCATTGTGATCGCTGTTGCTTAATCCTTCTCCCACCTTTATGCTGGAGATTTGATCCTTCCTGTTACTCATTATCAATGTGGAATAATTACTAAAGGTGTCAAAGGTATCGCTTTGGTTAACTTAAACCAAATTGTTCCTTTTCTATCTTGTTTGCCCAGTATATGAACTTCCGGATGGTTTGCAAAGTCCAACTTGATCCCCAATTTCCAAGAGCTCAAATAATTTTATTTAATAGGTAAAGCTTTAAGCTTCTCTGATAAGTCCCACTCAAACAGATATAATGTCAGTGGACTTATCAGTGAAGTTTACAAATCGCAGTACCAAGGCGAACATAAACACTGCCTATGTCTATTGCTCCATGTGATGTTTCATATTTCAAAATCAGAGTTCTAAGGTGGCAAGCATTTTGCAAGGCAGATTAATTCTAGTGAAGGTACCTGATGGGTTTACTGCTTCATATTGCCAATTGCAATCCTCTTCCTGCATAGGGCTGTGTTTTACTGCTGAGTCAGGCTTTCGTGAAACCCATATCAAGAAAAGAAAAGGGAGAATTACCCTTTTGGTTGATTCTCTGCATCACTATAAACACATTTTAACCGGGTGCTCTTTATAATGACTAATCCTATTAACTGCATACATAAATTTACTGGCCGGTGCATGCAGAACCACATTTTAATATCCCTGTTCCTGTATTTGTGGTATTGTGTATTAATTTTCTATTCTATTTTAGTGAATGTTCCCTCTCAGGTCTTGTATAAAATTACAGGAAACATCTAGTGGGACAAAAACGTAGAAAAGGATGTATCATAGACTTGTTGGAAAAATGATACTACAATGTAATCCGATCTGTCCAATGAGGGCTCAAAAAATGACCAAAAAGAAGCTGAGATGTCTGTAGAGAGATTCTACAACCCTAGTTTATTTCACTTGTTTGCATATGTTGCTGGTATGATCAAAGATGGGAGACAAGCCATTTGGGACTCCATGCTTCAAGGAGCATGGGAGTGAGTGTAGCCGAACCCAGCAAATACACACACTACTGTATCGTGAGAGTTACCACGATAGGAACCCGGCTGTTAGTCGATTGGCGGATCACTTTTCCGGAGATGATAATCCCTCAAAAAAAAATAATTTGGCCACTCGAATCCACGACTGTTTGTGGGACATTGCTGCGTGCAATTGGCTGCCGCGTTTCACCCACAAATATTCAGTCAATTCACTTTACAGTATATTCTGTGAAGCGCTTTAAGATTTCTAGATGTGAAAAGCGCTATATCAAATGCAAGGATTATTATTATTACCAGTTTAATAGCTAAAGATTGAAATGAAGGCTTGTGCTGAGAAACCATACACATGGTGAGAAGTGGCTGTAGGCGAATCAGAAGACAGTAAGTAATCCAATTCAAGGGTCAAGTGACAATGTCAACATTTTAGGCAAAGCTTGAGTATCTTTTTGCTTTATCTGAACTCAATTGGATTATGTCCAGCAGTTTAAATATGCAGAGATAAGTGGCTTTGTGTTATCTTATCAAGTTGCTAACAATCATTTGGATTAACAATGGTGCTTTCATTTAAGTTATATCACCTGATGCATTGCCTTTCAGGAAACCAGGCCTGAATTTTGCTATAAACAGGAGGTCTCATTCCTTGGTTTCACCCTTTCCTCTGGAGGATGACTACCAAGCACAGCGCAAGGTAGAAGAAATCATTAACTGTCTCTCGTTGCCCACAAGCGTCACCTTAAAATCATTCCTGAAGCTGCTTACTAATCAGTGTGACTTTATCCCGGATTTTTCACTGAATGCAGCATCCCTGTACAGGCTGCTTCAGAAAGACGTAGCCTGGGAGTGGATGGAGGCCCGGACGGAAGCCGTTATTACTCTTAAGCAAGCTCTCGCAAGCGCACCCGCGCTCGTCAAACCAGACTCCTCATTACCTTTCCATTTAGAAGTGTCTGCGTCCGATACCACTCTTTCCGCCGCCTTACTCTTAAGAGCGACACGATCCGAGACATCCCATAGCTCACGAGTCTAGGACACTCTCACAAACAGAGCTCAAGTATAACCTGTGTGAGCGAAACCTTTGTGCCACCCTTTGGGGTAATTACACATGTTACCTCTATAGTAGGAGGTTGCCCTACAGTTCTCCAATCTGTGCGCAGCCCTAATACGTTTCTAGTTTTGAACATAGTCAAAGACGGGAGCGTCTCCAACTCGTGTCTGATGCACTGGTCCCTGCTCCCGCAAGAGGGAGACATTACCGTCAGGCACACAGACTATTATTGGCCACTCACTCCTTTGTGAGTAGACACCAGACGTCTCTCCAGAACCGCCACAGCCTTTATTCCAACTGGCGCCCATGGATTTGGACCGTTCCAACTGTATCCAAGTTTTCACCAAAGGCACCAGCGTTTACACTCATGAAATAAACGCCAAACACGGGGTTTGGTTCATCTGCTGTTTTACCAGACTCGGAGCCTGTTTCGATGTGTCACTCCTGTACCCCACATTCCGCCCAATCCGCTGAGTTTGCAGCGATTGCTTTGTGCCCTGAAGACCTTTCCCCGCATCCACAAGACCCCTTGTGTTACTTTCCAGCTCCGTCCTGCGTGGGTAACGCGTTTAACTGAACCTCTCCCCTTTTGGAAGGCAAACAAATTCACCTCCTCCGACGGCTCACCTCTCCCGCACGCCTCGTTGCTCTGATATATTTGTCGTTTACCCTCAGCAGTAGCCCACCCTCCCTTGGTTTATAAAATGGAAAAATCATCGATAGTTTACCTCTTTTTGTTCTGGTTCACGTGAAGCCAGCACTCTTGTGCAACAGGGGGCTCAAGAGTGCGAGCCGTGGTCGTTCACCCCCCCACCCCCCCGCCAGCCCTCAGGGAGCCTGCGAGCATTACTTGGACATCGCCTGTTTGCAAAAACAGGATAAATCACTACCTACCGTATGTATATAAATGTAAATATAAACACAATGCTTTTCTTCTTAACTGTTTAACATGGAGTGCATTGGCCTCAAAGCAGCAAAAATGTTATAGGTCTTCTAGAGATGACCTCTAGTCCCACAACCAAACCTGGGGGATGGGGGAGGAGATGTTAACATCTCTGGACAACCTATAACATTTTTGCTACTTTGAGGCCAATGCACTCCCATTTTAAACAAGTAAGAAGAAAAGCATTGTGTTTATTAAGTGTCCAGGCAGCCACATTGGCCTTTTAAGAGCATCGGGAATCATGGTAGGAGGCGTCTGCCTATTCAGGTGGACGATAAAGATCCCTTGGGGCTTTTCGAAAAGAGGCGGAAGTTTCTCCCCTGTGTCCTGGCCAACAATTCCCCCAAATAAAATCGGTCACTCACTCCGCGGCTGTTTGTGGGGTGTTGCAGTGTGCAAACTGGCTGTCGCGTTTCGCCCACAAAATACACAGTCACTACACTTTACAGTTTACACTTTGAAATGTCTCGACGACCTTGTAAGCATTGTATATCAAAATACAACGATTCTTATTATAAACCGTAGACTCTATGTGGGATAGCCACCTCGGGGGAATCTTGAGGCAACTTCTAGAAACCGCGAATGTACGGGCGACCCCTCCTCCATATTAAAAAAAAACGGGCTAATACCGTAAGTACCGGGCGATGATAATCAAATCCCATCAAATGCTTCAAGTGCGGATTTGGCTATGACAGGAGTTGGGTTGAATCATTCGGAAATTAAATTTATAATCCGCTGCAAAACGAAAGAAGCCAGGCAAATGGTTCAATCTCTCTCCTCCCTCCTTCCCTCCCTGAGATGTTGTGTGGATGGCTCAGGGTGTAAGCACTTGACTGAGAGGCGGAGTTGTGGTCTGACTGTGTGTTGGGAAGCATTGAGTTGATCAGATCAGCACTGAGACACCCAGACAGACACCAGTGACTCCACACAACACACACACACAACACACACACAATGGGCTCCCGTTTGCACTGTGTGTATTTCCTCTTATCCATTGGTAAGTCTAACATATGTGTTTTTTTTAAAAAAGTGCAATGTTTTTCCAGGGCAAAAAAAGAACAAAACAAAGCAAACCATCAACTAATTATCTTTATGGTTGAGACGGTAGTTTTGTTTTTTTTTTTTTAAAAAAAGGATATTAAAATAAGATTTTTTTGGGGGGGGAATGAATTGGATGTGAAAGTGCAGTGAGTTTCGTTTGATGGATATTGTTATATATGTATTTTTTTAAAAAGAGGGAGGGAAGGAGTGGGTGAATGGTATAACTTTCCCAGGAATGTTAATGATTAAATGAACGTGTAATCTTGTTATATGTTATATGCATTCGATGGGATAAGAGGAGAGAGAGAAAAGAATTTGCATTTACTGTGTGAGAGTGTAACAACAACAACAACAAGATTCCATTTATAAAGCGCCTTTCACGTCAGGAGGACGTCCCAAGGCACTGGTAAGTAAGTAAGTGTAAGTAAGTGTAAGTAAGAAGACTGGACCACAAACAGTGGCATTTGGTTTGTTGACTCAGCGACTGACCACTTGTTCAGCTCTTGTGAGAGCTGTACATAATAATAATAATTATTGTGAGAGCTGTACATAATAATAATAATTATTATTATTTAATTATTATGATAATAATAAATGTAAGTTGTTATAAATAATATATTTTTAAATAATTATTATACCCAAGGAATGAATGGTTGCCTTGCTAAGAGAGACTGAATCAATATTGCACGTGTGCCCATATTTTGTGAATAAAATCTTCTCTCTTTGCTTCTGGCTACTCCAGCCTTGCAGTCTGTGGGTCTGAATCTGTTTCAGGAGGGATTCGGATTTAAAGGGTTATATTACATATATATATATATAGATATATAAAAGGGATCGTTCTGATTCTTCTTGTGGGTCCAGAGGCTTTTCCTGGATACAAAACCCATCAGATTGAGAGATTGAGCCACGCTCTTCAATATTACAAAGCTGTGGGATTTAGATCCTAAGAATGACACAGAATAACACAGACAGGAGTGAGGAAACCTTGATTGAAATTAAAAACCATTTACTCTACAGCCCCCACCCCCTCTCCCAGAGCAACAGGCTTGAAGTTGTTATTTTAGTGTTATTTTCCAACCAGGTGCCAGGCAGTGGGTCAGTTTGACATCACTAGGGATGGATGGTGGGCAGAAGGGAAGGGACAGTGTTGGGAGAAGGAGTCAGAGGAATGGACTTGTATTTAAACCAATGAGTGAGTGAGTGAGGGAGGGCATGGAGGGAGGGAGGGAGTGAATGGTACCTGACCAAGAGACTGAACTCAATTTCATCTGTGCCCGTATTTTCGTCAATAAAATGTATGTCTTTCTCTGGCATCTCAAGTCTTGCAAACAGTAGCCTATATTAGACATGCCTCCCACACTGACTGCGATGGGTTTATCCAACATGCATCGGACGTACAAGCGCTCTGGGATGCTATATAAATGCATGTTGTTGTTGTTGTTGTTGGATTGATCAGAGAGTTAGCACATGCTGTCTGTCTGTCTGTCGGTGCTAACTGGTGACTTTTTAACCCTGTGGACACATTTCTCCCAGATTGAAAGCCTGGTCGAAAAACTCTTAACCCATTTTTTTTTTTTACCCCCACCTCTGTAACATCAGTAAAATGCTCACGGATGCTCAGTGTTCTGATGATCCAGTTTGCTGCTCAGAATAATTTCTAATTGAAATGTCAATTTGATGGGAATAGTTCCAATCCTGTAGTTGGGCTTCAGCGAGTTAACTTGTCTTTGGAATGCTAAAGGGTCTAACATTGGGTTGCGTTGACTGCCTTTTAGGATTTCCATCTGTAACTCCAGCAGCTATGATGGGGTATTTTTTCCTGGTCAGCCTATGATTGACACACAAGGAAACCTATCACCATTCTTTAGGGTAAAACCAGACTGAGAGCTTCACGTATTATCTTGCGAATTACAGGTTTAAAAAAAAACGTGGCTGGAATGGAATGTGCATTCTTTCCCTCAGGGACATATTCTGCTTACCTAAGTCTGGAAAGTATTAGGCACAGGTTGGCACAAGCCAAGGCTTGGGGACACCGGAGTATGTGTTATGGTGTTGCTGGAGTTTAACCAGCTAACCCTATATATTTTCCATTGATATCACTGTCTGGCAAGCTTTCCCGCTGCTTGTCCACCTGGACCACCCTTACTTAGAGCTTTGGCTTGCAGGTTAACAGGAGCTGACTTGGAGGATTCCCTGCCCGCAGTGACCGATCTGCCCCTCTAAGTCCTGCCAATCACCCAGGTTGGCTGTTCTGTCATCAGCAGTGCCATGGAATAGTGCGGACCTGTCTGGCTCAGCAACTGGATGTCCAAGACCGCCACAGAGGATTGACTCCATTCTCGCCAGTTCAGCTCAAAGGAGACCCCCTCCCCCTTACGTCTCTCCCAGGGGGCATAGTGAGGATGGCGCATCTAGTGTCAGTATTGTATGCTGCTTCCCCACCCCACTCTTTTAGTAACCATAAAGCTAAGTAATTGGTTCACACTTAACTGCAGGGCTGATATCTCTTTGTACCTCTACCCATTGGTTATGTTTCTTATTTCAGCTGTAAAAACATTTGGTTGTCCCAAATGTGGAAACTTAAATTTTAAAGTCGGATCCACAATGAGGATCCTCATCCATCCTCATTGTGGAGTCCTGTAGCTCAGTGGTTAGAGCACTCGCCTGGCAAGTAAGACACCTGCTTTCAATTCCAGGCAGGGCGAAACCTTGGGCAAGTTTCCTTACTCCACACACCTAATAAAACAAAACAATAATAAATTGGTCATTTTCAATCCACGACTGTTTGTGGGACACTGCTGTGCGCAATTGGCTGCCGCGTTTCACCCACAAATATACAGTGAATTCACTTTACAGTCTATTCTGTGAAGCGCTTTGAGACGTCGAGAGGACGTGAAAAGCGCTATATCAAATGCAAGGATTATTATCACTGGCATTCAGGGTTCACCTTGGGAGGGAGTTATTTGAAGAACAGCAGGATTAATTCCAAGATCATTCAGTTTCCCTCGATACTGAAATGGGAAGGGATTTCGAGAAATAAGACTACGAGAGAAGGGATATCGAGGTATACAATTAATCCTTTTAAGGATTATTGGAAGGATCCTCAATGGAATCAATGGTTCCTCAGAGAAAGAAGACTCTGATTCTGTTGTGTTCAAATGATCAGTGTCTGTTGTTGGTTATAAAAGCACAACCACAATAGCCAGACGTCTGGTCAAGATTGTTGATGCAATACATTTCTTGGTGTTATCCCAGGATTGCTTTGAGTGGGCAGGGGATTGTTGTGTACTTCACACCAGAATGATGTCAATATTAAGAGTTATTATAAAAGGCGTGATAGGGTTAAATTAGTCCGTTGAAGAAAATTGTCTGCTAAAAGAAACAATGGATTCTGTCTGCGTTTTCGAAGACTCAACGCTTGGGGGTGGGGTTAGCGATGGTTGTACTGTAATTGCGTTCCACTCATTAAAACCCAAATGAGTATCTTTCCTGAATTATAAAAGCTTCTCAAAGCCATTCAGGATGAGATAGTAAATCCAAGAGGCACGCCATGCAAATTAACTGGTAAATTGAATGTTTGCTCCAATACATCCATTGTAGAATTGTCATTAGGACCTATTACAGCAGTGAGATTTCAACTGCACGCTGAAGCCACAATTGCAAGAGGCTTCGCAGCACTGCCCTTAAAATGGTGGTGCAGGAGGATTCCAGGGATTTGGGATGTAAAACAACCATGCATTTACACTTCAGGCAGTGTAGCGTTTCGGAGCGCTTAACAGTGTGGAGCCTGATGCCGAGCAGGGGGGGAGGTGGGGGAGTGGAAGGTTACTAAAAATATGGTTGCCCCTCTTCAACCATGCTTACCTGCAATTCCTCCCTCCCACCGGCTTGGAGTCAGGCTGTTAAGCGCTCTGAGACGCTACCCTGCCTGGAGGGCGCTTAAGTGCAAGTTGTTGTTGTTGAAGAGGAAGGTCTCCAGACGTAATCTGAAAATAGGGAAGGAGTGGGCAAGGCAGAGGGATTGAGGTATTATTCACTCAGTTACTGGATATCACATCACGTAGGGCATCTTCACTATTTCTTCACAACTCCAGAACATTACTAACCGTGGAATTGGGTTGTCAGTCTGCTCCCGAGTGAGCTGAGTTATTATGTATCTCAATTGGATACACAACTTCTTTGGAGGTCACAAACATTGCCTCATGATAAACAGACGCTTAACTTCTGCACAGGAGTCCCTGCGGGAACCTTACTTGATCCCAGACAACTATTCTTGTCTCTTAATAGCCAGGTTGATTATTAAAATGTTGACCTTGGTTATTGATTACATTATCCACTGGAGAGTGATTAAGGTCCCAACATCTAATGCATAAGAGGGGGTGTTTAATCATTGCAGGCACAATTAGGCAGATTTGGTAATGGGCAGGCGAAATGGCAGGCTGAGACCAAGTCAATAACTTTGAAGCCTGACTCTGATGCTGCTTAGCCATCACGACTCTATAAAGGGTGCAAGCTTTATAATGACGAATATCGAACACCTTTGCCGTGATCTATAGATCTAATCCACAGGAGGCAAGTGTACAACACACGCAATTATAGGATGGTAGAGTGGGGAATCATCAAGAATGATTGGTTACTTTAGTGTTCTACAAAACCTGTACTCTTTATGTATTGCCTTGTTGTAGCACTTTGGCAAACTGCTAAGAAAATCCATCTCTTGCTGTTGGATTCAGTATGCAGCAAGATCCCTCCTGGTTACCAAAGAGCCAGCCTTGAGCAACATTGAGCAGACATTGCCAGACTGTCGCTCGCCAAAGGGATTACCAGCATAATACCATTGGGTTTGAGGTTAATCTCCAGGTGTATACAGGGACACTCGGCTCTGTGCAGTGGATCATAGCATTCTGTTCCACCTCTAAAAATCCGCAAATGATGGCAGTGGCGATGCTTCTCCCCTGTTCGTGGAACTCTCACAGCCAGTTTCATAAAACGGAACCCTTTATAGCCGTTTAAACCCATGCAACCTCCCCACTTTTGGAGCCACAGTTGCTGGAACATTTACAATGTCTGATCTGTTATCCATTAATGCCTAAGCACCGTTTGATATGAACAACCACCAAGCATCATGTTTTATGAGACATCTGGTCTTAACAGAACTTTTCCAGCTGCAACCACATAATATACTGTACATGCCTCCCTCCCCACACACACAGCCCTGCTCAGCAATGCAGGCAAATGATGATTCCACGCCTTCGCTTTCTAGCTGAGACGTATGGATTGGTTTCATCATTACTAACGGGCCCTCCAAAGGCAACAACAACAACAACAACAACTTGCATTGGTATAGCGCCCTTCACGCAGGGCAGTGCTGCGGAGCCTGACACCTAGCCGGGGGGAGAGGGAGGAGATGACCATAAGCACGATCAAAGAGGAAAGTCTTGAGTCGTGATTTAAAAGAGGGGAAGGAGGGGGCAAGGCGGAGGGATTGGGGAGCAGAGGAGAGTTCCAAAGCTTCTGGGTGTAGTGGCTGAAACCCTGGCCACAAATGGAGGGGCAGACAACCACGAGGGACAAGCAGGAGGCCAGAGCCAGCGGGTAGTAAGGAGGTTGGAGAGGCAGAGAAATGCCCGGGCATGAAGCGATTTGATGACAAGACAGTATCCTCCATTTTGCAAAGGACTAGGGTGACATGAGGGAGGGAAAGAAGGAAGGAAGAACGGAAGGCAAAATTATTTTTTCTGACAATTCATTCAATACTGGCCTGTGGTTCAGAAGGTAAGATTGCATTTTTGTGACACCTTTACAGTGACGATCAAACCCACTGGAGGAAAACAAAAGGAAAGTGCACTTGCTCCTGACTGACCAACACACCAATATACTGATGAGATTGGCCAATGCAAAGTATTCTGAGAACAGAGATAAGCCTGGAGAGTTTGTAGCTTATGCATTAAGGCAGCAATCACCTTGCTCTGCCTGCCAGATGCTTCACTGTCAATAGACTCCTCAGTCATTAACCAGCTTCAGTATTCCAGAGGTGAAGTAGAAACAGCAGCAGCAATCGAGGAGAAAATGGCACAAGCAATTACATGGAATTAATCAACGGACGCTTCTTAACTGGATGCTATGAAGCAGGTCAGATGATATGCTTGGTTTAATGGTCCTCAGTCCACCGGGATTGATTAATTATTAGGATGTGGATGATTATTGGGCTACATTGAACACTGTCTGTCTAGATTAGATAATGTAATAAAGCCTGAAAATAAAATCAGCCACACGGAAGACTTTCTGTGGAAGGATAAACTAGGAGAGGGGCTCCTTGAAGAAATAAGTGGGAAGCAAACCATGAAATAATATTGAAGAAATTGGCTTTTTTTTATGCTTGGACCGATATTTGTCCTTGCTCATTCATCTTATTGTCGTGGGACATTCCTGTACAAAGCGGTGCGTTGGTACATAATTACAGTCACTACTCTTTTAATATGCTATATCAAATGCTATAATTATAATAATAATCCTTGCATTTGATATGGCGCCTTATTACGTCTTCTAGACGTCTCAAAGCGCTTCACAGAATATACTGTAAAGTGATTTGACTGTGTGTTAAATGCTCCAAGACACTGCCTCGCTTGAAGGGGGCTATATAAATGCGAGTTGTTGTCGTCTTCTCAACTACTCAGCAATGTCTTGCTATAACATAGTTGTTTGCCTAACCGTAACTTGACAATAAACAGTTTAAAACAAAACTGTTCACTATAAATAAATCTGAATCAATTGCCCAGCTGCTCCAGAAGTCGTTGCGTGCGAGTGAGAGTTGGGATTCGGTGTAATAAGCTGTCTGATTAACTTCAAAACGGAACGGGAGGCAACCCACCAATTTGAATTCGTTTACAACATTTCCCCCCGATCGATCAGATTGTAAATGACAAATGTGCATTCGGGGAAATCTCTTCCCCGTACACAAAACTGGCTACCGAGCAGGTCAATGGGTTTATTGTGAAACACGCTTTCTTAATTGTCTATTTTCGCTGGGGACTCATTGAAGTAATTAGGGAATTGAAGTAAACAGCAGTACCTGCACGCAATATTCAGCACTACAGCTCCCTCACACGCTAATGGGAAATCAAACCTGGATTGCACTAACTTGTCACTGTATGTATTTATCCTTTTGAGTGCTGGTGTGGACTACTTCAGCATTTAGGCTATTTTACAAACATTCGCGAAGAAAGCGATGTGGGAATGTCCAAAAGGCCAACGTTATGAAGTAGAAATTAACTGCCTTGTATTTCTGACTGTGTAGTATTCAGGGGGTGGGGCAGTGCAGTGTTCTTTACCTCAGGTGTCAGCCTGGTTCAGTACTCTTACCCTGAGTCAGAAGGTTGGTGGTTCAGACCCCTCATTGGGGCTTTGAACTCGCGTGATTGACATTCAAATACAGTGCTGGGATACGCTGCGGTGTCAGTGGTTCTGTGCCTCGGAGGAGACGTTAAAACTGAGGTCTTGTTCAAATGGATGTTAAAGATCCCACGGTACTATTCAATAAGAGAAGGGAGTTTCTCTTAGTATCCTGGACAGCAATTCCCCAAATAAAATTGGTCATTCACTTTCTGGCTGTTTTTGGGACATCGCTGTCCACAAATTGGCTGCTGCGTTCGTCTACAAAATCGGGCAGCCACGAACATTACGGTAAATCCTGTGAAGCGCTTTCAGGCATGCTCCTGATGTGAAAGGTGCTATATTAAATGCAAGGATTCTTATTATTTCTTGTCTTGGAATTGGCATTGTTTGGTGTGTCCAATGCAGGGTGAAATGTTGGGCACGTTTTCTTATTCCACACTCCTCTGCTTACCTAGCAGTAAGTAGGAACCCAGTTGTTAATCAATTGGCAGATGGAGCCTAGCGGATTGGCGGGTATAATTCCTTCAAAACAAAACAATGAATTGGTCACTCAATCCACTACTGTTTGTGGGACACTGCTGTGTGCAATTGGCTGCCGCGTTTCGCCCACAAAATATACAGTGAATTCACTTCACAGTATATTCTGTGAAGCGCTTTGAGACGTCTAGAAGACGTGATAAGGCGCTATATCAAATTCAAGGATTATTATTGTCATTACTTTTTAAATCCATTAGCACAATAAATGGTGAAAATATAGAAAACATAATCTTAACGGGCATCATGGGGGTGGTGAAAAACTATCATACAGTGAATACATAAATGCATACGATAAAGACATACGTTGACCCAAGATATTGGGTTCCCCATTCTGTTGCAATGTGCATAAATCTAAATTCCACTGTTCATTATCTGACAGCAGAAAAAATAGTTCTCGTGTGTGCGATATGGCTCGAAACTAATCCATCACAGCTCTGAGTGAGTCTAGGACTGTAGTTTACAGAACTGGTGAGTCAGATCATTGTGATGTACAGCATAGCATTTTATATAGTACCTATCATGCAGGGGAACATCACGAAGATTCATTAGTACATTAGTACAGTCTCTATTGTATTGGGTGTGAGAGGTAATAATACAATATGTAGGTCTATCTATTATACATCCCCAAACTATTTGCTAGATGTCTGCTTCAGCTTCTTTCCTAGCTCCTGATCACTTAGTCATGCTGCCTTTGTGAATCTGAACTATAATATATAATAATAAATAATCCTTGCATTTGATATAGCGCTTTTCACGCCTTCTCGACGTCTCAAAGCGCTTCACTGAATAGACTGTAAAGTGAATTGACTGTATATTTGTGGGCGAAACGCGGCAGCCAATTGCGCACAGCAGTGTCCCACAAACAGTCGTGGATTGAAAATGGCCAATTTATTATTGTTTTGTTTTTTGGAAAGATTATTATTAGGCGTGTGGAGTAAGGAAACTTGCCCAAGGTTTCACCCTGCCTGGAATTGAAAGCTAGGTGAGTGCTCTAACCACTGAGCTACAGGACTCCACTATTGCTCTGGGTTTCCGTTCTGAATCCCATTTAGCGTCTTCTGTACCTCTATACAATATTCCCTTCAGAGCTGTCACTTTTCTTCACTGAACAGCCTGAGCTTGACTAGATGTTGCTCATAGGCCATCCCTCTTAACTCTTGCTAAATGAGCTCTCAGCCAAAATTATCAATCAAAAAAATCCCAGATTAACATGATTGTAGTGCATGAGTGGATGCTGCAATTAATTTAGAGATGAAAATACCTTCTTTTCATTATAACCCAAACATCATACATCTGCCTTTTACAAGGGTTCGTGTGCAGTTCACTGCCAATAACACTGCACTCTGCAAGCTCGCAGCTTATTAAAGAGGTGAAGGTCCAAACTCACATCTGTATTTTTTTTATTATTAATAATAATAATCCTGGCATTTGATATAGGGCCTTATCACGTTGTTGAGACGTCTCAAAGTGCTTCACGCAAAATACTGTAAAGTGATTTGACTGTGTATTTTCTAGGCGATACGTGGCATCCAATTGCGCTCAGTTTTATCAATTTTATCGTTAATGATGGGGTTTATGTGTTGTGTTGACTATTGTGACGGACTGCTTTATTGTGATATTTGTCACTTTTTGTGTGTGACTACATCTGTCTGCTGAATATGTAACGGGACCTGATCCTGCCAAACTCCAAGAATTTCATTCTGGATCTCAAACAATGTCCGAAACACAGAATCCAAGCAACATGCAGTATTTTAAATGTGACAAAAACCGGCTACAAGCATTATTGAATAAACCGATTTGAACAAGGCTGGGTTAATGTTAGGTGGTGTTGGCTTTATTGAAGACAAGTTCAGTGTATCATATGTGTTTGATCTTCACTGAAACCTCTTCTGAATGTGCACAAAAACAAATTTAGCAAGGAAACCCAGAACAGTATTTTTAGATTCACAAAAGCAGCGTGGCTTAGCGATCGGGAGTCAGGAGGAAAGGAGAAGCAGACATCTACAGCATTGCGGGCACTAAAAGCTTTTTGCTTTCATTTCCAGCTTTTGTCTTCATCCCAGCTGCTGCCACTGACAAGAAATGCAATCACATTTACAAGGGATTTGCAGAGTGCCTGCTCAAGCTGGGAGAGAGTCTGACCAGAAGTATGGAGGAGGAAGGAGAAGAGGTGAAGGAGCTGGACACGGTGTGTCGGTGAGTTCATGGTCTCCTCTTGGAGATAATAATAATCCTTGCATTTGATATAGCGTCTTATCATGTCTTTGAGATGTCTCAAAGCGTTTCACAGAACATACTGTCAAGTGAATTGAATTTTGTGGGCTAAAAGCAGCAGCCAATTGCGCACAGCAGTGTCCCACAAATAGATGTGGATTGAGTGACCAATTTATTAATATTATTTTTGGGGAAGGAATTATTGCCCCCACCAATTGACTAGCAACTGGGTTCCTACTTATTGCTAGATAAACAGAGGTGTGTGGAGTAAGGAAACTTACTTGTCCAATGTTTCACCCTGCCGGGAATCGAACCCAGGTCTCTTGCTTGTAAGGCGAGTGCTCTAACCACTGAGATACAGGATGCCGATGAGCTCTTTCCAAATGTGTTCGCTGACATTTGGGAGAGCAAGGATTCCGGCCCTGCAATTCAAGCTCAGTTCTTTGGCTACTACTAGAAAGAAGGCAGCGGCTGTTTTCGAGACATTACTGCGAGCAAATTGGCTGCTGCATTTGCCTGCAAAATACGCAGTGAATCCTTGCGAAGTCATCCAGATGGAGAAGGCAATCAACATGTCTCAAGGAGACCTTTACCTACAATAAAGAAGAAAGTAGATTTGAGAGTAATTACTGTGAAATGCTTGGAAACATATCAATATTATAGAACTATTAAAATTCTTCTCTCTAACGGTTAAATAATATCGGCTGATTCGTGGTTATTTTGGCTGTGTCCAACTCTCTTGGAAATCAATGGACTTGGATGTTAAATTGTCACTGAAAGATGTGGACTGGAAACAGCCAGACCAGCAGTAAATAGGAACCCGGTTGTTAGTCGATTGGCAGATCGCTTTCTGGGGGTAATAATCCCTCAAAAAAAATGTGATCACTCAATCCACGACTGTTTGTAGGATACGCAAATGACTGCCGTGTTTGTCCCACAAAATACACAGTCACTCCATTTTACAATATATTCTGTGACGCACTTTGAGATGTCTCAGTGACGCGATTAGGCGCTATATCAAATGCAGGAATTATTATCATTGTCTGACTCTCCCACTGATGTTGGTATAATTTACAAATTAAGGCTTGAGACGCTTTGGGTTCAAAAAGGAAGCTTCTTTGCCCTTTGTACTGATTCAACCAAAATCTCACGCACCTTAAAACGTGACTTTAAAACTAAAATACCAAGAAAAGCATTAAAAGCAAATTGATTTTGAGTCAGTGCTGGTTTTTAGCAGTGACTCTGATTGTTCAAACGGCAGGGAAAGGTCATACAACATTATCTTCAGTAATACGCTATTAATTTATAATAAGATTTGGAAAGGTTCCTTTTGACTTGAAGCCCCAAATCCCAAATAAGACATTTCAGAAATTAGATTTTTTTAATATAACTGAGGGGGATTATTGGACACCTTTTCCTTTCAAAGCACCATAGAATCTTTTAACAACCACTTGGACAGGCAGACGGCACCTCCAACAGTGCAGCACCCACCCACCCCCCCCACTAATGCACTGGAGTGTCAGCACAGGCACGAAAGGTTCCAGGACCTGAGATGGATCTTGAACTCACAGCCTTCTGACTCGTAGATGAGACCGCTACCAACTGAGCCAGGCTAACGCGAGGGACTCCTGTGATTTAGTGAATTTGGATGAGGGAGGGATATTGGTCGGGACATAGATATTTTCCTACCCCGCCTCAAAACGACTCTCACTTATTTTCCCCCACAGATCCTGGGACGACTTCCACTCGTGCGCTGATTCCGTCCTGGAAGGTTGTCCCGACGAGGCTGCTTCCATCTGGGAATCGCTGAGAAAAGAGTCTAAGAAATTGAAGTTCGAGGGAAACTTGCACGAGCTGTGCAGTTCCAGGGTCAGGCTGTCGGGCACCATGCAGGAGCTGGATGGAGACGAATCCAACAAGCAGAGCTTGACAGGCTCCGCCGACTCTCTGTGGTGTGGCCTCACCACCCCCGTCCTGTCCTTCGCCGTGCTGATGGTCAACATGTAATGACAGAGAACAATGTGCACTGTAGGTCCACTCCCCTCTTGCCGTCAGCCTCTTGCCAACAGGACTGAGCCCTGGGGCCCAGCACAGTGTTCCCACTGCACTTCGGTTCTCTTTGAATGTTAATAGTAATAATAATAATGATAATAATAATAATAATAATAATCCTTGCATTTGATACAGCGCCTTATCACGTCTTTGAGACGTCTCAAAGCGCTTCACAGAATATACTGTGAAGTGAATTGACTGTATATTTTGTGGGCGAAACGAGGCAGCCGATTGCGCACAGCAGCGTCCCCACAAACACCCATGGATTGAAGTGACCAATTTATTATTATTTTTTGGGAAGGAATTATTACCCCCGGAAAACCGATCGGCCCATCGACGAATAACTGGGTTCCTATTTACTGCTGGGTAAACAGGCGTGTGGAGTAAGGAAGCTTGCCCAACATTTCGCCCTGCCCGGGAATCGAACCCAGGTCTCTCGTTTGCGAGGCGAGTGCTCTAACCACTTAGCCGCAGGACTCCACATCCTTTTTTTTACATGTTGCCCTTTTTTCTCTCTGTCCATTCAAGATGATTTATTTTAGACTTGTGTCCAAATCCAACCGACTATGCCACCAATTTAAATGTGTAATTTCGCTCCCGGTGTGTGCAGAGCTGAAACATATTATTGATTCAGTACTTAGTGATAAAGCAAAGGTTTGTATAGTGATATAGCGTTCATAGCTGTCTGATGAAGCAGACACATGCACACTTCCTCTAAGCCCATCAAAATAAGGTACTGGAACTGACAGTGCAGTGGAACTGCCCGGGTTATCTGGATTTAGTGTGTTTTTTGAATGAAGTGTGGTCTTGATGGCATGAACCTATAACTTCTGAGCAAATGGAGCACAGGCGTGCGATTGAATGTAAAGCACATGCCGTACACTTGGACGTGCGCCATACACACTGGGTAAAATCTGAGCCATCCACACAAGCCGAGGAATGTTAAACAGTACTGGGAGCGAGCAGGCGATTCAGATTAGATTTGGGTGGTTTGTGTGTGGACGCAATGGTCTGTTTGTGTGCTGTTGTATTCCATGTCTCTAACTGGGCTGGTGCTGGACTCCTGTCCATGCACACTACCTGAGATACCTGTCATACCTCGGTCGGGTACTGTACGAGACGGTACAGAAGGACGCTTGTCTCCCTTTACAAAGGGACTTTGGCAAGAGAACTAACCAATGCTGCTCTCTTGTGCCTCCTAGTGGCTGGTGGTAGAACACAGACAGTGGTCTGATGTCATGTTTGAGGACCAACCCTATTGAACGGTGTGTGTGTGAGTGTGTGGAGCCCTAAAGGAGGAGGAGAAACATGGAGAGGGAAGTAAGTGTCTTATAGCGCATATGACATACCAGTGAGGCACTGTAACTACGCTTTGGGAATAGAAAGTTGGCGGGTTACCAGGCTAAGGACTCATCTTACTTAGTTACTCAGTTAGTAAAGCATCAGCTGCCTGATTCATGAGAATGTGAAGCGACTCCCAAAGGGTCTTTCTGCACTCCTTACCTCTGCACCAGTTAGTTTGCGAAGATTCGCTTTGAAAGATGCTTCTATAGATTTACATACTTTCAGTTTGGGGACCAAATCAATCATGTTGCAAGAATCTGCCGTTGATTTAAAAATATATATATATACGTATATACAGTAATAATAAGGACCAGGGGATTAGCGTTACCTTGCCCAGCCCTGCGGGGGCTGCTGCTGTTCTCTGTGTGAGAGGGATGAGGTTACTCTAGCTCCCTGTGTGTTGTGTGACCTGCCCTCCCTGTGGCAGAGCCTTATGTTGTGGATAGCCTGTGGTGCGCTGATTAGCACAGTCTCATTGCTTCGGTGGCTCCTGCTGTCCTGGGATGCGGCAAAGGTGATATTCAAGTCAAATATTTAAATGAAGAAGAAAACGTCATTAGGATTTGTTCAAAGAAAGAGAGGAAAAGTTATCATCAGGAATACTACACATACGTTTAGGTTGGAATAAATATTTTGCTTTTACAAAAGCGTGCATTTCCTGTTGAACATTAAGCTCAACAGCTCGGATTCAATTAATTAGCTTAATTAATTTGAGGCCATTTAGATCTCCTTTAGATGATCTAAAACATTCAGCTAATTATCACTGTGATGTGAACCCCTGCAGTCAATATCCAGCTTCGTTATATGATTTGGTGCAATTGGTAAAAGGCCAAGACAGCTGCCATCAGTACCTTGAATATCTCAGAATCAGGAAGAGTTTGAAAGGAATGACCTAACAATTGTTACTCAATCTGACGCTGGATGTTTTAGGCTCTGATACGGTGACCAATAAAACTAGTGATTGATTTTATTGCAATGGGAACTTCCGAGGTTGTCATTGAAGAAACAGTCCAGCTCTTCGTAGCTTCAATATATCAAATGTGGAAAGAGAAAGAAACAGATTTGGTCCACAAGATTACCTGATCTGTACTTTATTGTGGAGTCTCTCCTCCCCATTCAATTTCTTGAGCAAAGGTTCTGTATACAAACACACTGATCATTATTAAAAGCTATTATTAAACTCCAGAATATCCATCTCCATCTTCATCCTGACCAGACCAGATGCCAACTATCTGCAACTTTCCCTTCTGTCCCTGGTCAAAATCTATTGGTTTACATAGTTTAACCGAAACTGTGGAACACTCCCCCTCCATCCCTCCGCCTTGCCCCCTCTCTCCCCTTTTTCAAGTAATCTGTAACGGTTTGTATCTGTAATGGTCACCTCCCACCTCGCCCTCACCCCTGGCTCGGAATCAGACTCCGCCACTGTTAAATGCTCTGAGACGCTGCCCTGCGTGGAGGGCACTATATAAGTGCAAGTTGTTGCTGTTGTCAGCATGGCGTTGCTTCCAGTAGAGTATTTGAGTATCTCAGTCTATTTTTTCCCAATGATCTTGAATCACACTCCAAACTAGTGACTCAATCCAGTTCTTTACTCCAATAGCCAAAGCTCAGTGAGATTCCCAGACGTCAGTTGCTCCTTTGTGGAAATTTTCCTCTCTCCAATCAATGGTTTGGGTCCATTCTTTTGAGGTAGAAGTAAGACACAGATTCAGACCTGTTTTTCATCATAAATTAACTGTAAGTAATAAGCAACATAAAGGTTATATTTTGCTATTTATCAAAACAAACTTGTGACTTCCATACCTCTCTCCGTTGTTGACTTTAAGCTGTGTCGAAACCCACAGGATGAGGTTAATGGGAAGTCCTGTGTTCGCCTACACAGTAAGATAGGAGTCAGATGGTTTTGATTTGCTTTGATTTAAACAAATAGTTAACCCAAAAAGAGCCATGTTGTATTTTTTTGCAGTCAATGAAAACTCCGGAGAGGTCAGTGGTCTTAAACTCAATATTAGAGTTCCTTAGCAGTGAGGGAGGAAGTCGACTAGTTTTCAGACATTCCACAGAAGATAGGCTGCTATAACAGTGGCATTTTCTTGTGTGTTTTTAATCAAATGATATTTGAGGATTAACTGCTGAAGCCTGCTTCACGTTCCCTGCTCTCTTCACCCCACCTATGATGCTCAGCCTAGGTACTCCCACTCTCTGGAACTCCATCCAGGAGACCCTCTAACTCCCCCCCCCTCACCTCTTTCTAAGGTCTGACTCTTTGACCACGCCTTCGGCGATCTTTCTGCTCTGCATCCCTCTCAGCTCCCACTCCAGATTCGGGTGCCAAGCACCTTGACGCGAAAGGTGTGATATAAGTATAAATTTGTATTATATGGAAGAGGAGATATGATTTGTGTCTAATTCCAGTTGCAGGAAGGTTGCTTAGTTGGAGGTGAACAAAAGGTGGAACACAACGTTTTGGACTTCCTTTTGAGCTGTGTTGTTGGAATTTTATTTTAATTGAGAAACCCAGACATAGGGCCAAAGCCCGGAGTGGAGGATGACTCTATGTACAGAATATACCGAATAGTACAGAATGGACGGGTGACCAGAGGGGAAGAGAGGAAGAGGATGTCACTGTATGAGGTGGAAGGAGAACGTACAGGGAATAGGCATTAAAGGAAGGAAGCTCTGACAACTATCTCATGGCACAGAGCATCCTTGTGACAGGTGCAGTGTCTATGAGCGGCGTTCGAGATGCATAAGATGGGAAGGACGGGGAATTATTGGATCTACCAATATATTGGGCTCGTAAAAAGGGAATTAGCTTTAGTCACTGTTGTAGGTCGATACTATTATTGTCTGTTTATGATAATACTCAGGAAGATACAGAAATCAAGAGAACAAAAAAGAAAATCTTAAAGGTTATTGCAATGATGTAACATTAAAAATACCGTGCTGTCGAGCTCCATATTTTGTACTGAGATGCTAATATTTTCTATATGTGTTGAAGGGTTTGTAGGACCTGTACAATGCCCAGAGACAGCTGGCAACAAGAAATATTTTCCAGTTAAATATATTTACACTGTAATAATTCATAATTCATCACAATTATATCACTGAGCAAATAATAAAATCAAAGCAATGTTCTTGAAATGTGTGACCAAGTCTGGATGTTGGATGTCATTATATTGCAAGGTGGTGAGAATGCTATATTATTGGATAGTGTGCCAGAATGTAATTGATTTTTAGTTAATATTCGTATTTTGTTATTTTTTCATTTATTCTGTAAACGCAAAAGATATTTGTTACATTTTTTTAAAGAATAAATTGAGTTACAGAAAACCATTGAGTTCGTGGAGATTTTCTTCAATGTGAAGAATTCTGATTGGCACATTCATCAGAAGAGGTTCCAGGATGAACACGGTGAGTTTTTTTTACCAAGTGTCTCTGTTCGTGAGGCCAAAACAAGGGTCATCAATATAAGATAGACAGAGTTTAGGAAGAGGAACTTTGGAAGGAGTGATGAGAATGTGGAACTCACTGCCAGAAGCTATGTTGGAAGCAGAAAGCATCAACATATTTAAGAGGAAACTTGATGCATCCATGAAGGTGAAGGG